TAATAATATTGCGTGGATCAAGCTAGCAGCACACAACAGCAGCAGCACGCGGCGCCGCACACTCCGTTTATGCGCCTTAGGTGCGCTTTTCTTCTCGTCGGTCAGCAGCAGCAGCAGCTCACAACGCACGTCCAAACGTGTGTGAAAGTGACTTATTAAAGCGGTTATTTACACGGATTATTCTTCGACTGTTGCTCCACGCTATTATCTCTTAACAATCATTTTAATTTAGCTGAGTGCGTGTGCGCATGGCGCGTATACATACATATATATACGTTATACGGTACATAAAAGCGCGTTTTCATCTCGAGCCACTCGCGGCACTTAAAAAGTAGCTGCATGCAGTAAGATTTAGCTCGTATTATAACGCGAGCGAGCTGATTATTTCTCGTTTTCCGCGACTGTAATTATTGCACGCGCTACCGAATTTTCCAGTTTCCGAGTTTTCGAACGTAATCCCTACAAACCAAGTGTCGGATTATAATTCGGCACGCGTATACTTACAATCACAACTATAACACCGTCGTCGAACTCGAGTCGACGATCGTGTACCAAGCACAATCTTATCGGTCGTTCTTGGATTTTGCAATAGCACATACACAGTACTTTATCTGCGATGTATGGCTTTGGCACGAGTCGAAAAAATCAATCGTTCGCCTCGTGTCGACGACGAGGTTTCAGAGCCCAAATGGAAATATAGCTCCGTAGCAACACGGCATCATTACATTATATACGAAAAGTACGGGGCGCCTGCGGTCGAGACATCGAGGATGTTGCAAGGCCCGATGCAACGACCGCAAATTGTATATATCGACGCTGTTAAGGAAGACTAGCACGTTTACATTTAAAAATGTATAGAAACGTGCTACTCTTCCTTAACAGCGTCGATATGGCTGCCTTCGTTACGTGTTGTATCGATGATCAGCGGCGGCAACGTCCGCAGGGCGAGAGGTAAAAAGAAATGAAATTTAACCGAGTGTTAAAGCGGCTGTATTATTATATAGGTGCAGCGAGGCAAGTTTCACACGCGGTATAGAGGACTGCTGTTGCCATGATATGTGGATAGGTATGCGCGAGATCTGGATGCCCAGCCCTTGAGCCAGACCGCTAGGTATTACAAGAGGAACGAAAAAAAACGCGTGTATATATCCCAGAGAATAGCAAAGAGACGCAAGTATAGCGGGACCCTCGCCGCCACCGCCGCTGTCTTTTACTGTACAGTCTATTACGCCAGGTAGCTCGAGGTAATTGTTTCCTAGTCCGCGAGCGCGCCCGCTCTTCTCTCCTCGGCGTATAGTAAGCAAGTGTATAAGCGAGCGCGCATAGCTTTTTCGAGAATTCAAGACTTATTATATTCCCCAGACGTTTTCTTTTCCCGCGAGCCTTCACATGTGCTAACGCGACGTTTTTGTCGAGCTTATACGATATATGTATATAGCATTCGAATTTCAAGCCGCGGACGGACACTCGTATAATATAAGGTATCCGTAGGCGCGCGACTCGCGTCGGCTTCCGCGTGCAGAGAGCGAAAGAGAGAAAATAGAGCCATTGGTCTCTGCTGTATTTATCTGGCCAACTCGCAGCGGATCGGAGCATATTTCGTATTGTATATATGTGTAGTATGTGTGCGAGCGTATACCTTCGCCTCGAATTGTGCTGCTGTTGCCACGAGCTCTGCGATACATATACCTTTTACTCCCGTGTATATCCCCGTAAACTATATGGCAGCGTGCATGATACTTTCAATCTCTCTTTCTCTCTCTTTTTTTCTTGCTCTGCCTCTGTTTCTTTCTCCGCTTTCAGAGTTAGCTGTGCGCCACGCGGTATACCTTATATACAAATTTTATCGTTATGAGCACCACTAGGAAATCATGTCGAACATGTACCCACACATAAACACACACATCTGTACGAACGTATGGCGTGCATTCGTTTGTGGCATGTTCGACCTTTATGGGATTCTGTGCTCTTTAGCCAGCTTTGCTGACGATACATGGACCTGATATAGTATGGTAAAAAGAACGTTCACGAGTATCGGCATTATATGTGTACCCATTGGCTTTTCCCATTGACATTCGTATCTTTAAACTTTTATGCATCAGCTAGTTTTGCGTGGAAAAAATGAAATTCTATTATAAAAATCGTGCACACGAAAAATTCGTAAATCATGCTTGGCAACGAGAGGAAACTAGATCGGTAAAAAACCTTAAGGCTGTATCAACTTCAGCGTTATTTACAATATATGTGTGCAGGTCAGCGTACCGTGTGCCAAATAGCCCCGAGCTCCAACGTTTTATCGAGTTATAATATGTATGATATAATGCAAACGATCGCTCCTGAATCGTTATGTCAATATAAGCTCATTAAACCGGTAGCATTTTTTGATACCGATGCGCGTGAATGACGTACTTTGAAATCGGTCGTTCGTTGAGGTGTCAAAAAACGTCAAAACGTATCCCGAGCATTTGGAGAAAGTGTGTGTTCGAACCATCGATCCGTCTTTATCGTATTGCAACTGACGTATGCTAAAATCTTGCCTCTCAAATTTAATTCAATCGTACGCACGTGATTCCGTACGTATAAAATGTGAGCGCCGTTAACAGCTGTTACTTTACGAGCACCTCTCTCTCTCTCTCTGGTGGACAAAGAGAAGCTCGTTCGGCGCGAGAGGGCAATTTTTCCAAGCTGTCATACGTTGCATCGATAGCAGCCGCAGCTGCTGCTGTAGAGTACAGCTCTCTTGGTGCGGGTGTAAAATGCACAGGGACTTTCACCGCGCGGCATTATATCACATACGAATTTTGCCACGGTCGCGCACAGCTCGCCTGCTGCAGAGCTACATATAAGCGGCACACACGATATGCTCAAACCGATAAAACCTCTGGGCTAAGTGTCATTAGTTATTTTCTGCTTTCTCAACTGCGCATATATACACACGCGCGCGCGTATATAGACGTATGGGCGCAGATAAGCGGTGCAGGACGCGCGACTGTAAATGGATAACGCGAAATGTGTGCTGCTGCTCGTGTTTCTTCCGCTAGCTGCGATTGTGAGCGGGTCACAGCCGCCGCTCGTGATTCGATAATAGCAATTGTCCGCAGCATCTCGTTTCGACCACCCACCCACGCGCGCAAGCTTCGTATTAAAACGCCAATCGAAAAATGTACATAAAGAGCAATGTGCACGTTGTATTTGTATATCTATATATAATAGGCGAGAGATGCAGGCCGGCGTAGGCGTCGCGCGCGTCACACACCACCTCCCGGCGTGGCGATATTGATTTTTCACATTGCTCTCTGGAAAATTGCGATGACGTCTCGACGACGACGACGACGACACCGGCAGCTGCGTCCGATCGTAAGCAACTTTTTCACGCATTAATGGGGAAGCGAATTACGAGGCGAAAACTGCAAGTAGACATACGATAAACATTGGCAGGCTCGGTTATACGAGCTGTCAAATGGCTAGCAAATCGTTCGATTATGCGAAGGCAGTTCGTGCTGCATTCGGCTGGGAAACCCTCTCTGTATTTATATCCAATTATACGATACGTTATACGGTACGCACACGAATTTAATAGCTCAATGGCTTTTCTTTCTTTTCTCCCTCTGCGTATGTGAAAGAGTATGTACTCGAGACTCGGATCAATCGCTACGTAAGGTCATTAATTAGCTCCGTGTACAAAGTACGAGCATGTATCGTTGCGCTAAATCAGCTAGTCACGCGTGTCCGATAGTACGTATATAACACGCCGGACAAAAATACAACATGAAGGTATTTAGTAGTATTTTATATTACGGAGAATGACACGAGAGAATGTACTCGTGAATAGTAGGCGCGATCGATCAGCTTGGCTGCGATCAAAATCATCCTCTTCGTTGATTCTTTTCTTTTTTATCATTATATCGTCGATAAAAAACGCGCAACTCTGACTCGTGAATAAATTCGAGCTGGACATATTCACGCTGATATATATATTACAAGTAACCGTGACCCATTTAAACCCGCATACCGGGTCAACTCTTTTGAGTAGAGCCGGTAGGTCTATATGTGCATACGGTAAACCTTTGCAGTTTCGCACGTTGTATACACAGAAGCACGTGGCCTACAAATCCGCGACAACAATGACCGAGCACGTATCGTACAAAATCGAAGAGATCTGCGATCTCGATACAACTCGAAGGAAACGTCGCATTATTACTTCGTAGCTCGAAATTTTGCGGGCAGTAATTGCTCGACTTTTAATGACGTTTTGTTATAAAACGAGTCGTGTTCAATGAAGACATAAATTACCTGGCGGCAATTCTTATCGGAGCGAGAGGGAGCGAGACGGAGAAAGAGCGAGAAAGAGAGCCGATTGTCATAATTTGTAATCGCGCTGACGCATCGCTAACTTTTTTTTAACGCGGAAGAACGTGAAATTCGCATTTATTATTGTACGTTATAAGTGTATCTTATCGCGCTGCGCGACCCAATGCGACGATCGTTTTTGCGTTAGATCGCGTCGAGCGCTTAAAAACAAGCATCTTCGGCGACAGCTGCGAGAGCTTCTGCTCATCAACAAACGACAAAGCAAAAAGTCACACGAGCCGGTACAAGAAATTCGATAAAAGACAAAAAATGTATAACAGCCGAGAAAGGACAGGGGCGTCGATCGGCATTGGAAAATTACGGAAGAAGATCGCATACATCGCGATATAGCGTCGCGTATATGCACAAAGGCGCTGCTCGGGGTCAGCTAACGCTCCGAAATGTGCCAATCGGCGCGAGGAGCAAGCCGCACAGTACACACAGGCCCGAAGGAGCGGAAAGATCGCATATAGCAGCTGAACTCGGGTGGTGGAGATGGCATATACAAAGGAATAACAGGCAGCCGCGCATACCGACGACGGGGGTGGGGGAGCGACAAAAGATACGTGTGTACGTGCGACGAGCTAATAATAATGCAGGATATCGGGAGACGATTTCGAGACATTCGTAAGAGCGATCCGTGCAATCACCTTGACATAGAGCTCGTTGGTCGTCATGTTTACAGTGGTGTTTGTCCTCAAGCGATCTGGCTCGAAGCTGTCGTCCGTCGACTCGCGTCAAAGAACGCAACCACAACTGCTACTGCTGCTACTGGTCCCACGTGGTAACTTTTTCTGCTGCTGCTTGACACTCGGCACATGATCTTATCTTTGAGGCCAAACACCAGAAAACGACACAGAATCGCACTGCGACTCGCACAGCTACACACACACACACAGAGACACAAAGGCACGCAGACACCGACAACACAACAAGACGCGGTCGTCGCGCAGGACGATCTCGAGGATCTGCTGTACACGGAGGATTGCACTCGTACGCGCGCGATATGTGTGCAAGTATATAATGCAGCACGCAGTGGTGTTGTCTGCAGAACTGTATACACACGCCTATATACGCACGCGCTCGTACCGCTTCGAATCCCGAGTAGTGACTAAAGTCGCTCTCAGTCGTGTTGTATTTGCCAAAGACTCGCAACCGCCGCTGCTGGCTGGAGTTTGTGCCGTTTCTGCGCGCGCGCGCGCACTCCCACCTCCTCTCGGCTCTCGTGCGGCCTGCAGCAGCGGCGGCAGGCAGCGCGCCGTAGTACACAGCACAGGCTACACACGAGGACTGAACCGAAGCAACTACCTATATGTAGCTCGCGAGTGCCGATGTCGACCTAAGCCTCCGCGGACCGCGAGCCTCGCGCGAGATTGAAGCGAGAACGGAGCACTCGATATATAACGCGTGTGTTTATATACAACGTTATATTATACACCTCCGCGTCTATGTATAGCTCTATCGTATCGCACAAACATTTACTACCTGTATATAAGTTTTGGTACGTGTCAGCAGCGGAACAACTTGTGCTTACATCTCAAGTGTCACGTTTAGCTTGTGCGACACATTCGTAAAGTTATTGCTCGTACCTACCTATTGAAACAACAAACTGTATTAATTTGGCCTCGCAATATCGTACAAAGTGTGTAATCATGCAACACACATCGCACGTATCGTCGTTGATCGTAATTACGAGCTATCCTCGAAATCAAGGATCGCAAGCTCGGCTGTCGGCAGTCGGCATCGTAAGCGCTGTGCATCGGCCTACTGGCGAAGCTATAAACAAAGTTTCAAAAGGTCTAAAAAGTTCAGCTGGTATATAACTCGCAAATAATGAACCGCGTCCCAATTCGATAATTGAATAGTTGCAGGCACGTGTCGGCGATCCCCACTCGTAGAAATCGATACGTCAACGATCAACTACTTTCCTTCCTGCGGTATTTGAAATAACTGTAAAAAAGCGTCGTAGGATGGTTTTCTGTTTATAACCTCGCAAGCGTCGCAAGCTACGTGCACCAAAAACACGTCCACAATGGCTTTCTTTCAATTGGTCGTCAAAGCTCACAGGCTCAAGTATCGCAGAGTCCGCTACCAGGAGGAAAAGCTCGCCTCCATACAGCTCTCCAGAGGCGTCAAGGTCAAATTGTCCCTCTGGCAGAGAGCCCGCCGAAAAAAGCTCGAGTAAGTGTCATTCGTGTGCTCTCGTCGTTTCCCTTTTGTAACGTTATAATTCCTTGGCAGACTGAAGCGCAAAGCTCGCGACTGCCTGAGCTCGCTGTCCTGCTGGCCGGAGGAGTCGCTGCTCGGTCGTCTCTACCGGGCCCTCAAGAGCCCGGGCACCCTCGAGAACTACATCTTGACGAGCCTGCTGGGCTTCCTGTTCGGCGTCCTGCTCACCTACCTGTTCTTCCTGTTCTTCGTGTTCCAGCTGCGCTTCGGTGTGATCGCCGCGACGATCGCCTGCTCCGTGCTCGGCCTCCTGCTCAGCCTCGGGCTGGCCTTCTCGGGCCGGGTGCGCTGCCTGGTCTTCCTCTTTCTGCCGCAGTTCTTCACGAAGCGCGGCCGCCAGGCCATGATGGCCTACGCCTTCATCCTGACGCTCACGGGCCCGGCCAAGAACACCCTCTACAACATCGGCGTGCTCTCGGAGTCGCTGGCCTGCGGTCAGCAGCTGCTCAAGGAGACGGTCCAGGCCGTCATCGATCTCATCAAGCAGCCCTTCCTCGCCCTCAGGGACTCGTTGAGCAAGACCGTCAAGTCCATCAAGGCCGTGGTGAGGCGCATCAAGCAGACCCTCGTCGCCCTCAAGCGGCTCGTCCTCAGCATACGTGAGTATCCTAGGCTTTATATCCAGATTTCATTCGGAGCATTACATTTTAATTACCCCACATGCATTTGCAGTACGCATCATCAAGTCGGTGTTCGAGTGGCTGGGCAGCATCGTGCGCATTTGCAACAAAAAGTTCGGCACCCCGTACGAGCGCTGCAATCGCATCTTCGAGAACGCCGAGGCCGACTGCCGGTCCAAGCTCGGCTCGGTGCTCGAGCACCTCTGCAATCTCACCTACCTGCCGAGGACCGTCTGCGTGGCCCTCAAGCCGCTCGATCTCGTCTGCAGCCTCGTCTCCTACGTCTCGGACTCGATCGTCGGAGTGGTTCATGCAAGTTCGTTTCCTCTTCTCGTTATTTTTTTTTCTCCTTGTAAATGCATTCGAGCTCATTGACTCGCGCGTTGAAACGTTGCATCAGAGCTGAAGACGTTCGCGCGTGAGATGAAGCTCATATTCTACGTGAAGATCAAGTTCTCGCACTCGTTCCACTTCGAGACGAACAAGAGCCAGAGCATCGGCCAGATAGCTTCGAACATCTCGGGCGAGATCAAGGACAAGACGCGCCACTTCTTCTCCCTCATCGACTGGGTCAGTCTGCTCACGAGTCTCTTCTTTCTCGTGCTGTGCCTCAGGTAATCTATAGCGGATAAGCTAATGCGGCCTTGCTGCCCCGTCCTCATCCTCCGATCGTTTCGTCCTTGCTTAGGGTAATTTATTATCGTTACAAGTGGCTGAGCAGCGATCGCTTCGACAATCGTTACATTTCAAGCCTGATGCGCGAGATAGACGCGAAGCGCGCTCGCCTCGACAAGGAGACCATCTTCCCGCTCAACAGGCGCGAGCGCGAGAAGTACACGTCGCTGGGCTCGCTCTTCCTGATCCAGTCGGAGCGCAGGCGCCTCGGCCGCACCGTCGTCTTCCTCGCGACCTCGAGCTGCAAGCTGGCCGTCTACATGCTCGTCGACTACTGCCTGTACTGGCTGCTGGACACGATCAGCCGCCACGGGCAGCGGATGCGCCGAGCCAAGCAGCCGAGCTTCGCCGGCCAGGTGCGCGTCCAGGGCCGGGGCTTCCTCGCCGAGGTCTATCGCAGCCTCGCGCGCTCCTTCACGCCGCGCATACGCGACTCCGAGATCGAGGGCGTGCCCTGCCTGCCGGTGCCCAAGCGGCCCGACTACGACGCCTACGCGCAGATCGGCGTGCTCGTGCTCTTCTGCTGGCTCGTCGCCCTCTTCGAGCCCTACGGCCTCAGACTGAGGCACACGGTGCTCAACTACTACTATCCGGAGCGAGCTCGCCAGCGGGCCGTCTGGCTCTACAATCGGATCCTGCGATCGCGCGGCTCCTTCCTCAAGTTCGCGCGTCGACAGTTGCGCCGTCGCTTCGGCATCGGTGACGGCGGAGCCGTGGAAAAGGTCAGCCTGCGGGAGCGTCTCTGGGCCGTCTTTCCGATCCTCGGCCGAATCTGGCCCGTCAAGGAGCGAGCCACCTGTCTGCTCTGCGGCGAGCCGGAGCGCGACAAGTCGGCGCCCCACGTGCGCTGCCCGACGCCCGGCTGCGTCGGCACCTACTGCGCCCACTGCTTTCGCGATCTCAGGCGCATGTGCACCGTGTGCATGTCGCCCCTGGACTACGGCGATCTGAGCGACTTCAGCGAGGAGAGGCAAGTCTCGCGTTCGGGCGCATCTACCCTCCAATGATAAATAACCGAGCCTTTTCTTTCTTTCATATTCCTTCGTCAACAGAGATTCTTCCGACGATCAGGTTGATTTGACGCATTTAAAAAAGCAACAGTTGGACAAACATAGTTATAGTTGGTTCACCAATAATCAACATCATCTATAAAATCCAAAATGATAAATGAAAAAAAATAAAGAATCATTTTTTATTTTACCGAAAAGGCTATCAAGACGATGAATCTGAAATATCGCCTTTTCCTCTAAGAACTAAATTCAAGGACGTCGAAGCTCAAACGATATGCGACGATGTTACCATGCAGGTACTATCAGCACTACAATAATTACTATGATGAGCAATTTCGATAGATGGATTGAAAATGTCGTTAAACAGATTTTCGACTTGTCCATGAGCGAGTCATCGGACAGCGACCAGCGCATATCCTGCTTCGGTATCGTCGCAAAGAGGGAGCAATTACGAGATACCGATTCCACCTCGATCGCCAACACGGAGTCTTGGCCAACCGAGGAGGTGAGCAACGACCAGGCCCCGATGAGCATCGAATCGCTCAACTCCGAGGAGGAAAATCGCCAAGAGGAAGACGCTGCCCAATTGGCTTCTGAGGAGGAGAAATACTCCGATGACGAATTACTCTTTGATCGCGATAGCGAGCGGAAAAAGTCACGTAAAACTGGATTCAAAAGTATCTTGCCCAACATCAGGAAAATATTTCCGTTCATTCGGGTAAGTCGATTAATCCGACTACTCGAAACGATAGCTAATTCTCGAATGATCGATTTTGTAGAAGAAAAAGAAGAAGAAAAACAAGGATATTAATTTGAAGTGCATGAACAAGTGTCGATGCTCGTCAACCATCGATCGGGATGGCGAGTCGCAGCAATTAAGACATCGCGGTGGATCCGATGGTTCAAAGAAAGTTTCAAAACGAAATTTATCATGCTCGTGTAGGGATTCGTCGAGCAGCAAACCAAAGTCTCGTCGTCGATCGAATCAACGGAGTACATACGAACAGAAGCTTGAGCCATTTCGAACGCAAGAAATACCCAAGTAGGAATGAGATCGGTAATTTGAAAAAATGAAAATTCGAGTCAATGATAATCTCTGAATTTTGCAGACATTTACGTAGGGTCTGCAGCGATACAAAATATTACGAGATAAACGAGAGTAGCTCTTCTTGGTACTCGCCCCGAGATGCGTTCGAGGGCAGATTTGACCCGAGCGAGCTGAGCGATAGCTCGGAGTGTTCGGCCGATAGCAATCCTTCCAGAGACAGGTGCAGCGCCTCCATCAACGAAAGCCACGATGTCAGTATTTTGAAAACTCGATACTTAGTAAACTGGCTTATTTAACTGGCTCGTTATCAATTTTTTTACCATTATAGAGTTCTTGTACATTCACTTCCGGCACGACTAATCAATCTGGGTGCGATGCTCAAAGTCAATCGACAAATCCTTCGTTATACGACGTTATCATGGAAACATCGGACGATACATCGGGTAAAAAATGGCGAATGATTTTTCCGAAATGTCCTCGAATCATATAAAATCTCCAATTTATCCTCGTTTTTATATAAAATTACAGTCTCGGAAAATGTCGTTGAGCCACGAAAAATCAGTCGTCCGAGCATCGAGGAATCGTCGTCGGAATCGGAATCCTCGACAAACTCCTCGGTCTCCAGCGAGACACCGAGAAAAACGTCGAAACCGAACATAATCAGGGACGAATCGAGCAACGCCGATGTCAACTCGATTCTCGACTGTCCAATTATCGTATCCAGCGGACAACTCGGTTCGATTATGATGGATCTTACGGATATCAGCGACCAAGTCAATACCGCGATGGATCGTCCAAGCACGAGCAACAATTTCTATTCCCAGCCGGAGCTTACAGGCAGTAGCAGCAGTAACGGCATGAGGATCCAGCTGAAGGATCGTATTCGCGAAGATAGCGATTGAAGCTACGCAACGGCCATCGTCGTAACGTTTGATAATGTAGTTATTCTGTTCGTCTATGTACATCATAGTTTATCGCATTCTAATGTCATTTACTTTCTGTGTCAATAAACCGTCGATAGTTGGTTTTTATTCATGAAAACACGTACCGCCACATATATTCTGAGTTGTACTTTGAAGCGCAAATCGAAAATCCGCGACGCATGCAGTTTTCGAGTCGCGCGCGTCCGCTTACGGCACGACGACCTCATAAATAAATATGTACAACAACGCAAAGCTACCGCGAACGAGTGTAGTATTTATCTATACGCTACTTCTCTCGATAAACAAAATGAAGAGTTTGAGCGTTTGTTGTTGGCAATTTCTCGAGCGCTCGAGCGCGGCTCGCGTCAACGACGACCAAACTACAACGTATGACCGAGAACATTTTTATTTTTCATTCAATGGGTCGATGATATGGAATAATGTAAATGTTTAATATCCGTGTCACGCATACACAGATGATATCGACTTTTAACCTACACTTTGGCATAGATCGTCGTCATTTGGACTTATAACCTATCGAAAAATTTGCAGTTGGTATTATTTCTATCAGTTTACGTGTTTTCCATATTAATTACTTTAATATCATTGAAAGGATAACGAAAATGGTCTATAAAACCATTGTTAGATACGAGAATGAAAAAATTCGAAGCAGATGTACCCATCGTTGCGTGAGAGGAAACGTAAATATTTACATTTGCTCACAAGCAGCCGATAAAGATGAAGATTGTAATACCGATATCGAGCCCGTGTCGAAATGTTTGTGTCCTAATAAAAAAAATAAAAAACAAAACTGTTCAGAAAATAGTGAGTTGACTCGTATCATAAATGTGTGGATACTAATATAAGTCATGGTGAATATTTTTGCTTTTATAGATAAAAAAATTTCAAGTTTTTCCACTCGAAAGGATGATCTAATTTGCTGTTGCCCCTCCAGGAAAATCAGAACTAAAAAAAAATCCAAGTTAATATGTACCTGCAACAGGTGAAACTATGAAATAGGAGAAACATAACAAAATAACATCAAACCTGTGATATTTTTCTGTACAGCAGACACAATAAGATCGACAATGCAGTCAGGTGCGATACAAAATTTCATTTCAAAAACATACCGAAAAAATCATGTCAAGTTTGTTTGCGCAATAAAAAGAAAAAAGAAGCGAATCACAGGATAGTATCGAGAAAAGATGATGCATTTATAGTTAATGCGGACGATTTGATCGATGACTTGTATAAAAAATCGTTAAACTTACCAAGACTAAATAAGTTACACCAGGTGAAAATAAAAGGATCGGTCCCGAAATTGACTGTAAATCGAATTTATCTTAAAAACAAGCAAAGGCGTGATTGGGATGTCAATTGTGTTTGTACTAGGAAAAACAAAAATCTTGGAAGAAATGAAAATACTGTGAAAAAAAATTTTCAAAATCAAAATGCAATAAATTGCAAAACTATGCCCGATAAATTATCGTCAAAGCCCGCAGGTAAAAACAAGTCCATAGAGCTAAAAAATATTTAATTACTTAATTATTTGATTTACTTCTGTGCAGGAGGTACGAGTACATTTAAAATCAGACGTAAGGGATTTTACGGTCTGGAGGAAGACTCTTTGATCGGCTCGTTTAGCAATTTCAAAGCCATTCGATACAAAGTCTGCTGCTGTCACATAGGCGAAGCTTCGTCGAAAGCCGTGGAATACCCGAGAAAACGTCGCTGGTGCTTCTGCCGTCGCATAAACAATCGTCAGCTAATAGAAGCTAGTCGATTTTTACACGATAAAAAGATCTCGAGCGACCGCCACCACCAACGCGTCAGAATCGTGGAAGAATCGTTATCGCCTCGGAAGCAGAATAATAAGACGAAGAAAGTCGCCGTTTGTCATTGCAACGCCGAGTCGCCGCTCAAGATGATAGATGCGCATCGCAAACGCGTCTGTGCATAGAGCTGTATCGAAGTAAGCGAGCGAGCCTGTGGATTTTGGACAATGTCAAGCCCGTAGGCCTGAGATGGATTAAAACTTATTGATACTAGAGAATACGAATTTGAATCAGCGAAATTATCTGTTACCCTGTTACAGTAATAGCGAGCCCACTGAAACTATAGTTTACATAAACTGACAACAAACAGCACGATTTCACATCCGATCTCTCTCATATGAGACCAATGACAGAGTACGTGTCGCGATCGACACAGTCACAAGCACGGTGTAAAACCATAATTAATAGCTTCGATCAATTTACAACTATATAACAGTGTATTTTCTCGAGTAACATCATTAGTACCATGGAAGCTTACTATGCATTCATCGCGACTTCTATGATGGTGTCTTTATACATGGTAATCATCGTGTGCATCTTGATGTCTTTCTTGCCGTCGAACGCAAGAACCGTTCGCACCCATCTGACGCTCGAGTTCATGTAAAGAGAAAAAGTTTATATAAATATTTTATACAGAAGCGCGAGTATCGAGACGCAAAATTCAGCTGATTTTAGGAGACGACGCGTGGTGAGTGGTACTTTTTATTTTCATCTTTTTTTCCTTCTCGTTGCTCTCAGAAATTCAATTTGATGATTGCGGTTACACGGAGAGATGCGCGGCCTTCGTTCGTAATAGAGACGAAATCGAAAACGTGCGAGAGCGATCCGATAAGTCTGGTCATATATAATACGAGCCCCGAGCTAGCGCACACGATTATCTCGATCGATGAAAAAAATAGATACGGAAAAATTTCGTTTGTTATACGTATGTATGCCAGGTGCAGAAAGATCGAGCGCGTGGGCGGGGGCGATCAGGAAAAACGTTGGAAAAAATAATACGCGTGCAGGGGGCAGATCGAGGTAATTTACATTTATAGGCGGGCACACAGAGGTGCTACTCGCTAAGAGAATCCGAGCTGACCACGCCGATATCCCGCGATCGAGAGCTTCGAGATATAACTCGAATGCCAGTGTAGGGAGTTTGAGTAGGGGAAAGGAGTCGTGTGTGCGTGTGCGAGTGGATCGCGTTGCCGGAGCGAATGAGCCGCGCGCCGTTTATGTGTGTGGCATAATCACAAAGCCGACGGAGATTCTGGCCGCTAGTTCAGTTGTGGTCCTCCACTTTGAAAGAGAGATTCGAGCGTGCAACATCTACCAGTATCGAGCTGCTTCATACCGATTTTCCGAGATCGGGACTGTTATCGAACGACGGCCAGCGAGTTTTGCGCGTGTTTTATTTTTACTGCCTCGAGAAAGAGCGAAAAACAAATTGATTCGCGAACTTGAGTCTGGCCCCAGCTCGCATCTATCATTTTGTCGTTTTAATTTTTGAGAAGAGAGGGCCTGATTCACAATGGACGCGAGGACGAGCTCGGGCGTGACGATTACGGCGGACAAGAGCCGCGTGCAGGTGCTCGTTGACAAGGCGGCCCAGCTGAGGGCCCTGGACCAGCCGATGAATCTGCAGCAGCTCATCGCCAGACTGCACGAGGCCTTCGCCACGAACGACGTCGACATCGACCACGTGCAGGACCTCATGTTCTCGTACAAAAGCAATCCCCAGGAGTGGAGGCAGTTCGCCAAGTTCGATCGCTACAGGTGGGCACAGCAGACGCACATAATTATATTCTATTACTTTTTTTTTCAATTTATCGAACGATCCATGTATCGTGAATCGAGCTGACGTATCGACAAGATAAGGACGATATTTCGGGTGTCGATGTACCACAAGGCCGGAACTATTGTATCGATCGCAAATCGAGTGTGGCGAGCGCGTGTGCGTATACACTTGGAAGGAGGAGAGCAGTACAAGCTTTCATCGGAGCGTATTATACGATGCAGCCGCAGCTACCTTTACGTGTACATAGCGGAATTGTCGCGCGATGGAAAGTTCGTTTAGAGATTTTCACCAGCTTAATTGGGCTCGGATTAAAGAGAGATTGTCGTGCCTCGTGTTTTATACGTATAATATACATGACTTACGTGTCCACTTTTTTTCACGTGCCCCGTCTCGCGCGTGAGAGAAGGAGAGAGAGAGAAAAGAAGCACATCTTTTTCATAGAATGATATTATCGACGTCCGGCCCGCTAAAGAAAGAGAGAGGTAAGACGAGGAGGAGGCCATCGGTCAAACAACTCTTCGGGCCTCTGCGGAGTAACGGTAGCGCTGTTTATTGCCTGTCAAATGCCTCGTTGGCGGATTTATATACGGCTTGACTCGACTCCTCGTGTACCAGCCATGTAATTATATGCACGAGGATCATGAGCGCATTCCAGTATTCGTGCAAAAAATCGCGCTCCCTGTCAGTTTGTTTCTTCGTTAACACTATAGCAGCAGCGGCAGCAGACACGGCTTGGTCGAGAATTCGATTTCTGATTCGAGTTCAGCGGGGTTATCGGTTAATTGCGTTGCGTTTCGAGCTGCTCTTGTGCCTTTCACGAGTTGTGTCTTTCAACCCAAAAACTATATGGGACCAAGTCCGTGACGAACAAACCTGTTGTTTCTGCTGCCGTTGTTGTTGTTGTTGTTGTTGTTGTTTACCGATTTCGATTTCACGCAGATGTGCTCGCGTCAGTGACCGATTCGTATACGCGACCGGATTGTTATGCTAAAAGCACAGATTCCACATAAAAATCGGAGATAATATTTTGTTCGGGCGATCTTGGGATGCTCGAATTGCTGATAAGAAAGTGACATGTTGTTGGACGCACGCGCGCCCGAGTATATTATTATACAGCCTCGCGCACGTACTGCATAGAAGGAAAAGCAGCTTGATTTATCGCACCTTTATCTATCTATCTCTCTCTTCACACATCGCAAGCACACACCTTCGAATCGAGCGGAAAAAAGCCTGCATACGAGTACTATGGACACTTGAAATTTAATCGGCTCGGCGGAATATCTCACGTGCCTAACAGGATGCATTTCTCGTACAAATAGATCGCGCGTATCGTTCGATCGCTATATACGAAAACAAAAATACGCGCGGAGACAATTGAATCCGAGGCGATGTACGATTTCGGCTCTCTCGTTTTTTCATACAAACAACGTGGCGCGCGAGTCTGGAAAATGCGCACTTTTACGCACATAGCTTCGATCGAGCGCTATTATACATCGACGCGATGTTTTCACTATGCACGCAAGAAGCGATAACCGAGAAAACGAAATCGCACTCGCGAGCGCTGATGTAATTCCGGATGAATGTTTCAAAAGTCTTCGATTAGGAGAATTGGCAATTTTTTCACGTGCAATTTCGGCTACGAACAGCAGTAACACGACGAGCGAATAATTTTGAATATCGATCGGTGGATTCCTGGATTTTGCTTTAAAAAAAGAAATAATTATATTTTTTGTGGTCAATCATTGACGAAGCGAACGAGCATTAAATGGCATTGCGAAAAATTCCATCATGGCTCGTCGATCTCTTATCGTTTTATGCAAATTTATTATTTTATCTTCGGTGGCGGTAGCAGCAGCAGCGGGTTAAAAAGGAGAATAAACGATTGATTATCGCGCGCGCACACAGTATAGAATGGAAGTGTTTCGAAATTAAAAGCGAGCGCTCTCGGTCGCGTAATGATGAATCGAGCTCGTGCGCAGCCTCTGCGCTTGAGGTCGTAGGTCTCTCTCTCTCTCTCTTTCTTTCGTTGTAACGCCAAGGCTGAAAGCGATAAACATAAACAGCGCGAGCGCAATGTTGAAAATTGAGATTGGGCAAAAGTTTTGACACATCGATTATATACATTTATAATGGCATATGACGATTGTTGACCGGCACACAGGTACACGAGGAATCTGGTCGACGAAGGCAACGGCAAGTTCAATCTCATGGTGCTGTGCTGGGGCGAGGGTCACGGCTCGGCCATTCACGATCACGCGGACGCTCACTGCGTCATGAAAATCCTCCAGGGTGAACTTTGCGAGGTAACTATGCATCTGTGTGTTTATATAAATGTCTGAATCACGATAGTTTGACATTGACATTGACACGGACCTCTGTTGACTCTTCCGCGCGCGCAGACCAAATACAAGTGGCCAAAGTCAAGCTCCACGGAAGAAGAGAACGACGACTCATGCCTGGGAGAGCTCGAGGAAATCGGCAGGTGTAATTATAAGACCAACGAAGTTACCTACATAAACGGTAAGGCCTCGCTCTTTTAATCTCAACGAGTATCTCGTGACTCAATAATGATTGATCGATCGATTCGAATTGGATCGCAGATTCGATCGGCCTGCATCGAGTGGAAAACGCGAGCACGGTCAATCCGGCGGTGTCGCTGCACCTCTACTCGCCACCCTTCGAGGCCTGCTCGATTTTCAATAAACAGACTGGAAAGAGGACCAAGTGCCCGGTGACGTTCTGGTCCAAGTTCGGCGAGCGCCGTTGCAAGGTAATGACCAATTCCCTCGTCCATCGATATTTTTCTTGCGTTTGAATCCAGTATCTAAATTTTTTTTGTGACTTTTTAGGAGATTCAAAACTCTAGGATGCCGGAGGACAATTGAGAGCGTTACCAGTTTTACACGCACATAATATATATATATAAATACTGACATATGCTTATGTATGTGTCTGTACAGTTTACATATATAATATTTACAAGTGTATCTGTTCATTTTTATATGTTTAAATGTATACATACGCATACTATCCGTGCTATGCATAGACACTTTTTGTATATAAACACAAAACTCGATGTATTTTACGCAACAACGAAAAAAATTGCTGCGCAGTGGTCAAATGACGGTTGCTTTTATTTTAGGCGGACACGGATTCCAAAAAACAAAAAAAAAGACACAAGCTCGCAAACTTTAGGACGTACCACATTATTGCGCGCGAATCTTTTAAGCTTTGAAACAAAACAAATTATTTTTATATTATATAATGAACGTGGCTATTTTTACTCATGATAATAAAAATTGTACAATCAATTTTCAAAGATGTTCAAAGTCTTGATGATTTATTACTCATAATTTTTTCTGTCTCCCTTTGTCTCTTTTTACATTTATACAATAATGCTTTACCATCGGGGTTTACAATTAAAAGGTTCGAAGTTACGATCCTCGCATTGAGAATAGTAAGAAAAACACACAATATGTAGCAATCGATTGGTTTACAATATTTGTTATTTTTCTTACTGATCGAGATGTTTAATGGATAACATAATTAACAATATATCGAAAGCCGGAACTAGTCTCGGGGTGACGAGAAAAGTATTCGATCGGCAAACAATTAAACACTGACTTTTTTTCTTATCAGTTCACCTGAGAATGGAATATTGACACTTGTACTTTTTTCACAGATATAAAATAATATAGACATTTTTATCGCTCGGGGCTCGATACAATTATTTTATGAAAAAAAAAGAAGAGCGCGAAACTCTGATTATTTAATAAGTCGTTTCTTATTAAATTGCTAAGCAATTATATTACTCGACGATTCGATTAAATAATGTCAGAGCCTCGCGGGCGTGCGCGGGCTCTCTATCTTCGGTCGGATAATATACAAATAAACAAAAAATTAAAAAGAAAAAAGAACTAGGAACGTGTAGCGTCCAGCTCGGGTCGTAATTAGTAATCTTACTCACTTTCCAATGTACAAATTCAATTCTTTTCTTTCTTTTTTTTCATCCCTTCAAATCAAACGCAAATTAATTATCCGATTAATTCGCTCTAGCGCACAATACTTCCATACGATGCTGGAGTCTTGAGAATAATAAAAAAATTTTCTTTCGATAACACGCGAGAAATCGTATCCGGAGCCTCGGGTACGGGTAAGGATAAACGGATCGCAATCGATACTCGTGGTGCTCGAGTATTATGTATATCGATCGGATGCGCGCGAAATTACATTCGTAACGTAATTCGTGAAAGTAATAAAAACGAGTTTATAAGGCAGATTATACATGAGCACGTGTATCACGAGCTTGCTTGTAGCCGGTAATACATGTCATATATAATTGCTGGGCAGCGCGCGCATGTGTGGGTATATATATACACACTCATACATACAGACGCACACGCACACGCACGCACATACACACACTCACACAGACGCTTTATTAGGCTATGTATTATATAATATAAATAGTATTTATAAGCTCCGGGTATTTTTATGTTTCATACGAACGGGGGACAGCTAAACACTAAAATACAATTAATTTAATTAAAATATACTCGTCGTTTTTACGCGCACACGAGAGAGCGCGGAAGTCTTGAGCTTAATCATTCCATCGACCTGCATCATTATACAGAGTATCGAAAATCATAAGCGCCGTCGAAAAATCGTTAATCTATTATTTTTACTCGGTCATGTTGTCGAGTATCCAGTCGACGTAGGGCGCGAGCCTCGTGTAGACGCCCGGCACGCCGGGTATGGCGCACCTCTGGCGGCCGTAGCTGACGATGCCGTGCTGGATGGTCCGGTCGGCGCCGCGATAGGGTCCGCTCGCCTGGAGGGGTCCGCCGCTGTCGCCGCTGCAGGAGTCGCGACCCTCCTGGCCGCCGGCGCACAGCTGCCTCTCGGCGCTGATCTCCATGAAGGGCTGGTCCGAGTAGGCCTTGCGGCACCTGTCCGTGTCGACGATCGGCAGACTGACCTTGCGCAGGCGCGAGGTCGTGGTCGGGTAGGTGGCCTCGGTCGAGCCCCAGCCCGTGACCAGGGCCGTGGGGCCGAGGGCGCGCGAGCTCGCCTCGTCCAGCGGCAGACAGATCGGCCGGACGTTGGCCGGCTTGAAGCTCATCGAGCCGCGCACCCGCACGAGGGCGATGTCGTTCTGCCAGGTGACCTGCGAGTAGGCCGGATGCACGAGGCTCCACTCGATCTCGAGCTCGCGATACTTCTTGGCGCAGATGAGGGCCGAGTCGTTGCCGTAGCTCTCGCAGTCGATCTCGCTCGACAGGTCGTGCTCGCCGATCCGCACCCCGGCCAGTTTCAGATCTGTAACGATCGACAAATATCAAGATCGACGGATACAAAAAAAAAATATAGGCAGATATATCAGGGGTAAAAGACTCACTGGGCAGCTGAGCGACGCAGTGGGCCGCCGTGAGGATGTACTTGCGGCTGATGATGGTGCCGGCGCACTTGAAGGGCTCCGGATCCGCGGCCGAGCCGGACTTGTTACTGGACGAGTCGTTGTACTTGAGCAGGACCATCCAGGGAAACTCGAAGAGGCGAGTCTCGCTGCCGCCGTAGATTTTCGCGAGGGCCGGCGATCGGCCGCACAGCTCATGATCGAGCAGTCGCGCGTTCGGGTGCATGTGGCCTCTCGAGTTGGGCCGCTCCGCAGCTTTTGCCTGCTGTCCCGTGGCCGTGATCGAACTCGCGCCGTACTCGGGCATCTGTCGGCTTGGCTCCTCGTGGTACTCGGGCCTCGGCCTTGGCGTAGTCGACGTCGTCGCCGTCGTAGTTGTCGTTTTAGTCAACGTCGTCGTGGAGGTAGAGATCTCGTGGCTGTTGCCGGATTTCTCGCAGCAGACCATCGGCTCCATGCCTGCGCACTCGATGATTTTTCTCGTAACAAGCCACGATATAGTGACGCGTACTTGCGTTATCGCGCATTAGAATTGTATACATACCATCGAAGCCACAATTGAATTGTCGGAGCTCGGCGAGCACCCGCCTCGACGGGTGAATCATGAGCTTCCTCATGATCGAGCGGCAGTACTTGATGTTCTTGCAGACGCCCTCGTGGCCGCTGCGCGTTATGCAGGCGTCGCCGGGCGTGCCCAGTACCACGAGCAGGATGGCGAACAGCAGCAGTGAGGCATTATTTAGTCGCCGGGAATGCATATCCTCGATTGTGAAATCGATTCGATTCTGTGTATATTAATATAAGAGCGTTGTTTTCAACGCGCGGCGTCCTCACTGTGTGGTACTTGGATCAAAATTTTTCACTTCTATCTATTACGAACGAGACCGAACGCGATGCGCGGCCCAAATTAACTGACACATCTTCTCGCGATCTGTATACAATGGTATGCTATTGTTGTTGCCAATTTTCCTACACACATACGTAGCTCGCGTAGCTCCATCGGTGCTCCATTAGGTGAACGATCGAGCGTAACAATAAAGATTCCATCGACTATCCGACTCGATCGCTATTTTCCTCATTTAATAGGAACACAATTACTACAAAGCGAGCTTTGCGCGTCCGAAATTGAAATGCCGCCGAGTCACGTGGCTACGCATCGAGCCCCTCGCCAGCTGATTCGCGCGCTCGACGAAGAGAGCATGTGCCATCGCGCGTGCCTACTGTACTTATCATATATACACGCTGTATAACAGCGAAACGCGCAACATTACGAGTAAGATAGTGTGGTACACAGTGTTATTGCACTATGACATAAAAGTCATCGATTTATTAAGTTATAAGGAATACCGATATTTACGTGGCCCGCTTGCACAATGTCGTACTTGACGAGGACCTTTAATCGTGCCGTGCAACTTAAAACAATGACGACGAAAGCTGCTGTGCCCTGGACGCATTTGCAGAGGGTGCGAGTGCTCTACAAGATGGTGCTGAGGCTGCATCGCGGCCTACCCGACGAAATACGAGAACTCGGCGACGTCTACGTCAAGGACGAGTTTCGACGACACAAAGACTGCGGTCCCACCGAGGCCAATGTTTTTCTCAACGAATGGGCGGTAAGACATCCAAGTTTTCTGCTCGCTTTGCTTCCCTCGTCGTCTGCTACCCAATGCTTACACAATTACATTATCAAGCACCGTGCGTTTACTCGTGCGATGATGATACATTTTTTGGCATTACGCTCAACAAAACATTTTTGATCGCTCGACAGGATTACGCAATAAATTTGTCGGAGCAGCTCGGTTTGAGGGGCCCGAAGACCGCCAAGCCGCTGGGCCAGGTTCTGGACGAGACGCTCATCGACAAAATGCGAGACGAGCAAGTTCACCAGTTGTACGAGCTCATGTTGGCAGCGAGAAATGAAAAAATAACTGACATTAAAGACAGCGACAACAAGAGTTGATGTGAACGGAATCCAATTAAGAGACAGGCGCCTCCGGCATTACAACTTCTTGTGCAGTCTTGTAAAATAATTAGAATTAAGAATTTTACTCATAGGTAGCGATTTTTTAACGAGTGAATTTCAATACCGTTGATTGATGTGACAGAATGCAGACAGCTGATGTGAATTATTCATTATTATGAAAGTGCAATTAAACAAAGTGCTGCCATCTGTTAAACTTTTTCTTCTCCTCAATTATTGTTAATGGCAATGAACATGCTATCTTTTTCTCAAGCATCGCTAGTCATATTACCAACATCTGTACAGATTATCAGTTTCTTTTTACTGTAACATCAAAGTGTTGTTCATTTAATTCTCTGCTGTTGATTAAATCATTTCAATTATTTGAGAGAAAACTAACATTTTTAATTATAAAATAAATGTATTAAATCTTAATATCAATTATATTTTTGGTACTTATTGATTTATTTTGTAAGCCAATTAGATAAAAAAAAGGCACAAAAGTCATAATTTTTAGCAACATAACCTGAGGAATTATTTGGTTGAAAACTTGCTTGTTGCACTTTTAAATTTGTGAAAATAAATTGGATTAAGTAGTACTTTATATAATTTGTTTAATATTTTTGAAAATGAAAGCTTGGAAAGAATCAGCTTGTCTAATACTAGCAGCTCAAAAAGGATTAAATGTCAAAAGCTCTGTAAGTTCTTGGAACATAAATTTAAAAAATACTTAAATTTCTAAATATTTGACAAATGCTTTTTTATTATTCAGTTTAACTACAGTTTGCTGTTACTTAAAAGACATCCAAATACAAAATTTCCTGGAAGTTACGTATATCCTGGAGGATTAATAGAACCCGCGGATGGTCATTTAAAATGGCAGAAACTTTTTGAGAATCAAGGTTGTAACAAAAGTAGTTTTGATTCACTGTTTACAAATTCTACAAAAAAATTAGAAATTTTTCGGGAAGTCAAACACGAATTACCTAGACAAATTTCCCTGAGGATTAGTGCAATACGAGAAACATTTGAAGAATGTGGGGTGCTAATATGTAAAAAACCATCAGATCACTGTGAGCTCCCAATCCAACCATGTGACTTACAAAGTTAGTTAAATAATTCAACTATGTACAAAAGTTTTGCAAGTTTTGTATTTACTTGCTTTGATCTTTTTTAGTTCCAAAAGAGGAATTGAATTTTTGGCAGAAGAAAGTTCATAATGATGCCAATGAATTTTTCAACATGTGCGAAAATTTCAAATGTCATCCAAATTTATGGGCTCTCCAAGAATGGAGCAATTGGCTTACTCCAACGTTTTTTCAAGCTCGTTTTGATGCAGTATTTTTTTTTACAATGTTATCCAAAATTCCAGATAGTAATCTTGATTATGTAGAAATGCAAGAACTTCTTGTAAGTATTTAATTATTTATTTAAAGTTAAAAAACAGAATTGAAATTAAATAATGAGCCCACAGTGGATTGAGCCAAAAGAAATGATGGAAAATCCCCTTATATGGAGTGCTTTACCACCTCCTCAACAGTACACAGCTATTGAAATGTCAAAATATAAAAATTCAAACGAATTATTGAACGCAATGGAGCTTAAATCCAAGAGAGAAATTAAACGAAATTTACCTGTAAGTAATCAATAAAACAATGTTGAAAGACATTTTTGCTTACTACTATTAATATTGATTTTCAAACTTTGTAAGATGAGTGTTATACTAAAAAATGGATCAGTACATTTACTACCAGGAGATTCCATGTATCCAGATAATATAGATCCTTGTAAAAAAGAAGTTATTGATAAAACAAACCTGACCATTGAACAATTCCGAAATGAAGCTCAAAAAATTCATAGATTGGAAATATTCGACAGTCCAGATATAAAAAATAATTTATTGAGTAAATTTTAGAAAAATCGAACGATAATAAAATTTTTTTATCAAATTCAAAAGGTTCTTATTTTACCCATAATTGTTTTTGTCAGTTTTGATTTTTGAACTTCGAACAAATGCATTGCGTCACCGACTAGTTCGCGGTTAGCGACTGCGTCACAATATTGCAAATGAAGAATTCTGCGCATAACGGCATAAAACATAAGCTACTCCGCTGGCAAGTAAGCCGTCTGCCGGTCTCGCACTTGTCTCCGCGAAATCAATAATGAAACACAAACTACTCGCAGTCTCTTGATGTTTGCTTGCCTCTAAAATACAGTGATCGTGTTCACACATTTCTTATTTTACAATCGGTAGCAGGCTATACACCGCGGCATTAGCAGTGAGAGCCAAAAACCGTCTGCGAACGCTTTCTCACTTCATATTTTTCGTCAACACAGTCTCTTCTTTTACATCGTGTGCAGACAGTTTTGATAAATAAACGCGGAATGTCGATCTTGGATGAAAGGTAATCATTTTTATTAATAAAATTACGCCTTCAAATTGGAATTGAAGTGAGTTTGACATTGTCTTCGGTTTTTTTGACAGGTTGACGGATGAGATCGAGGCGTTACAAGCTATCCTATTAGACGATGAACTACGAATCGTCGAGAATGACAGGTGAGGGGCACGTTACATTTTCTAAAGTTCTCCCAGCGTATTTACATGCACGGTCATGATAAACATTTAGCATCAGTAATGTTCATTTTATTTTTTTTTTAGGGGTGAACCCGAAGTAGTTGAAGCACTAGTATTCCCGTCAACTGGAGAAGACTCTGAATCTCAATATGTTTGTGTAAAATTAAATGTTACCCTTGTACCAAACTATCCTGATGCTAAACCTATTGTGAGTTTGAGAAATCCTAGGGGTTTAGACGAAGACACTGTTAAAAAAATTCAAAAAGATGTCGATGCCAAGTGTGAAGATTTTATAGGTCAACCTGTCATATTTGAGTTGATTGAGGTATGTTTGGATTCTCAAATCACAAAAAAAATTTGAAAAACAAAATGTTTCTATGATACAGGAATCAATTTTGTTAGGGCATAATAATGTTTTCGTTATCTTATAACTTTTATTATTTTTAGCTTGTAAGAGAGCATTTGACAACGAGTAATCTCCCAACGGGTCAATGTGCTGTATGTTTGTATGGTTTTCGCGATGGTGATAAATTTACAAAAACTGAATGTTACCACCACTTTCATTCACATTGTTTAGCTGCTCATGTGGTTGCTTCAGAAAAGTCTTACAACGAAGAGCAGGATAAGTTGCCATTGTGGCAAAAAGATGCTACTAATAAGTTTCAAGTATGAATAAATTACTTCATAAAAGTGATTATCTGTGACTAGACTGAAATTTAATTTTTGAAAATAATATTTTTAGGCTTTATGTGCAGTATGTCGTGAACCAATTAGCTGTGATGTTTCTAGTCTTATTAGTGCACCACCTCCTTTAGATGTTGAGGCTGCTACTGGTTTTGTACTGACTCAAGAGTTGCAAGAGATGCAGCGTCAAATGGCTGAACTTTATGTTTATCAACAAAGTCGTGGTGGTATTATTGATATTGAGGCAGAAGAATCAAAACTTCTCCTTACTACGGAAGATGATCCTGTTGATGAGCGGCCAACTCCTGCTAGTACCAGTGTAACTACAACCTCCAACAATTCAGCTACTGTGGTTAGCTATCAAAGTCACGTAGCAATCAATACTATTTTTCTTTCTCGTTATTGAATTTTGTTTATTTTTAACAGCAACCAAAGCAGCAACCACAACAGCAGCAGCATCATTCTCAAAATCATAACAACCATAATAGCAATTCTCGTCAAAATCATCATGGCCATCATCATGGACGCAATCATCATCGTGGACGGGGCAAGGGTCATGTACGTCGACACCTTGAGCGTATTCGTCAAGGCGACCAAACTTCCAGATGACAATTGGAGCTCAACTGTATTGTTATTATACACCAACTCACTAATATTTTTATTAGAGTGTATATCATTGCTCTATCTAATCTCTTCATCCACTTCTCTATTTCAAGCAATTTTAACTTAAGCAATCGAGCATCTGCATTATCACACTCAAAATCGTTGCTTAGGAATTCATTATAGGTATTACTTTTCAGCAGCATTAAATGCGTCACGGTGTATAATATGGAAAGTGTTGATATTACTTATTATTATTGCTATTTTTGCAATTATAATTATTATCCATTCATTTTTAATTATAATATTAAACAGTGGTGCTATTTTTTTCCAACAAAAGTAGCTGATGTGAGTTGACCCATATACTGGACTCATAGTTTTTCAATTTCCTGAGATTATCATTTTAAAACTAACTCAATCAGTTTGATAACCTACCTGCTGGTCGCATGCAAATATATGATATTATCAAATATTCGGTAGTGTATTGAATACCACTCCTGTGGCTCATTTGTTGTACAAAATGGGAGAAAAACTTACACTTTTTGTACACTTTTTACACATAACGATGAAAATCAGTCTATTCAAATAAAATGATTCATGATATATCATCATTTTTACACCTGCTGGAAAAGATGTGTTTTACAATAGTTCATTTTAAAACAAACATCACATATAAGTTTGTTTTAACTGCTTTTTTATTCATTGCATAATGAATGACATCACTGATGAAGCAGTTAATGTTGGTTTTTCAGAGAAATGAATGTTTTCTCTTGAGTTTATATTATTCAAGCTATGCTGTGATATACTTATCTGTCCTTTTCAAAAAATATTATATATTTATTATTTAGTATAATCACTTTATCAAATTCATAACATGAATTTGATTTGTAAATTTAGGTTCTTCTTGTATAATTTTTTTTAGTTATAATTTTCTCACAGACCATATGAGCTTGTTAGGTTTAGAAAATGGAAATAGACGATTAAATGAAATTTGTAGTTAATGTATATTGCTCCAAGGCACTGCCATATTATATACCGTACCATGAATGTTGCCAAAATTAGGAAAAAATTTCAGTTAAATACATTTTTAAGCTATACATGTTGCTTGAAACATGGAAAAATTAAACTAAATATAAAATATTACTCATCATTAGTAACAGAATTTAATCTCATGTAGAAAAAAATGAAATTTTTAAGAAGTAATGAACTCTCAGTACTAAACTTGATCTATAATACAAAAATGAATTTATTATATTTAATTTAAATTGATACAAAACCTTGTCAATTATTTGTAAATACGCATTATTTATTTTAATTTACGTCATTAAAATTTTAGGTATGCAAAGATGTGCTTTATTTCTTTAAGTATTAAGATTAAGAATCGATGGGATATTTGATATCCTGGAATTTGTAATTTTTTTTACAACACAACAATTTATTGTAACTAAATTGTTATACAGAAAATGTTTCATATGCTACATTTGTATGGCACAAAAGTTATAAAAAAGAATTGATGCAGTTGACATATGTTTTATACTTGCCACGTAATGAAAGCCATTATAACAGTTAACAATATATCTTGTAAGTTAATACTGTTAATCTAATCAATAATCTTCATTGTACTCAAATTTTAAATTAAATAAACGTGAAATATCGCACAATAGTTGGCCGCTTATTTGACTATTCACTTATACAAATAAAAATTGTACAATCTTATTCTTATTTTACACTGTGTAAAAGTTTTGGTAAAATTGGCATATGAGTTATACTGTAAGGTAATTCGTCAATACGAAGATTTGGCCGCTTTTGACACGATTCATTTATAGATCAACAGAATATAAAAAAACAGATGGGTCAACTAGAAAGATCTCTTTGAGGAACACAGGTTGGGGGAAGTTTTGACACCGTACACCATGCCAGGGGTAATTTCTACTTTGCTACTTGTCAAGTTTCAATTCATCCCCTCGCGATCGTTAAAACTCGATCGGCTTTAACGTTGCGTCGACCTTAACAAAGTTTCTTGATTTCCATCTTACAAGAGAGCGTCGCGCTTCAAGTCACCGGAGTCAAGGCGGGCTCGAGTTTCAGTCGCAACTTGTCGAGGCTGCTATTCACCGGCTGCCAGAAGTCTTTGCTACGGTCCAGCAGCTCATTGATGGTGCCGAGCAGCTGAGGATCGAGTGGCTTCGGCGACGGCATTGGCACGAAGGGAAAATGCACGAGGTTGCTGCCGTTGTCGACGTAGCCCTCGTCGATGCTCGACTCTTCGGACGAGGCCAAACATTTCGGGTTTTGCTCTTTCGATTCCTGCATGGGCCAAAGTTTGTATTTATTATCAAAAGAATCGCAGAGCCAAAGCCGAAGATAAATAAACACGTACCTGTCGAGAAAGGGAACGAGCTCGTTGACGCGGTGGCTGGGCCGCGAGCAACAATTGCCGAAGAGCAGAGGCTCGTCTGCGCTCCTGTCGGAGTCTCTTGAAGAGCGACGCATTGGCCGAGTAGGAGAGCGACCTGAGCCGACGACTATCGTCGCAAGCACCCTGCAGCCGAGTCAGCTTGTGCTCCAAGTCGGCGTTGCGACTCCTCAGCAGTCTGTGCTGGGCTATCATCTTGGTCAGCTGGGCCTGGAGCTGCTCGATGGCCCCCTGCACCTGTTCCTTGTCCTGCTGAGCGGCCAGCAAGGCGCCCTGAGCCACCGCGGCCTCGGAGCGCGACGTCTCGAGCTGCAGTCGGAGCTCGCGCACCTCCTCGGACAGTTGGACCCTCGCGGCTTGGGAGCTTCTCCAGCGCTCCTCGGCCGCGCTCGTGAGCTTGCGCTGCTCGGACAGCGAGGCCTCGCTCGAGACACGCTCGACCTCGAGGCCGGTGAGCCGCTGTTCCAGGGCCCGCAGCTCGGCTCGGCCCTCCTCGAGCTCCTCCTCGGACCTCTGGAGGCGCGCCGAGAGCTCCGCGTGGAGCAGCGGCGGAATCGAGGTCGCCGTCTTCGGGGCGCAGCTGCAGCAGCTGTACTTCCTCGTCTTGAGCTGGTCGATCTCGGCCTGCAGCTGGTCCTTCTCGGCGCGGTGCTTCTGCATCACGACGAGATAGTCGTCGTTGAGCTGCTTCCACTTGGCCGTGACGTTGACCAGGGTCTGGTGCTTCTGCCTGAGCATGCTCTGATAGGTGTCGAGCTCGATCCGCAGACTGTTGGAGCGCGCCTGGGCCTCGTGCATCTGCGCCTGGTACCACTTGGTCGAGTTCTCGGCGGCGGCGAGCTTGCACTCGGCGTCCTTGGCCAAGTTGCGCAGCCTCTGGCGCTCCTGCAGCGAGTCCTGGGCCTGCACGTGGAGCTCGCTTATCTTGGCCTTGAGGCCCCGATTGGCGGCGCTTTTGGCGTCCAGCTCGAGCCGGCACGAGGCCAGCTCCACGCCGAGGCGCTCGTTTTCCAGCTCGAGGCTGCGCAGCTTTTGCATAACGTCGCAGTTGTCGCCGCCGGCGTTGATCTCGAGGCTCGACGCGGCTTCGTCGTGCTGCAGCCTGAACTCCTCCATCCAGGATTGCAGCGAGTCCGTCGAGACGATCGAGTCCAGATCGGCCTTCGACGAGTCCGACGCGTGTCCGAGGATGGGCTCCATGACGCGTGGATCGAATCGCCAATTATCCAGCTGGTTTTGTAAATCTGCATTTGTTTTACAAACAATTTAAAATTTTCGAATCCAAGCCAATTGAACCGGCATTTATATGAAAATCACACATGCTTCTACGACGCGACAAAATAAGTTGTTTTTCACTGTAATAAAACCACCTGTAGTCACCTGTAGTGTTGCGAATTGCAGTCACTTAGAAGCAGGAGCAATAGCAGCAGGAACGAGGCGAGGAGGGCATTTTTTTCGCTCAAATTGTCCTCCCACGAGCGCAGTAGTAGTATGACAGCTCCGCGTCGGTCTTGTCATGATCACTGCAGCAGCGAAGCGGGCAATAGCTCCGACCTTCTGGGTATAAGCGGCGATGCGACGTCGAGCGAGAGCAGCAGCAGCTCGGCGTGCCTCGATGCATGGCTGCAGTGGTATAACAGCGAAATAAATTTAAACAAAGTGAAAAAGTTGGCTTCGACCGAACGTATTGCACGATACCGTATAGGTATATATTTATATTGGCACGGTGGCTCGTGCCAGCCAGTTGACGCGAGCTCGCGCGCGTGTCTGTGCGCCCGACAAGGATAGCCGCGTACTCTATCTACATGACATTATACATTTGCACAGAAGCACGAGCATTTGAGCGTAGGCGATCAATGACGTCTCTGTTTTGTATCTCTCTCTCTCGAGTCTGCGTAGCACGTTGTCGTGCGGTGGGGTTGACGCAACTGTGCAGCGCAGCAGCAGAGTCAGTGGTAAACAAACAGAGAATCGTACCTTTAAACGTCGATCTCGGAGTCTGCCCCCTCTTCACTGGCAACTTCATGCAGCGTAACGTCGTCTGCTGCAATGTTATCGTCGCGTGTGCGGCGGCGCTTGACAGGCACGCGATATAATAATACTGCATGCATGACTCGTCATCGGTAGGCAGATTCTCATTATACTCTACGGTGGCTCTTGGTACACCTGCTACCTAGGCAACTCTTGTCTGCCAATTGTTCATTGCCACAACAAAAAGGTCCGTGCCTCGTGCGGGCCTGTATTTAAGATCGCGGATTCGAGACAAGCTGCGAAATTTTCTACGTGGCCAAACGGATTGTGATATTTTATTAACGTTTGTGTCGTGTATACATAGAAAATCATGCCGGCGTCTCGGGCATTGACCAAGTCCAACAGCAGCGAGGAGATCGAGAACGTGCGCGTGGTCGTGCGGCTGAGGCCAGTCAGCGGCAAAGAGATCGACGAGCACTGTCAAAGCATCATCAAAATCGACACCCTCAACAATGTCATCACCGTGCGCAATCCGAACGCGACCCGCGAGGAGCCACCCAAGGTCTTCGTATTCGACGCCGTCTTTGACGCCGAGTCTACCCAGGTCGACATTTACAACGAGACTGCTAGGCCCATTGTCAACAAAGTCTTGCAGGGCTACAATGGAACGATATTCGCCTACGGCCAGACCGGAGCTGGCAAGACTTACACCATGACTGGTACGAAAACTTCGCCCCAACTCAGGGGTATAATACCCAACTCGTTTGCCCATATATTTGGCCACATTGCAAAGGCCGATGAGAATCAAAAGTTTCTCGTTAGGGCTACTTACTTGGAACTGTATAATGAAGAAATCAGAGATTTGCTGGGAAAAGATTTGCATCAAAAGTTAGATGTCAAAGAGAGACCCGACATTGGTGTTTATGTCAAAGATTTGAGTGGTTATGTTGTGAACAACGCAGATGATCTTGATCGGATTATGACAATCGGTAACAAAAACAGGGTCATTGGAGCAACTGCAATGAACTCTTGTAGTTCCAGATCCCATGCTATATTTACTATAACTGTTGAGTCTAGTAATATTGGAGAAGATGGTCAGCAACATGTGAAAATGGGTAAACTGCATCTGGTTGACCTGGCTGGGTCAGAAAGACAGAGCAAAGCTAAGACTAGTGGAATTAGGCTTAGAGAAGCGGCGAAAATCAATCTTTCTCTGTCTACTTTGGGAAATGTTATTTCAGCTCTGGTCGATGGTCAAAGCTCACATGTACCATATAGAAATTCTAAACTCACAAGATTGTTACAAGATTCCTTAGGTGGTAACTCAAAGACCCTTATGTGTGCTAATATAAGTCCTGCTGATATAAATTATGATGAAACCATCAGCACACTTAGGTATGCTAACAGAGCCAAAAATATTAAGAACCATGCTAGAGTAAATGAAGACCCTAAAGATGCTCTGTTAAGACAATTTCAAATTGAAATTGAACAGCTCAGAGAGCAATTAGAAACTAATGGTTGTGGTGTGTCAGAGTCAGATGAAGAATCAGACCAAGCTGAAGAAATTGATCCAGAAGAAGAAAACAAAAAAGCTGATAAACTACAAAAGATATTAGAAAAAGAAAATCCCAAAGATATAATGGAGTTAGAACAAACTCAGTCACAGAAAGCTCTATTACGCGAAAAAATACAAAACTTGCAAAAAAAGATACTTGTAGGAGGAGAAAATCTTTTAGAAAAAGCTGAAACTCAAGAGAACCTTTTAGCGGAATCGGCCAAGGAGCTGGAAGAGCGAAAGCGCAAAGAAGAAGAACTCAAGAAGGCCATTGAAGAAAAAGAAGCAGAGAGAATCGATATTGAAGAAAAGTACTCGTCGCTTCAAGAAGAAGCAGTAGGCAAATCCAAAAAATTAGTAAAAATCCATGCAATGCTGTTGTCCGTTAAAGCTGAGCTATCAGACCTGCAGCAAGAGCATCAGCGAGAAATGGAAGGCCTATTGGAAGGAGTCCGAAGTATCGGACGCGAACTACAACTTCAAGAGGTGATCTCACAAACTTACATTCCACCACAGTATCAAACGCTCATCGAGAGATACGTTCATTGGAACGAAGATATTGGCGAGTGGCAACTGAAATGTGTTGCTTACAGTGGAAACAATATGAGAAAGACTGAAAATAAATCAATACACGAAGAAAATAAAAATCCAGCCATTCCAATGATGTCTTACGCATTTCATTCATACTCGGAAGTGTAATATCTATTTTTCCAAGGGATTAATTCTAGTCAATCGCATTAAACTATTCCGTCATATTCAGTATTATTTGAATTGCTACTGTTTTACGCTTATTAATTAATGTAATATATTTTAGTGTTTCAATAAAACGAAATTATGGTTTTTAAAATTGAGTAAACAAGCACATATTTGATTCATATCAACCTTGTTATTACGTCTTTATTTTTATCATATCACTTTATCAATTATCAAAGAATAACAAATCATTTTTAAAAAGGTCATTTATGTCCTTCTTTGTTTTATTTTGTAGTCAATAGAATTGAAAAACAATATATATCAAAATTCTCATTGATTTGATCACTAAAATGTACTCTTATCGATTCGTTTTAATAATATAATATCAACCTTACAAAGATTTCTCGCACTTTTTACATCAACGCTGGAACGCTGGAACGCTGGAAGTCTACAACTTTATTAATGGTATTCCAATGATCTCATAAGTTAACATGCACTTCGTCTTATTTGTCACTGACCATGATTATCTGATTTACACTAAAAAATTACTCATTTAGCAATCATTTACCAATTGCATTAAAAAATGTTTCATTCTTATTTTTTTTTTATACTTTTGAGGAAATACCGAAGACAATCTAAAAATGAAAATTTTTAAACATGTTATCCAAATTTTCATTGAATATTTTTCTGTAAATTTACGTCTTCGTTTTAATGTGTTTTAGACTTTTACATAACTGTTTTTAAAAATATAGGGTAATAATCATAAAAAAAATTTAGAAAATTTTCAATATTAGCCTGTCTTCGATATTTTACAAATCAGACATTCATACTTCATTTAATAGTTTTTTCATTAACTTTTGAACAATTTTACGTTTTCTCTAAATCAATACGACAAATTGAAAATGTACTATTTTATTGAGTTGATTAGAAATTCATGTACCCTAGGATTGCTTTCAACTGCATCAATGTCAATAGCCCGAATTGACGCTTGATACACACAAAAAAAGACTCACAAAAGCTGTATTTGAATTTAAACTTCATGAGTCATTGTGATGTGAGCAGTATATAAAAACTATAATTTTCTCGAACTTCATTTCATTCCGTTGTCCTTCATGCTATATAATAAGACTCAAATTTACAATTTCACAAATTGCTCGTAATGGTTTTTTTGAACGATAATTACATTTATATCAACAACTTTGAAATGAATTCGCATGTCATGAATTTTTCACACAGTTACTCCCGTTATTAAATTATTTTTCATCACTCAAACAACTACAAATATTCACTTTTCAATAAAAACTATTGATATATAAAAGGCATAAAAAGTTCCACTTCATACTTTTTGAGTATTTTTAAATCATGGTCAAATATATTTGTTTTTCAACACATTCGACTTTCTGATAAGAAAGTCTAGTGAAACTATAAAATTTTATTTCCATCTTATTTTAGCAAAACCACAAAACTGTATATAAGAATAAATTTGTCATTTGAATTAGAGAATAACAATAACTATGAAATTAGAATATTCTCAATAATTTCTTATTTTTAAAGATTCTCAAATCGGAAAGGATTATTATTAAACACGTGCTAAAACATTAAAATTATTGCTGCGTCAACGACTTTGAAGTACAAAATTGTTTCATATTTTCTTTTTTTTATTGAGGCGCAAAATTGCGGAAATTAGTTCGCAGTATAACAGGGGCTAAGTGCAAATAACAGTCTAAATGTAAAATCTGTCACACACATACATATATAATTTTTTACTCAACCATCATTGTGACCGCATAATGTAAGTCAAGAACTTACGGTAAAAAATAAAATAGAACTTTTTAATTTATCATCTCACTGATATTTGTAGATTAATTTATTTTCAAAATCCTTTCTTTCATCTTGCACGCGCGCATACACGCATTCATCATCACCATAGTCTTATAAGCTGTGTCATCAGTTTTATTTTTCATCATAACTATATAATCAGCATTGTAATCAAGTATCAATTTGGCAGGCTCTCGGCCCAAAGCACCTGTAAATAACAAGGCGGACAGTTTGTAGTGACAAATATGACTGTGAAGACACTACGAAGTCATCATGAGATGAGCCAGCATGGCTTGGTTACACGCAGACATAGAAGGCGGACCTTTTAGCGAATCATTTATATCTCTTCGGAAATTTGAGAGATTTTGCGTGAATCTAGAAAAAAATAGATAATTATGAAAAATTGTATATTGTATTAACACGTTTCGAAAGTTGAGATTTGGTTTACCTGTCTCTATTTTTAGTTAGTAAATTTCTTTCGATACCATCCATAAGATTTTCAAACCATTGAGCCATAGAAGCCTGCTTGTCTACCGATTGACTTCTGATTATATTTTCTCTTAACTGATTAAAATACTAGAAAAAAATTTTTCCAAGTTAATTTAGAAACTTGATAAAATTGAAAACTATCAAGACTTACTTCTTCGTTCAGGAGTATAAGACCCAATAAGGGTCGAGACATACTCCATTGATTTCGACAATCTTCAAACATTATCACATTTAACAGAGTACTTAATATTTGTTGTAGAATTTCAGGACGCTGCTTTAAAACTTGTAAAAATAAGTCCCCACCACTCTGTGTAACAGAATTTTTTTTACCACTATACATTCCTGCTGTAATGTTAGTAAAAAAATAGAATAAATGAATAGTTCAATTTCAGAATTATCAATTATTGTATGAACATTGACCTACCTTTTTGATAAAGTTGTTTAAATAAGTAGGTAACGATATGGTCTAGAGTTATACAACAACCATTACAGATCATAGTATCTGAAATTAAAAATCAAATAAGTATAATCATCTTCGAAGAAGATAAATTATTGAATAATTGTTCAATTTTTACATGCATGTATTTTCTTTAGGATTTGATACATTTAAAGGAAGCTAAGTATGATTTTATGACAAAACTATGACTAAGCCATGCAATAAAAAATGAACAAAATAAGTATACTCATAATGAGGTATTAGTATAGGCCAATTGTGCGGCTGAGAGCCAAGATCCTCCATACGCTTATTGAACCTTTTTCTGTACTTATTTATTTTATTTTTTTTATAATAAAACAATTTAATATGCGTGTAACATCTATTTGTGCATTAGAATTGTATTGAACTTTAATGAATAAAACTAAGTTCATGGAACAGCAATAAAAATTGTGAATTAATAAATTAATTAGACTTTACATGCAAGAGACAAATAATTTCACCTTTTTGTTATTGAGTTATAAAATAATTCTTTGCTACTAATACGAATGTTGAAAATATCAAATATTTTTTCAAAACCAATGCATAGAAGGTATATTTGTGAGTTAGCCAATTCAAAAAGTGAATTAACTGTAGCTGTAGTATAATTAAAATAATTTACAAATGATATATGATGAATCTAAAATTATGAATTGATCTATTCAAAATGTATCAACATGAATGATGTAATAAAAAATTGCAAGCACTTTCTAGAGGCTGTAATACACACGACAATTAATAAAAAAATATCGACAATGTATGGCCGACAATGTAAATGATAAATCATTTTATTATGTGGGAATCTTTTCGTCAACCGCACAGACCTGTATAGGAGTCTTTAAGCGCACCTAGTGCTGTAAGGCCTTCACTAATGCTGGAGAGAATATACAGGAAAACCTGAGGTTCAAGGGTTGATAAAAATGTCATATGATCTTGTGCCAAACATTCTAACAACCCATAGTACGTCACCGAAAGTTTTGGATAATCCTATAACAAATTAAGATAATTATTACATGTTATAAATATTTTTGAAATCTCGTGTATCTGTGTGATAATTAATGAGGTTTTTTAATTAATATTCTCTCTAATACTTACTAATAAATCGCTCTGAGATATGCTCAGCAATAGTTTAACAAACGTATTAAGAGCATTATCCAATGCTTCATCTCCATAAAGTCTGAAGACCCCAAAATTTACATAGCTACCACAAAGAGCTGCTTTAAGCATTCTAAAACATATACTTATACCCTTCAGTTTTAGCGGGTAAATTTGATCCTTAGAAACTTCTATTTGAAGAATGCGATTTCCGTAGCTGCTTATAACTTTACTCGCTTCGCGAAATAGCAATATACCGTTTGGAGACGATACGTCGAATTGTAGGCGTTGACTACGATTTTGAACAAGTTCAGCAAATAATTTCAACACTGGTGTGGTAACCTGAGGTTCAAAGTGCCAAAGTTCAATGGCATGCAGTAAAATTGGAGTGTAATTGGGATATATCCAATCAAACAGCATCATGTAAGATGTTTTAGTATTAAACGCATATGCTAAGCCTCGAAGATCTCTTGCTAGACCAATTAAAGCCTTTTTAGCTTCTTCAGCTGCAAACAAGGGAGTATCAGCAGCTCTCATTAGCTGTCCCAGGCTTTCCAAAGCAGCTGAGAATAGATATTTTTAAATAACGTGTTTTAAACTTTTTAAATTTTTTCATTAATTACAAGTTATATGTATACCTGTAAGAGGAAGCATGAAGGTATGAAATCTTTCCTCGTCTTCTCCTAAATCAACCATTAACAATCTACCAAGAGATGTGTAAAACATGGACCTACAACGCATTTCTGTCACGGCGACACTATTACCCAAAAATGGAAAATGTTCGCTCTGTTGGAAAAGACAAGAATTAATTTTTTTCTTACTTAAAATATTTTCATATTTATATACTTGGGTGTACATACCGTATGATTATTCAAAACGAACTGAATTTCTTCCAATTTAACAAGCTTCCTCACGCAAGTATAACCAACTGATAAATCATTTAGTAGTTGCAGTGTTTTAGAAATTATTTGCTCACTTCTTCCCCAATACTTCAAGTTAGTTATTCTGCACAAAAATGAAAAATAGTTAAATTTGTTTAAATTGGTTCATTAAATAATGATATTCTTACATTTTTCTTATAAATACACTCAAAACCATGGCTTCATCGCTCAAACCCAAAACATCAGATAATCGTCTATAAACTTTAGAATTTTTCTGAACACCATCCCCTACATAAATCTTCCGAAATTGTTCAAAAAAACTCAACATAGCAAGTTCGAGCTTTTCACAACCTCCTTGAGACAATCTAGAATCAGTGAGATTCATCAACTGAAGAACTCTGCAAACTAATTCTCCATCCATAGTATCGTGTTCTTCATTGGTATTAAAAGACACTCTACCGCCAATGGCACTACCTATTTTGACAAAAAAAAAACACGTTTAAGTTTTTTTATATATGGTTTAAAATTAAAATTTAATAAAGAATGCATACCAATGATGTAAACAAGCCAAGTAAGTTGTCCCTCTTGTATCAAAACATCTACTTGCTGAGCATTATTTTGAGACATCAATTCTTGATATATTCTTGCAGCTTGATCAAATAATTGTACTAAAAGAGTACATGTTTTTTGATACTCGCATCTACCGATAACTGAAAGTTGTTCCAATTGTTGCTGAACCATACCAAGATCATCTAAGGGATCTTCAAGACCATCTCTCACTACTACAGACACTGATTCAAGTCTAGAAGTGATGTAAGCATTTGTCACCTCTGGGGTATAAGTTTCTAAAAGATGAGGTTCTGTAGCTTTAACATAAGGAACTGAAGCCACCATTCGTTGCCATAAACTCAACAGATAATGTACACTATTTGGTGCAAATTGCCACATTTGTAAACTTTGAACTGTAAATTTAGCTATTAATTGTATAGCTTCAGGATAATTTTCTATCATAACCAGTTCACCTAGATAAAATTAAAAATAACATAATCATTTCACATCAGTTACTTACATAATAAAAGTTAAAAAAGCTACTTACCCAACTGATAATTGCTTTTCAATCGAGCTAGAAGTCTGCAAAACTCATGGTAATTTCCAGGGTCACTGAGGCCTTGAGGATTTTGTAGGGTATGTTTTACACCATTGACCAAGTGTGTTAAAAATTTTGCCCGCTCTGAGTTAGAAAATAAGCTACGTCGAACCGACGCAATTTGAACTAAACAAGAGAGAGCAAGTGACGACAAGCTGTTTGGTAATGTGTGATACAGATCGAAAAACAGCTTAAGGGTTGCAAAATCTAAAAATGCGGGTCTCCAACTTGTTGGTATTTGTACTGTGCAAAGATCATCAGAACTTTCATCAGTTGATGTACCAATAAAATCAAAAGTTAAACAGTTTTGTGAGAGTCTTAACAACTGGGTCATCAATCCATGCTAAAATTAAGCATTTTGAAGAATAGTTTAAATTGTATGAGATGCTTTATATTATACGAAATATTTTTTTACCTGTGCTTCATCATTAAAATTCAAATTTTTGCAGTTTTCACGAGCAGTTCCTAGTAATGAACAAGATAGCCTAAATATTTCAAATAACTGGGTATCTCTGAAGCTGCTTGCTATTTTACGATGTTTTGTTAAGGATCGATTGGCATCAGCTTCCGATATTTGGTTCATTTCACAAGTGAGCTGGGAGAGTAATTGTACCCCGATCATGCAGTGCTCTACTGAACCCTGAAATAGAACAGAATAATATTGTAATAAAGTACTTTTGGTTATTTAATTTACAGTTAAGGTTACAAACTTGAAGGAACTTGGAAACATCGTTGACAACATTTCGAAAAACAAATTCATCTTTGTCCACATCAAACCAACCAAGTTTTGTTATTCTTGCAAAAAGGGTTACTAAGGCTTGAATTACAAAGCTAGGCAATTTTGGCTGAGTCGCTAAGTAGTTCAAAATATAATTTCCTAAAAAAAAAATTAATTAATAATTTTGTATTGAACAATTGTATTTCATGTTTCAAAATTGACATCATGTAATTTCATTTTAACAACTATGTACTTACTAATGTCAAGCCTCTGTTGTAAGCTCAAACCCTGAGCAGAACGTGAAACAAGTTTGGTAAGAGTAGTAGCAGCTAAGAGTTGTGCATATGCTGAATCCCTTCTATCAAGAAGCATTTGACATTTTGTTAGGGTATCTGGTGCATTCTGGAAATTAACCAGTGCTTTTTCTGCTTCTGCTCTATGAGCTGAATCTTGAGACTCATAGAGCTGTTTACACAGCATTTCCAATTGCCGTACCTCTTGTACAGGATCCATTTTTTGTACTTTTCAGGTTGGTCGATAACTCAAATAATTCTTCAAATGAACCTCATCAATTCAAGTGCATCAAGACTAGGTTTCTTGATTGAAAAAAATAATCAATTTACAGATTGTTCATCATTTGATATATTTTAAGTCAAATTACAAACATACCTTCTGTACAGCACTTTTAATTTTTTTCATGACGTAATTGAAACTTTCATTTCATTTTGATGATGCGTTGCACAAATACTCTCAATGTTCTAAGAATTTAAGCACTTTTATGCTTGATCTTGTGTGAAAATTTTTTTATTTAATTGCAAAAAATATTTCTCATCTAATTAATTTCCTGGAAATACAAAACAGAATCATGATGTGAGAGTTCTTACATTGAAATCAATAAAAAAAAATGTATCTCAACGCAAATGACACAAATAGTAATTTGTTGCGATCTTTCGAGTAAAACGCGTAATTTTACAAATTTTAAAGAGTACATTAACTCATCCAATTGATCTGATGAAACAACTATAAAGAGAAAGTAAATCGAATACACTTGTTTCAGAATTAACGCGATTGAAGGCTTGAAAATAACACAAAGTTTTCTGTATCAACGATTCTAAAAAAAGGACGAAGTAATTAATTTTAAGCGGGTAAAATCATTAGCCAAGTATACGTTTTAAAGTTATTCAACAGCCAGCTCCAAACACAAACGAGTCGTTCTTAATCCAGCAACCACCCCCAACGAGTACCAGCACGCACACGTACACATACACGAACGCAGCAACAACATTAGGACAAGCACTTGGTCGTACGAGAATGCAAAGAAGAAAAGAAATATAGATAAATTCTGTCGTAACAATGATAAAATGCACATACGCGCATATGCCAATAATCACAACAGAGAAAGACGAGTAAATAATGGTCCGTGCGCGACACAAATGTGTTTACCTGTTAAGATACACGCGTCATAGAATATTACCGTGTGTATATAACTGCTTATAGTTATAGTCCACCCCTTGTGCGAGTGCACACGCACACGTAGTTTTCGTATTCACGTATATATGTATATGTTTCTCACGTGCAAAAAGAAAGACGTCGCCGGATAATCTCATAGATGGAGGAAACGGAAAATTAGCGAGAGCGAACTGCGACAATGACAAAGAGGCAAAATAATTACCATAGATAGTTCGATTCCACGAGAGATCCACAACAAGACAGTCTCCTGGCTTCGATGCGTTTGACAAAAGCGACCACTACGGTAAATCTCTCGTCTCTCGCTCGCGTATACGTAATAATATAATCGAGCCTCAGCAGCGTCGTCGGCGTCTGCCTTCAAGCGAGGTTATGTAGCGACGTGAACTTTTTGCTGTGATGATCGGCTCACAGTCGTAGGTATATGATTTGGCACACCGCACAGCTCCCCGTGGCGAGAAGCACCAACAAAGCATCAGGCGACTTTTAGCAAAACTGCCTGCTATAATACTATAACACGCAAGCCTCCAGTAGTAAACATTAAAAGCCGCGTTATCTTGGGACCCGTATAAACGAAGATAATCGAGCTTCGTCTCGCATGTGGACATTAATTCTAAGCTCCGAAAATGTTATGATTAGTCCCAATTTTTTTATTCTCAAGTAACATAAAATTCGAATGGTTTAGCGATTTTTTCAGACAATTTTTTGGAAAGTTTAACTAACAATTACGATTATCTCCTCATCTCGAGACTGAGATACATTTGATGCCATAATCGTATCGTTACTCCCCGAAGAACATTTAAAAAATGTTTATTACCTGCTTCATTTAATTTTAGCAACTTATTCAAATTTAACTGGGAAATAAATCCACTGATTTATTATATTCGGTCTGTGGAAAAATAAAATTTAAAAGAAATAAAAACACAATCGTGTGAATTTTCGAACAATTAGGACGCTGCTTATTAACACCATATTTTCAAATCCATAAACTCTTATTCAGCGAGCATATTATTCTTAGTTATCTGCAATCAATAATCAATCACATGAAAAGTGAAAATGCAGTTGACAACAGTTTTGTATGGTGAGAATCGTCTTCTGAAAAAGGCACTAATAATTGTTGTATAGTTTAGATAATAAAATTCTGTTATTTATAAGCATAAATTAGATGTGAGTGTAATTCTCCAGATAATAAAAATGTATTATGATGATACACTAATAGTGAAGATGAAATTTTGACGACGAAGAAAAAAAATTATTCAAAGAACCCGTGCTGAAAATGTTGTAAATCTATTTTTCAACGCATTTTAAATCGATAATAACTTTCAACTTGATTGCAAATTTTAATGAATGAAAATTCGTTATGAAAATCGGCACGGATCAATGAGCTTTGGCGTGAGCTAACAATTCATTAACGACAATGAATTCAAGAAAAAAATTATGAACGCAGGGATGAGTCACGGAGAACCTGAGAAGCCTCAAGGAGCGCAAAGACGTTTTGGAAGTAGCGCGAAGTGAAGTGTTCGAATGATAAAACTCGAAAACGAACTGATCGTCCAGATTGTTCTTAAACTTGGATAATGAAATATTTGGTAGTTAGTAGTTAGTAGTTAGTAGTTTTCGTTAGTAGTTAGTTAGTTTAGTAGTTAGCAGTTTTCGAGTGAAAATCGATCTTCCAAAAATTCTTATTTTTTCAAACAATATGATGAGATTATTATTAAATTTAAAATTGGATTATTGATCATTTTAATTATTAACATCCATGCACCTGAGGTTTATTGTTAAAATAAAATACAGCTCGGATATAATTGATTTTATTACAGAAGTTTATTTGGTATAAAACATGAATCGAAGCTTCTACGTGTTTTAAACAATACTTGGAAATATTTTAGAAAAAAGTACATTTTTGTATCAATCTAAAAAAAGAATATTTAAAAATTGAAGGAGTATTTAATTTAAAAAAAAGTAAAAAAAAATGTTTGATTGATTACTACTGAATAGAGCATGTTGGAGCAGCAAATGAAGCTGTAGCTACAGCTATACATTTCGTATAGGTAGCAAGACACGCAGTTAATACTGGCGAAGCAGCAGTCACTGACAATGGAACAGCACCAAAGGTGAAACCTGCTGCACCGAAGCAAGCCCCTGCCGCTGCTACACATCCAGCCATTAGCATTGAGCCAACAACTGGACCTCCGTTAGTTGATTGAATCAAAAGTATGATGAAAAAGACCAGCATTTTCTGTTTTTTATCCATGTTCAATCAATGAGCAATGTATTCCAAAACACCTGATGAACAAAAACGTTTTAACCCATTAACGACCAAAATGCTTGATTTTTTTGTTGGTTTTCGCAGCGATTTTTTTTGTAGTTTTAGACCTTAAAAAAATTTCGCAGGACCTATATCGATGTAAAATTTAATGCCCTTTCAGAAACTGAGCGCAAAATTTTGATTTTTTGCGTAATAAAAAAGTTATAGCTACTTAAACAAAAAAAAACGTAAAAATTTTTGCAAAAAATCGAGTTTTCGATTTTTTTTCGCCATGTTACCGGTAAGGAATCACGATATAAATATGATCAGGGGTGATCACGACTATCAAAGTATCTCAGAGAATTTTTATGGAATTTTCGAACCATTACTTCAAACAAAAAATAACTCATATTCATATAAAACATGACCCATTTTTACTCGAAAACTATTGAATTTAGAGAAAAAGTGCACAGAACGAAGATTTGAAAAGTGGTTCAAAAATTCCACAAAAAATCTCTGAGATACTTTGATAGTCGTGATCACCCCTGATCATATTTATATCGTGATTCCTTACCGGTAACATGGCGAAAAAAAATCGAAAACTCGATTTTTTGCAAAAATTTTTACGTTTTTTTTTGTTTAAGTAGCTATAACTTTTTTATTACGCAAAAAATCAAAATTTTGCGCTCAGTTTCTGAAAGGGCATTAAATTTTACATCGAAATAGGTCCCTGCGAAATTTTTTTAAGGTCTAAAACTACAAAAAAAATCGCAGCGAAAACCAACAAAAAAATCAAGCATTTTGGTCGTTAATGGGTTAAACATGAAATGGAGTGCACAAAAAGGTGTTCAAATTACAATCAATTAAATTTAATGTTTATTTACGGACAAATTTGGTGCAAGAACCTTACGTATTGTATAAATTATTGAACTTAAAAAAAAATGTCTCAATTTGTTGACGAACAAAAATATATTCACGTGATAATTGATAAAATTGCGTTGAAGTATCAATATCAATATCGAGTATGATCAAATTTTTGTTAATCGAATAAAATTAAATTTTAACTGTCTCAAAAAATGAACGAAATGTCATAAAAATAAATCTACATTACGACTAAATTTTTCATTTTGATTTTCACGCATGATTTTTGCATACTCATTTGGTGAGTAATTCACTCATAATATAATATATTAATACTTACAAAAAATTCGTAGACTTTTAGCAAACAAATGAAAATGGCTTCGATGAAAACAAGGATTCCCACACTTTGCGCAATATTGATCGCGAGTGATGTTACTTGGACTGTTCGCTGTTCAGTGTTCAGTGGTCAACTGGCAACTGGTCCACGAATCGATTCAGTTAAATTTGGAAGAAGACTATGAGTGGGGAAACCTAAAAGGTTCGCTCTGCTGATTGTCATTGGTTCATTTAAGGGTGCGATCTCCTCCTTCCACTTTGAACCGTTCAACGAAGATTGAGGGATTCCCGCACGGTGCGATTGAAGGATTCCCGCACTCCCGCAGTTAAGCTTTGCTGTTTGCACTATTCAGTGATCAGCAATTCGAATGGAATTGAAAAAAAATCTAAACAGTCAACACGCTTAGCTATACCAAGGTAGCGAAAAGAAAATGGGCAAACGTATAAATTGCTCTGCATCAATAACCATTTTTTATGCAGAAAGAACGATAATTTAATAAAAAACACTTGGATAATTCAAAAACTTTATTTGAATTGAAATTTTTACTATGTAAATTGATTTTATAACAAAATATATTTACCATCATAGTTTACAATTAATTAAGAATAATATAATTAGTAGTTTTTTCAATGAATGTATTATGCAACATAATAATTCTGAAATAGATTTAAGATAATCGCCCTGTAGCAATCCTGGAATTAATTTCACCGTGAAAGTGTTAGCCTCGCTCACCTCGATGAAAATCACGACAATTACGGCAGAAAATTAATTTCAACAATATAATTATTTAGTAAAACAACTTTTACTAGGTCGAAGTGGAGCGGGAACAATAATGGTCCAGTCGATCGTAATACTGCTTGTAAGATTGTTCATTGAAAAGCGCCTTTGCGGCATCTTCGGCTTTCAAAGCGTCGAACAATTGCTTTTGAATGTCGCTGGCCGAGCCGTGTCTCGCGTTCATCTGCACGATCAGATCGTTCTCGAGTTTTTCCATTCGCTTCACTTCGCGCTGCACGAGATCCGCCAGCTCGTTCAGCTGTCCTTCCAAGACGTCTCTGCGCTCCTCGAGACTTCTCAGGCTCTCCGCGGCGCTCTGCATCTCGACGTAGGTGTGATTTATGTTGGCCTCGAGTTTCAGAACTTCGGTCATCGGTGACACCAACGAGCTCGTATCCAACGATAAACAGTTGATTATTCCACTGCTACACCTGGTAAAATGATCAAGGATTAAAAAAAAATGTGACGTAGTATGCGTATCAAAATTGAGAGATTCAATAATATATAATGATTAATACTTACAGAGCGATAGAAAAGAAGACGATTACTGATCGGATGGACATGATGACGATTTAGCAGCGAATTAGATTCGAGTCTGATTGCAATTTTTCATCGACTCTGCTCCGGCTTAAATACACTACGTTTTGAGCATCAATGAATAACAATAAAAATTATTGTTTGGGTTCACCGACTCGGCACGAGCAAATGTCACGTACTTACGACTGTTGCAATTTCCTCTCAAGAAGCACCACAATATTTCAATCAAAACAATTTATAAGTTTGAACTTCCTTTGCATATGATTTTTACGCAATTATTTGGCCAGGTAATTATATTTTGCTCGTGTATCAAGATGAATTGCCGACTTCGTGCCAAACACTCGACGAATTTTAGCCAAATTTTCAAATTTTCTTCGCAAATTTAGGCATTCACGAAGATAACCGCCTTGTTGTTACTTTTAATAATAAAAATAATTCAATTATTCTCGTCTTATGCAAACAAGGAATTGTTTGGACACTGAAACACGATAATTTCTCGTTAATCTGAATATTAACGCGACATTCGAGTCTCGCTCCATGCCGCGATTTCATTAAAATTTCGTAGCCCGATGGCTGCTAGCTGCAGCTCGGTGGTGCTGCAGGGCTCTTTGCTCGCTACGGTAGGTTTTAGCTCGAGCTCGCGTCGTCTGCGCGCCCTGCAAAAAAGAACGTCTTACCAAAGAAGATAGACACGTATAGAAGCACAGAACTATAGGCGCGATTGAGGCTGGCTCATATGGTACCAAAACCAACTTCAAGGGGGCGCGGCGAGCAACCTAAGCCTGTAATGTATAACCAACATTTAGTCCCTTAGTTACCAAAGTCTTCGTGGTCGAGTGGTCAAGCGCTCGGCTTCGTCTTTTGCGTCGAGCGGTCGGGCCTTGGTTCAATCCCAGGCCGCAGATATTTTTTTTTACATTTTTTTCTCAAATTACAAAGAATAAAGTAAGGATTTCGTTTTTAGCTCATATTGGTCGTAAAATTAAAATTGCATTGATAATCAAACGTTTTTTTTCATGTTCTTTTTTCTACAAAAAAATAAAAAATCACATTTAATTCAAACGCAAATTAAATTAAATTAATGTATATTTAGACGCCTCGAAAAAAAATTTCGTGTCAATTTCGTTAAATGAAGTTTCTTTTTTATGAAAATATCTCGGACTCCAATTTTAAATGGACCGTATCGCTTGATTATTATTTTTCACATTTAAAAAAAACCCTTAATAAATAAATTTATCAGAGTATTTTTAATTTTATAAGCAATATTAGCTAGAAGCGAAATCCTTACTTTATTCTTTGTAATTTGAGAAAAAAATGTAAAAAAAAATATCTGCGGCCAGGGATTGAACCAAGGCCCGACCGCTCGACGCAAAAGACGAAGCCGAGCGCTTGACCACTCGACCACGAAGACTTTGGTAACTAAGAGACTAAATGTTGGTTATACATTACAGGCTTAGGTTGCTCGCCGCGCCCCCTTGAAGTTGGTTTTGGTATCATATGAGCCAGCCTCAATTTTTAGTTAAGCTCTGGGCTTCTATACGTGTCTATCTTCTTTGGTCTTACTCGAATGACTCGAGGCTCTCTCTCTCTCTCTGTCCGTGTGCGTCCGCGCGCGGCCTATTGAGAAGCTCCTAAGAGAACGGAACAACGTGCCGCAGCTCTCGTCTAGTCTGCTGTCCTCTGTCTCAGTCGTGTTTCTGTACGGACGCGTCCTAAACGACCCGCCGACGAGTCATCATTATAACAATAATTCTCGTCGAGAGGCATAAGCATCTAAGCTGCCGAACGATACGCCGTCCTCGCGGTCGTTAAACTCTTGACTGAAAAGTTTCGATTGTTAATCGACCGCCAAAAGCGCGCCAGCAACTCTGTGTACAATCTCAAGTCACTTTCGCACGTGAATCCACGAAAAATAAAAAAAAACATGACTCGGTGAGTTTACATTCTCGACTAAATCTTGGTTGAGTCTCACAGTTCAGGTTAGATTTTGGTCACAAGTTTCATCAAATTATTTCTGCTCTGCTGTACTCGCTTGACAAGCAATACATCTATTTGGTATGCATGTTGAATCATGCATAACGATGTAGATGCTTCTAAAGTCTAGCACCAAACTTTGAATTAACCTTTACAAAGTCCTCAGTTTTTGCGTTGTTTACTAGTAGCACTATGCATGGTGCATGTGCTAAGTCAAGACAACAATTGGTACTCATCTCCATTTTTTTCTAATGCTACTTATGTCTTGATCGTTTTCTCAACAAACCATTGTAACTGCAGTCTATGCTGATTTACAAAGTCCTTGAAATATTATTGTTTTACAATTTCTTTGTTTTAAATGGCCTTGCACTGCAAACAAAAATCATCTTTACAATGCTTTTACCTAATTAACTTAGCAAATGCATTTAAAAAGATAACGTCATAATTTTATTGCTTATTTTTTATTACTTGATTATCGCGTATACTTTTATGCATGCAAAACCTCAAGTTAATAATATTTTATAAAATTTCATTTCAGAGCAAAAATTGAACTTGGTGATGTCACACCCCACAACATAAAGCAACTGAAATTATTAAATCAAGTTGTGTTTCCTGTATCTTACAATGAAAAATTTTACAAAGATGTTTTGGAAGCTGGCGAGCTAGCTAAAATAGCTTATTACAATGACGTTGTTGTAAGTTGATAATAAACAAGTATCATATTTTTGGCATTACTAATGTAATTTTTTTTATGACCAGGTTGGAGCTGTTTGTTGTCGAGTTGATACATCAGAAAACTCACGCCGACTGTATATAATGACACTAGGATGCTTGTATGCTTATCGCAGGCTTGGTGTTGGTTCAGTAATGGTTAAACATGTTCTGGACTATGTTGAAAAAAAAGGAAATTTTGATTCAATTTTCTTGTGAGTATAATACAGTACTCATTATTACAGTATAAATATCACTCAATACCATTGAATTAATGATTTATTATTGTTATAGACATGTCCAAGTAAACAATGAGGGGGCTATAGATTTCTATAAAAAGTTTGGCTTTGAAATTGTGGAAACAAAAAAGTATTATTACAAAAGAATTGAACCAGCAGATGCACATGTTCTACAAAAAACACTGCGAACACACAATCCCCCAGCTGCTCAGTAGAAATTGAATCATTTTACCAAAAGCGTCTAGGCCATTTATCATCATCTCACCATTCTTTATTTTTACAACCAACCATCTACTGTACAAATTGAATAAAAGATAATAATCTTTATTAAAATTTGTTGTGGGGTTCAAGATTGTAAATAGATTTTTTTAATATGCTATTAACAATTCGTTTTGTTTTATTTTTACATACATATATAGATATAGATATATTGATTTATTATTAAAAATCAGTACATCGCCAACTGTAAAAATGAGTCAACTTTAGAGTTACAATCAATTTCTAATTTAAAGAATAATACCAGTGTAAATTCAGCTACTTGAAAAACTTGATGATTTTGAAAATAATATTTATAATTTGATAATTATCAATAAAAATAGAAAAATTATACTAAAAATATAACATTTTTTAAGATATTTTTTCTTTGGACTTTTATCTTTTATGCAAATTATTAACAAAATAATATATTTAAAATGCTTAAATTATTATTGAAAAGAAACAAGAATAATCCTTGAACTTTCACTATTTATTGCAGTAAAAAAATATAATTGAGATTTCTTTTAGACCTCCGTCAATATATATATACTTCCCTTTTCCGACTTGCTCTCATGAGAAAAATAATTTACAAATTTGTACGTGTAAATGCTTAAAAGCTGAAAATACTTCATGAAAGCGATACGTGTAAATTCTTCATCAAAAAAACCTCCTTAAACCCGGAGGACGACTGATCGTAAGTAATAGTTGCGAAGTCACTCATTGCCATTCATTGGAATATAATATCTCTCAAAAGCTATAATATTTTCGATAATTATTCAGGAAAAATTGGATTTCATTACTTTCGTGGCGGCATATCATAATCTTAACTTTTTCAGCAAGTGTAATTACGTCTCGTTAATAAGTTCAGATATTCTTTTAACGCACAATAACGAGCCCTCGTGCGCTTCTTTGGAAACCTGCATAAAAATTAATTAGTAAGATTTACAAATTAATTTATCATTAGGTAAAGATAGTAGATGTATACTAACGACAGAAAGATTTAAAAAGCCGTGGGGTAAGCCAGTCAGAATATCTAGAGAAACTGGTTTGCCTAAATTTTTGAGTTTCTTTGCGAACATCACGCAGTCGTCAAGACACGGATCCAGATATAAACTCTAAAAGTAATACAAGAGTAATTAGGCTCCAGTTTTTGAAATTAATTGCAAGAATTAACTCACAAGCATTTTGATGGGTGGTAGTCTCTTGAGAAGATCTTCGGAGGCCCGATAGGGGCTCAAGCGCGGATCCTTCGGTACGGAGAAAACAAATTCCTCGGAAGGCTTCTTTCCTGGCTCTGCCTCTAAGCGTCTTGTCGGAGCTTTGCTGCTCTTTTGCCAGCGGAACAGTGTCCAGGGCTTGGCGCTGCTAGTGCCGTTGCTCGACTGTTCGTCGTCTCCTCGGGCTCCGTTGATCATCTGCACGGACGAGCCGATCCGCGACTTCTTGTACATGTCCAAAAACTTTCTTATGTATTCCTGGGACTTGGTCTCTTCCATCGAGTTCTCAGTGGCTTCCAATCCATCCTCGGCCTCGGTCAAGCTCATAGAATTGAGAGTTGAGTCGGAAGGCAGCGAAGGCAATTTGTTTTGCTCATTTCTGTCGTCGTCGTCGTCGTTATCGTCGTCGTTCGGGCTCAAGGCGAGAGCTATGAGATCGCTCTCGCTCACCTCGGCAAAGGATTCCGCTTCTGATTGGTCCAGCTCAATCAGCTCGTCTGGTATATCCTTCTCTCTGTGGTAAGACAAATTTAATGAAAAAGAAGTACAGTAATATCAATAATCCGAAATCGTGCATTATCTAACTTACATGTCTTCCGCTGTCCTGGGATCGGTAGCGGCATAGGCTTTCAAACATCGCATCATAAAGCCAAAAGGCAAAATAGGATCACTGAGGCACAATAAACGAGCGGGCGAGGGCACAAACTCGACGAGTACTGGAGTGTAAGCCATGAAAATACCGTCGGGTGCTCTTATATCTAACTCCAGACAGCGCAGAGTTGTGACCAAATTCAAATTCGCTCCCGCCGAATCACCTGAGGGAATAAATTCAATTAACGTGAAAATATGGAATGCGGCAAAATGCACTCTCAAATTGATACCTACCGACAAAGATGATTTTTTTGGCAGTACTACCGAGCAGCGAGCTAGCATGCTGCAGCGCCCAGACGTACGCGTACAAGACTTCCTCGAGGGCACGAGGATAGGGTGCCTCGGGCGCTAGGCTATAATCGATACTGAGGATCGGCACGTCGAGCTCGGCCGTCCAGGTGCGCATGTACGCCTCGTGCGATCGCGAACTCTGCGCCACGAAGCCACCGCCGTGGCAATGAATGAGCAGGCAGTCCGAAGCCTCTGCCAGTGCACCCTTGCTACTGCCCGAACCCACCTGTAATTTTATTTATAATGAACGGTGAAATTATTACGAATGGGTACTCCGCAGCAAAACAAAAATCGACATTACTACTTACCATGCCTATTCTACGTTTGGCGCTTAACAATCGTACGTGTATAGGTTTCTTGCCGATGTGACTATTTGGTATGGGGATGTGGACGCTTTTACCGCTGAGTGTGGGGCATTTGAGCTCTTCTGGTGGTATGGATATCAATTGATTTATAGCCAAAGTAGGCATCACCATCTGCGGCAAGCTCAGCAGCAAGTCTAAAAATATATTTTTTTAAATGAACAAGCTGTTAATGCATTTCTACTTGGAGAAAATGACATACATGCCAACTTACCGCTTTCGTTCAAGTGCCAAAATGCTTTGCAAAATGATATATCAGCGTGTTGCGATATCGTTACTATTCTTCGGGCTCTGGCTTCAGGATCCATGACATATTGAAGAGAATTGGAACATCTTCCAAGCAAAGTGCCATTCGCATAATAAAGTTCACTGAATGATGCCATGCCTACTGAGATAAGTTTTAAGATGGTTCTCAAACTATCACAGAACTAGCATAAAAAGAGAAATAATTTTGTAAAAATTATAGCATAAACTTTTTTTGTCATTTGATTCAGACTAAAATAAATACCTGAAATGCTATACATCTACCATAAAAACAATACTGATTAATATTTTCAGCCTGATTAAGAAGCTCTTGCGGACTGTGCTCATCTGAAGGAAATAAAGAATAACTTCCATCTTCTGTTTGTTCTCTCCAAGAATACAAGGTTTTCATATGTTGTAAACAAGTACCAAGCGAAGCTAGAAGTTGCGAGTACGCTTCTATCTCCCTGAAAAATTGATTAATATGTATCATGTTTTGTATGTATTATCAAATTTTCATAATAAATTATGAAAGTACTTCATATAATTGCTTTTTCTGAAGAGCATAGAATCCTTTTGGTTATAAGTTTCCTGGCATATGGCAGTAGTATGAAATATACACTTGTCAATCAAAAATAAAAAACTTCTGTAGCCATTACCAGGTGTATTCTCATCATAATCAAATCGAGGAGCTATACTTGTAATTTCATTATACAAAGGCCTTATTGCATTCAGAGTATCAATTATAACTTGGAGTGCTCCTTTGATTCTTAAACTGTTTTCGTCTTGATAAGTAAAAAAGTAATCCAAACAGGTATTGCAAATTTCTCGAAGGGCACCCCATGATGATAGTTCAGGCTCTTGATCTGGTTCTCTACTAGTGGATGCCATTTAGGTATTTAAAGTAGCTCTTGAATCAAATTGTGTCTTGCATAATTCATAGTTTGTAAATTGCCATGAACTGATAAATGGAGATCATACCTGCGCTATTATCTTTACGGACAAATGATTTATTAATCGATAGTCTGACTACAGATCGGCGAGAATTTAATGAAATTGTCAATGCCTGAACATGTTAAATAGATATGTAAGTAGCACAGAACTGTAGTAAAGCTTAATTTACATCGCGGCTTTTATTGCGTCGATAAGAAACGTTAACAGCTGGTGCCAGATACATCGCAGCGCACTGTAACCTGTTCCATCTGCTAGGATTTGGCAATTGGCGTGTACTGTATGATCTGTGGACTGCAGTGCAAAGCGCAAGTTGCATCCAACGATAGCAGACTACAAAAATATAAATGTCAAACGGGCAGCGCAAGCGCCCAAATAAAATAGTGCCTGATGCCTATGTATTCATATTTTCGAGTTTAATGAAGAAGAGAAGACAGTAGCAAATGGAATTTTACAAAAAAAGGTTTATTTTTTAGGTCGAAAAGTTATACTAATTGATAATTTATAACGAAACATTTTTTTAGCCTTGTTTTTTTTGTTTTCTTTTTGAAATCTTCGATCCCAAAAATTTTGATTTCAAATTTTTTTTATGAATAGGATTCTGTTTGATACTTTTTTCTATTTGTTTGAATAATTCATGGTGAGAGTGCTTTTGACTTCTAAATATTCCATATAAAGCTTTTAGAAAACAAAACATCAATGTTCTCTTTTTAACTGTAAGTAATGAAAAATGCATTTAATCTTTACTCAATTTTAAAATCTCAATAAATCTTAAGTATTCTTACCTAAATTTTGATACTTCAAAATTTTTCCAGAAATTTTGGAATTGACTTTAGTTATCATTGATAAAATATCTCCACAAACATTTGTATTCAAGCAGCGTAGTAAAGTAAAGCAACGATTAGCTTGAAAGGTACATACAGCTTGAATATTTTTAAGAATTTGACATTCGCTATTAATTTCTGTACTAAACATAATTTTTTCCAACTTTAATGTAGAAGTGTGACGAACTTTATTCTGAAATGAACTGAAAAAAGACATTCTTTAATAAAAAATAATATTAGATTTAATCTAAAATTACATTCATATCTTACAGTTCTGTAAGTCTATTGTACTTCAAAGTATATCTTGTATTGGGATAATCAGGACCAATACAGAGAGTACTACAATCAATATTCCATCCTAAAAATGAAATTGATGTAGACACACTGTCTCCATCAACTAGTGGAAAGTTTTTTTTCACTTTGAGTTTATTAAAAAAGCAACAGTACTCTGGAATACCTTTCATTATTCTATCTAAAAATCTAAATAAATTATTGAAAAATTAATGTTTATTTGATTAAAAATAACTTTTTAACAGAGGTTTACACTTACATTTTTGCAACAGAGAAATCATGTGTTAAAAACATCATATCATCAACATACATAAACAGCTGAGATCCAGGTTGTTCCATAGGAGATAAATATTTTTCACGCATTGAAGCATAATAAATTTCACATAGTATGGATGATAACATTAATCCTTGACCAATGCCATGGCATAAAATGTAAACTTTCTTGTTTATCAAACACTAAAACAGTTGAGCCACTTAATAAATATTTATAATTTATGTGAGATAAAAGAAAAATAAAATGCTTATAAAAATACTTTTGTATCAAAAATGACTCTATATAATTCAGTGCAAATTTCATCTCTATTGATAGTTATGTATTCATGGCTATTTGAATTATCTACGGCATGCATGTAGCGGTACCTCACATTGTTCTTAATGGTTTTTTTTTTCAAGTATAAAACGTCAGGTAGATTTCGAATCAAAGAAATTATAACATCATATAATATTGCTAAAAGATATCATAACTTGAATTAATTTTTCCAACATCTAAAAGTAATTTAAATGTAATGATAATAACTTTCTTACTTTGTTTGATTGAACCAAATGCATTTTTTATATCAGATGTTATCAAATAAACTTGTGTTTTATTTTCTTCTTTACCAAGAGTTTCAAATAAATTTGCCACGCTTTTGCAGCTACTTCTTAAGTAAACATTGTACACATACTTTAAAATAGCCATTACTTTCACAAGTTTATCTTTCCGATCCAAGTCATACCTGTAAAAAATATATATTAAGAATTATATAATTTATAACAAATATGCAAGTTTCAATTAATTTAATGCTCACTGTTGCATCATAATATATCTTAAACCATCAGGCTTAGATAAAAACTTTAGAGGATGACAATTAACTTGTTCTTTAAAATCCATGATTGGTAACAATTGATTTTTAATAATCATATCTTTGACAAATTTTTTTTTCTGCTCACGCCAATTTGTTTTATAAATGTAAATTCTTCTTTCCTTGATGTAATGAAAATGAAAACTATGATTCAGAATTGACAGAAAATAATGAAATAACCATTTTACAAATTTTCCAAAAATTGAACGTTTGCATTTCTCATTTTTAATATTCATTAGCCATGGCACTGTTTCAACCTGCAATTGTTTAAATATTTAACTCATAGTATCAAAGACAATTGTTATATAACTTTATGAATAGTTCATATTACTTTAAAATGTGTAACCAGTTGTGATAACGAAAATGGTTCAGTCCTAGCATTGAGTAAAAATTTTTTAAAATTTTTCAAAATTTCTTTTTTGTTACGTTGATGTCCGTAAAGCCGCGTCGTAATAATTTTATGCATAATCACATCGAAACAATCCCTAATTTGATTCGGATGATATTGGTATGGACTTGACTTGGGCTCTTGCACACCTTTTTTGTTGACAAAATAATCTTTGTTCGTTACATTTCGACCAATAAACATTTTAAAATAAGCTGCTTTTCGATGCCTAATTTGGAATTCTTTGAAAGGCTTGCAATCAATTCGGGACATTAATTCTGTCCTATCCATGTTTATAGTTGGGCCCGAATCTTTCGATACGATAATGTCAATCAAATCAGGTGCTTCATTTTTTTTAGATTGTATTTTTATATTTGCAATAAGAGGATGTTCTTTTATATGTTCTGGAAAACTAATATTCCAATCCATGATCGAAAATTTTTTAGTGATCTTTGTCAATTGAACTAGCGACTTACTACACTTATATAGTACTTATAATAAACGGTATGCAGTGACTACTCTTTGCAAGAGCCAACTTGTTACTGCCGGACGCCGGTTGACCGCAAATTCATTTTTTGCTACTCGCAGGTTGCCCGTTTGCCCTTCAAGTTTAAATTTATAAATTGTGTTGTCTGCTTGAAAACACGCGCGAACATGATTTCGTGAAACGTCTTTGTCGTCTCGGTCTTTTTTTTTTAACGATTTCGATGTTTCAAATATTTTTTAAATTAATAGTAAAATAGTAAAATTGAAAAAAAAATTGACATTATTAAATATAAGTTCAGTTGATCCCAACCTCCACTGAAGTAAGAGTTAAGCCTTTTTTGCTTGAACTAATTTGGTTAACTCGAACATTCGAATGAACTTTTAATTTTCATCGTTTTCACATGGAACCTTGATCACAATATGAGTAAAAAATTAATATTGATGAAAATTGTTAAGTCATTCATTCGCATTAGATAATTATTAGCTTCAAACATTTCATACGTTGTGTTTGGACAATTGGTATTTTTTGGGATGGTAAAAAATATACTTCAGTACTTAAAGAGATTATCAGTAATTTAAAAACTATTTACACATTTATTAAACTATATACAGATTAATAAAAATTAACATTATTTATGCTTGATTGGTTTTGTTATTTGAAAATTTCTTCAATTTAGCAACAAAGAATCCATCCATATTATGGATGTGAGGATAAAACCTTCTTGTCATTTTTAAAGAAGGATGGAATTTAAGATTTCTGAAGTTAGTGAAACCTTCTGATCCAAATTCTATTGGCTTAGATCCCTCCTGTAAAGATACTAATTTAACGTCGCGCTTTTTTAAAGCATAATCTATGATCCATTCATTTTCTTCTGGTAGTATAGAACATGTAGAATATACAATAATGCCTCCAGATTCTGATTTGTGATTGACGGCGTCGATAGCTGCTAATAGTAACTCACGTTGAAGCGTACAACACCTTTGTACATCTACTTCATCTTTATTTGTTTTGACAGATGGATCTTTAGCAATGACTCCAGTACCTGTGCATGGCGCATCCAGAAGTACCCTATCAAATCCTTTAATTATCTAAAAAAAAATAAATAAAATCATTGTTACATCATTTGTTTTAAGAATAATAAATTTAACTTAAATTAAAAAAATATTGAATGCAAATATGTACCGAAGGGATTTTTCTTCCATCATATGAGCAAATTACTGAATTTTTAACACCCAATCTATGGAAGTTACCAATAATGGCTTTGGTACGATTTTTATTGGTATCATTTGAAAATAATACACCAGTATTTTTCATCAATGCAGCAATGTACGATGATTTTCCACCAGGAGCTGCACACATGTCGAGGATTCTCTCGTTTGGTTTAGGATCCAATGCCATTACTGGTAAGAAACTACTGGCTCCTTGTAGCATATAGTGACCTCCTAAATATTCCGGAGTAGCTCCCACAGGTACTGAGGATGAATATACAACTAGACCTACATCTGTCCATTTTCCAATTGGATCCAAATTAACACCTCTGCTTATAAGAGCATGAGCCAAATCACGTCTTCTAGTTTTCAGAGTGTTAGTTCTTATGGTCATGGGTCTCTGAGTTTCACTTGCTTCAAGGAACTCCAATAGTGATGTCAATGGGAATATTTGCATCAATTTTTTCATCAAAAAAGAATTGTATGTAAAATAAGTGCATAAATCTTTTTCTAGCAAATCTACGTACTCTGACCTTGACCTAAATTAAAAGTAGGACATGTGTAAAATTCAAATTTCAAGATATTGTACATAGAATTTTACTTAAATATTTCAACTTACCTATCACTGCTCTTGAACTTGGCAAAATCAGATAGCACCATAAGAACATCCTGAATTCTTTGTTGAACTTCTTTTAAATCAGTTGGGTTATTCAGCTCTTCCTCAGTTGGGAAAGTGAACTCTTGACGATGAGCAATACTTTCATTCATTTCAGCTTCAGCTAATTTTCTAAAATAATATATCATAAATGTTATAAGTTGTTAACACACAGTGAATGAGAAAAATAAGTGGAATTACCTTTCTTCAGCTTGTTTCTTTTTCAACCTCTTATTTGCTTTTTCAATTGGCAACATATCATCGTCATCGTTGTCATCATCATCATTATCTTCTTTGTCATCAGCATCATCACTGTCATCATCTTCTTCATCACTGTCAACATCACTGTCAAGTCCCTCTTCATCTTCATCAACATCACTGTCAACTTCCTCTTCCTCTTCATCTTCATTTTCATCAACATCACTAAAATTGTCTTTCATATTGTCGTCACTGCCACTGGCATCATCACCACTGCAAACATCTTCAGTCTCATCTAAGTCTTCATCAGACTCTTGATCTTCATCTTCTTTTGCTGGAGGCTCTTTCTGATCGAACCAAAGAAAATGAATTTCATAAATAAAGGACATGAAAAAATTTTGAACTGTTGATCTATTTTAACCATAATAATACTTACTTCAAATAATTTCAATTTTTTTGCTTGCTTCTTTTCTTTCTTTTCGGTTTTTTTTATTTTCCTTTTAATAGCTCTTTGCTTTTGCCTGTGACTTAACTTATCGGTTTTTTTCTCTATAAATCATTTGATAAAATTAAAATAGGGTGAGAAATCATTTAAAAATATTATAATTTATTGTATACTAACCTATTAAGTTTTCTGGCAACACCAATTCCTGTCGCTTTTTTGCTCGGCGATTATCGCCTTTTTTCTCTTCTTTCATCTCATTATACTTGGCTTTCCTCCCCATCTTGCTGCGTTATTTAATTTTCTGTTTAAATTTGCTGAAACAATTTGTTAATACCCACGTGTTTCAATGGTACACGTGCTGAGCAAGAGAAACGGGCTAAGCCCGGCAACGTTGATTTCAGTGAGCTATAGTCTATGACCGAAATATACCGTGGCGCCGGTGGTATCGGATGAGTTAATTTAGGCGCGAAATATAAAAGTACTCATATTTTTTACTTTCTTACAAAGAGAGAGAGAGAGATAGGTAGATAGATAGATGCTGTATTGGGCTTAGGGCGAACCCTGTGTGCACTTTTGAAATACAATTGTCTTAAAAAATTATTTACATATTTTAGCAACTTTTTAGATATAAAAATTGGAATGTCGATGTACAATATTAGATTGATTAATTGAAACGCATTTGATTGACATAACAAGACTTAGAGAGAGAGAGAGAGAGAGAGAGAGAGCTTTTATCCCTTCATATTAAAACGATACGCACCAAAATCCCATACTTCAAACGTAGACTTCGAATAAAATTGCGATCTTGAAAATAAAATTGAGTATATTTTACTAATGGTTCATTGTAATTTTTCTCAAATTTGACATATTCTTTTAATCAACGACCGACGTGACGGTGCCGAAAGTTATTATTATTTGTCGAGATAACAACAAGCATCCAGATTATTTTTTTATGAATGTGGATACAGAGACAAAATTTTTATAGATATTGAATGTGATTTAAAGGTATAGGTAAACAGCACACACAATGACATATAAGGTGAATTTTATTAACACGTATTCTTCAAGAAGACCACATGAAATGCGGAACAACGAATTGCTTGAAAATTTTCACGAGATCTCCTAGTACTGCATGTCTGCATGTTTATCTCTCTGTATGTTAGTGTGATTTTATGTTTTATTTAAAAATTATTGCAATTTTTTATTTCGAAAAGGCACGATTTCATGGAAAAAATGCTATGGACAAAGAAATCTTAAAATCATTCAAAGAGTAGGTACGCCCTTTTCCGTAGTGTCAAAGGACAAACGTCATCCATTTTCAGGGGTCTGAAGTAGATGTTTTTCCTACCAAGGCCAGAAATATTCCAAGGCATCTAGAAAAACGTGATAGATAGTTGACTAGTTAAAATACTTTTTTATTCTGACCATTTTTTCATTCACGTTTCTTTTCGACGTAAAAAAAGCAATAATTTTTTAATAAAAAAACATTTTTCATATTTTTCCTCAAACCCATTGAAACAAAAGAAATGTGGGCAAGTTTTTCTCTCTATAAGAAGTCCCTAAAAAATTTTCTGGCAAATTAGTGTCCCACATCTCATGTGGTATCTTCTTTAGTTAAATCTTACATAAATAATATAAATATTTTTTCGTTAATTGTTTGATTCTATAAGCAACAAAAAATTAACAATTAACAACAAAAATAAAAAAATAGAACAAAAAAACTTTGTTATTTTTATAATTCTTATTCAAACATGCAAAATTAATCATGCAAAAAATAATGAGTTTTATAATTAAGTATTTGAAACGAGTGTTTGTCTTATCATGTTAGTTGTAGATACTACTGAATCCGTAGCTCATCACTGGAACACACAAAAAATAGGGCATTATGTTTTACGCTTCAAAAAAAAGTTTTGTTTTACTCATAAAAAATTTCAAAACCACGTGTTTATTCATATTGTAATCAGAACCGTAAGCAAACGCGATATCATCTCATCTACTATCACATGTGCCGTTCAAAGCTATTAAGACAGTTTATTTGTTTTCACAATTGACTTTCGGCAGATAAGGCGAAATCTTTGCGTCTGTATAGGAAAATCAAAAACGTACGTGAACCGAGATTTTTTTTAAACGCATTTTTCCGTTAAAGTATATGATATTTTTGATTCGGTGGATTCCACTGCTTAAGTGGACCTGCAGTTGGTTGTCAATTGCGAGAGAAATTCATATTTGTTGAAAACTAATTACTCGAAATCTGACGTCGACAAAGCTGTAATTAATTTTTTTATCGCGATATTCGTTTTTTTTAACTGTTCAGTTTAATCCCACGTCACTTTTAAGTGAGAATAACAAACATATGTAATCAATTCGGTCAACATCGAATATCAAATAACTGAAAAACGAGTTGTAGCTTATCAGGCTTGAAATGAAAAAAAATAGTTTTAACATATTGATCATTTTATTTCATTCGCTAAATGGCAAAGGTTTTTAAAATGAAAACATATTATATTCTTCACGGGAAATGTTTATGAAAAATAATTTCTGATCTGCGCTTTTTCATTTTTGTTTCATACAAACCATTTCAGTTGAGTTTTCTGAGCTTGACATTTCGTATCTCGAGAATCCATCGGCAGATCCGAAACTCAATTTTGAAAAGCCGAAGGGTGGTGGGTGGCGATGTTGACCGTGAGCCAGATGCGGATCCCTAGGCGTCGAAGTGCCCGCAAAGCCACTGACTCTTAGCGAACCCGAGGAGCTGGAGGAAGTTTTACTCGTAGAATCACGAGGCAAGTCCTTGAAGAGATAGCAGGGCGAGGTGGCGCCGGAGGCCTCGGAAGCGCCGATGCTGCGGCTGGGGCTGCTGAAATCGGGTCGAGCCGGCGAGGGTACGCTCAGCCTCGGCTCCACAGGCGTGAAAGGACCCCGTCCGGTCTTACCCGGATAGTAAGCCATCTGCAGGGAGAGCCACTTGCGATGCTTGAGGCTGGCGTTGGGCATTTCATCCTGGAGACGTGCCTCGATACCTGTTCTCGCTTGTGTCACGGCCAGGGTCTTCCATTTGAGTCGCCAATCGTAGCTCGCGGCTCGAAATTTGAAACGTCCTCGCGTCATTGAATGACGGCCCTCGCCACTTGACCGGTTGATGACAAAATTATCGGACCCATCTGTCGATTCCATGATTGCGATTTATTACAATTTATTAAAATGTATGACGATTTGTTACGATGATCACGCTATCAGCGGCCTGTGGTCCAGTGTCTTGTAGCCACGACTGCGTTGGAAAAACTGTCGCCGTCTACATTTTTTCATCGTTTACGTTGTTTCTTGGTGCCGGTGCTCGTTCTCATAATTTAGTCGCTAACAGCTGTATATAAGTTCTTGGTATGCGCGCGAGTGCGTGCAAGTACAACACAACAAATCTCAATTGCTCGTATGTACATGTATTCTCGTTACCCTTCCAAAACTGAAGAAAAACAAAAGACCAGCTTAAGGATGAGATGATAATTTTCCACAATAATAAAACGCATATCACTTGGAGTAAGCGAGGCATTATTTCGATTTTAATTTAAATAACGATTCTATGGAGAAAATGAAAAATAAACAATTATTATCTGTTAAGTGCTTTTCATTTTACATATGGATTTTGAATGAACAAAAACATTCGTATGAAACAGTGTATGGATTGTATATAAGAAATTTAACCAATCCAGGCCAAGCATTGCTGCTAGAAATCTCAACACTCGTAATAATCTACGCGTAAATACATAAACTCGCACATAAACACGCGTGCAACTCCTAGAATTACCTACAGCCACAAATCAAAGAAAAAAAAACCACGACATAAACTCGTTAACCCAGTACCTAAAAATAATAAAATAAAAAATGTCGTTTTGAATTTATTCATATTTTGCTTAAATTTTTTCCTTATCATTTTCTGACTCACTTTACCGTATATGAAAAGTGAGCTCAACATCTTGCCAGTGTCAAATCAATCAATTCCGAGTGCAACGACCCAGTGAAGTGTACAGGCGATCAAATAAGTGATACGAAAAAATAAAAAAGTATATTGTACCAAAGGCTCCTGTATCGCGATCGCGACACTTATATAATTGATTTTTACGAGATTGAAGTTGGTAGCTCGATAGTTCGACGTTCTGAATAGCGAAAAATTTTTATTTGAAAAATGTCACTTTCGTAAAAGCAAATTATCGCAGTCGTAGATCGCACAATTATAAACGAGCTTAAGTACTGGCAGCGGCGGCGGAATTGTATTTTTTATTTCGCTTCAAAAGTGTAACTATTTATACGTTTACGTCATGCAGTAGCAGCATCAGCGCCGAGATATAGATGCACACGAGCGCGTGGTCCGAGGAAGCCGCGCGCACTCGCTCGCTCATATTTTTCAACGACAATAAAAGCTCGTGCCATAATCATCGCGAGCGAGATATATCTTTATCGGTCGTTCGGCGTGGCGGTTGCGCTTCTTTTGTCTTTTCGTTACTTTTCGTTATAATATTTGCGTTATATTTTGCAGCAAGCTCTCTTCGTTGCAATGCAAAACGCCTACGACCTCGTGGACAATTGCTTTTTCATATCTATTTTAAGGGTGATTCAAATTGAAGCCGAGTGCTCGAGAGTATTTTTATAGGGCTTGCGAGAACACACCAGCCGCCGCGTCTATCGGTCTATGGAACAACACTGCGCTTAGAAATAACTTGACTACGCGCGCAGGAATATAACTCCAAAGCATTACTATGGGCGTACCCTTAAAAATAGGAGCAGAGGGCGAGCATAAGGGTGAAATAAACCGCGACTCGCGCTTACAATGGGATATAGGAGCAGCTGTTAACTGTGACAACCGTACAATAAGCGAGCGTCACTATGCAACAAGCGATTGTTGTTTCTTTCCGATCGTATACGTATATATAATCTACGTAATACTCGAGACAATTGTATACATTATCTGGCGCGCGCAAAGTTGTGGGTCATGTCGGGAACATTTTTTCTCAGCAAAACACGCTACGATGCTTGCGGCAGGCGTGTATGTAAGGCGCACGGCATTGATACATTATGCGCCGGAATAGTACGAAAGGAAGTACACTACACGGACGACGATGCTTTTGGGCTTCGTAATTAAGTGTGCTTTATCGCGTTTCGTTTACCCTATCATTCGGACGGCTCTGCATAAGCACCGATGCCTTTTCTATACATTGCCCTGCTCCGTTGTGCAAGATGACATTTCTTCAAATGCCTCTGACACATTTTCCTTGATATCTGCGATGATAAAAATCTGAAAAAAAATTTCCAACGGAACGGTTCGTTAAGGGCCCTCTATACACACTCAGTCGATAACAAGTACGTAATTATTTTGTACCCATTTTTTTTATTCTCTGGTCAACCATTGAACTTGAAACTTCGTGGGAGTGATTATGAAACTTATAAAAATGTGCCTCTGGAGCCAGTTTTCAATTAAATGACCGGTACTTTCAAACAAACTTGATTTTCTATTATCCCCCCTTTATAACCTAAAAAGTAACGTATTCTCAAACAATTAGTTAAAATGATTTTATTAAGCATTTTATTGAAAACTGGCTCCAGAGGCACATTTTTATAAGTTTCATAATCACTCCCACGAAGTTTCAAGTTCAACGGTTGTCTAGAAAATACAAAAAAATGGGTACAAAATAATATCGGTATGTCGGTATTTGTCTCTCTGTATAGAGGAGCCTTAAGAACATGAGCCGTTCATTATCTATAGGTATTATTTTTCTTTTTTTTTTATTCTCGTTTTAAAAGTAGTAAAATGGTCTCCAGCGTCTTCCGAGTGTTGCAAATGCAATGCCAATCGCATAACTCCGATTTATTGTCTGTTTCATACAGATCGAAATGTACTTGTGTTCTTTTCTTGCTTTCGAATGAATCTTACTTTTTTTATTTTTATCATAAAAATTCTTGGTAAATCATGCGCGGGCGCACGATACAAATCATGGCATCGTGGTGTTTTTCTTATCTAAGCCCCGCGTCAGAAAAAATATACGTACGACCTGTGTGTGTGTGCGTTTGTACGTGTCTCCACACCTGCTGCTACCGCACGAGCCGAGCTTGAGCCGAGCCATTAACATATTAATCGATCGAATTTTATTCGGAGCATGAACATGATATATAGGTATATATATATGGTAACGCAACTCCTCGAGTTGTCTTACGATGGCTTTTTATCGTTGGCGCACGTGCCAATTGCTGACGAAGAGAAGTCACGAATTTCGACGATTATTCTTGCATATTACGAACCGTCGATGTGTTTCGCGCGAGTTTTGCTCTTCGAGCACTCGAAGTGGTAGGGTTAACAATGTTCCATAACACAGGCGTGTAGTAGACAGCAAGTGGTAAGAAGTGTAGCGCGCACAGTGAGCTTAACGAGTCTGCTGCGGCCGAGTCTCGCCACAGTCGGCGTGTGTACACTCCCCGCGGAACTCGTTTGCTGCCTGGCCGTGCGCCTATATACAGCTCCGGTCCGCGCGATCGTCGTATTGCGGCCTCTGTATAATATTATAGATGTGCTACTTGTGCTCAAGTTCCTCTCTCGGCTTTTACATCTTGCATATTGCATGCAGTTTGCGTTGCCGCGTGTGCCTGGCTTGATTCTCGACTCGGCGCTCTCCTTCGCCTTTTCATAAACACACTTCCATCGTGACAAGTAAGTAAACGTACGCATAACTGATGATTTGATACGCGCCGCATTAGACAGCTGCGCGGACTATATATATCGTATAGCAGGCATTGCACAGGGGATGTCTTTGTTTTGTTGTCATTGCTGTCAGATTAGTCGCACTGGTCGCGATATAAATTCATTACTCTGTGCTTTGCTTCGTGTTGTTTTATTTAATCTTATATTGTTTTGTTTTTTTTTTTTTTTAACTAGCGCGTACAGTACAATACTCGATTAAAATTAAAAAGCTATTATTTGCTCATTTCAGATTTGTAGTTTACTGATTGTTGTCTAAGGAAATCTTTAATGACAAAAGTATCATTTTGAAATTTTAAATGCCTAATTTGCCTCAGTAAATAATGCCAATTAACAGCAGGCACAACATATCTTATTTCATTCATTTGATTCTGGTTTTTTAAGTGAAAATGATGCTATCGTTATCTTAGTGATATTTTACTATCATGATTTACCCTAAACTTCCTTTGCAAACTCAGCATTTTAATGGAACACACATTTCACATATAATGAAATCAGACTCCATTCTTAATACTAACTTTTATTTCATTTCATTCTAGACATGTCTAAAATACATTCCATGGTCTCAAGAAATTGAGTTTACATTTCACCTACCATTTAATGGAAAAACACTTGTAATTTGATGATACACTTCACTATGTTTATTTATCAAACCATCAAAATTCAGTGTAAGTATTGTATGTTATACATTTATTATCAAATTCACTCATAAAATTTCATTGTTACTGCAACTTGTATTGAATTAATTAAAATTTTAGAAATCTTTAAGTATAATACATAAATTCTTTATTTATGGATTTTATTGATGGATTTAAATTTATTAATGCTGGTATGCTGACTGTTTGTAGATCTTCAACACTTCTGTCATCGCAACGTTGTATATAACTTACATTAAGAAATGCTGCTGGCCCCTACAAAAAGTTCTAGGATAAACAGTCGTCTGGTTTTAACTTTAGCAGCAGGATTAATTTCTGGATTTTTATCAGCATGTCTTCTATTCACAGCCGCTAGGGATGTACCAAATGTTTTTAACTGGCTGCCGTCAAGTTCATACAAAGATCCTCACCATTATTCACAGTTGGAGCATGAGGTAATAATTGATAATAAATTAAATTATATGATTAAGGAATTGAGTTAACTCAAATTTTAAATATCCCAGGTGGGGCCAGATGTAGAAGTTTCATTTCACAAACATGATGAAGATTTTCACAAAGGAGAAGATGAAGTGGCACAGAAAATGGCCGAAAAAGTACGAGTCTTATGTTGGATTATGACGGGTCCAAAGAATCATCAAACCAAAGCTAAACACGTAAAAGCGACATGGGGAAAACGATGCAACATTCTTTTATTCATGAGTTCAGAAGAAGGTAATGTCTATAAAAGAATCTTCATGTTTACGACTCGCATATTTACAATTCAGCTTCGGTAAAAAATCAAACTAATTTCTCGATAACTTACAACATTAATTTTGATTTAGAAATGATTCAACAATATCGTGAATTATTTACAACTATAAATAGGCTTTTCATGTGATTCATTCTAACGATTATTTTTATCGGTATTTGTTAATCGTTTGGTGTACATTACACATCATATTGTTCTAAGCAAACGGAAGCGCAGAGTTCATAAATAACGTTGTCTTTCAGATGTAAGCTTACCAACCGTTGTGTTGCCAGTAAAAGAAGGTAGAAATAATCTGTGGGCAAAAACCAAAGAAGCATTCAAATACGTTTATAACAATTATAAGGATAAAGCCGACTGGTTTCTCAAAGCAGATGATGATACGTACGGGCAATTATATAATTTAAATTGAAAATATACTTGAAAATACGTGAACGGAGAAAACAATGTAATAATCGTTTTTCAGATACGTAATTGTGGAAAATTTACGATATATGCTGTCGCCGTATTCACCTTCGGATCCGCTTTATTTTGGGTGCCGCTTCAAACCGTTCGTAAAGCAGGGCTATATGAGTGGCGGAGCTGGCTACGTGCTCAGCCGTAAGGCCTTGGACAAATTTGCTGAGTTCGGCTTGCCCAATGCCACTTTATGTCGCCCGGATGCCGATGGTTCTGAGGATGTGGAGATGGGCAAGTGCCTCGAGAACGTTAACGTCAAGGCAATGGATACGAGAGACCCTTTGGGTAGGGGTCGATTCTTTCCCTTTATACCGGAGCATCATTTGATACCGAATCACGTTGACAAAGACTTTTGGTATTGGAAATACATCTATTATCAAGCGAAGGATGGTCTTGAATGCTGCTCCGATAGCGCAGTATCTTTTCATTACGTCAGTCCGAACATGATGTATGTTTTAGAATACTTGATTTACCATCTTAGACCGTATGGCATTAATAGAGTGACCAAAGAAATTAGCACTGAAAGCTCTAGTAGCAATCGACCTACAACTCGATGATGGTGGATTCCTTAATCAAATCTCTAGTCGTACTCACACAAAGTCTGGGTCTATATGCCTTATTAAACACGTAATACTGTGGATTAAAAAAATCTTATATAATATAAGAAATTTTGAAAATCCATCTATTTTACAAAGTAATTTAAGACACCAAATTTCACGTAGTGAAAAACAGAAAATAGATCTTTGGCAAACACTGTTTAATGTCAACTTGTGTGTAAAGTCTCAAACAGTGTTTTTTAGCTTTCATAAATGATAGGTGATTTTACACCAGAGTAAATTTGCGTAGAGAATTAAATTTGAATATCTTTTACATTTTTAACTACGACAATTAACGAAAAAGTTTCGCTGCGATAACGTTTGAAATATTTAATATCAAACGAATCTAGTCTCGACGATTATTTGATTAATCGTATATGATTGAATAAACAGTTAACGATGAATAATTATTTGAAATTTCATCGTAAGCTTAATGCGCTATCGCTGTGATATTTGACGCTCATCAATGTGTCTTGCTGCATCTTTCACGAACATTGATACTTCAAAATCATAAGAATCTCAGGCGTAAAAAACGCGATCGAGTACTTTTTGAAAGTTACGAACTGGGCTGGGCTTTTATGTGATTTTTAACTGCGTTTTTCAAATAAAAATTTTATTTTTATTTGGAGGAAGTTTTTTTTTTTGTATTCTACGTGTTATTATCAATTTGTAAAAGTTTTGTACGAGTATTTAAAAATTTTTTACGGATGACGTTTATATCTATTTTTAAATTAGACCACGCAAGTAAAAAATAATTTTATACATTATTTGTATTAATAAAGACATTCCAATCCTCTACTATAATTGCGTTAAAATTAGCTTGCCAAAGCAGCATAGAATGTTGTGAAAAAGGTGTGACAATGAATGTATAGTAAAATATTCGATATTCATGATAATCGCGGTTTGAATAGCAATAAAAAAATATTAAAATTTAGGTTTAAGTAAAGCTATGCTTAAATATGAATGAGTCGTTACCATTTGTTAGGAATGATAGTACTATGGATAATAGATACTGACTATGGATTGGACCGTATAAATGTGCGCGTTAAATAATTTTTTTGGCGTTAATTGTGACTGTAATTATGGTTTCTCGTAAACGCTAAAAATTTGCCAAACACTATTCATTTGACCGAAAATTATGAATAGACTAAGCATAGATATTTAAGAATCGAGATGTCATATATTTACTAGTCACGTACTCACGATGAAAGTAAAATATTACAATGGACTCAGATGTAAATTTTGTTCCATTATCTATATTCGAGTACTATTATGTTTACTTACGGTAATCGTTGCCATGAAACTGTAAAATAAACTGTAGTTATGTTTATTTTCCAAATAAATTGTAAATAAAAACTGTGGATAATTTATTTACTTGCTAACGAATAATTTTTTTCTGAAAAAAAAATTTAAACTAACATTATTTAAAAAAGTTGAACTCTGAAATAATATTAATTAGCAATAATTCTTGCAATTCAGAAAGTTATAATACTATACATAAAAGGAAGTGATAGTAATAAAACAATTTTGATTTTCAATGCAGAATGGGTATATAATTAATAATTATTATTATATACACATAAAATTGTATTTTATAATATTAATATAATAATAGTAATAATAATAATAATCCCAATAATGACGCACTACCCAAGTTTTAAATACTATAGATACAAAGTGAGTGAGGGCGTTATCGTTTTTTAATTATCTAAGTAGAGTCAACCAATTCAAGAGGGCATGTGAATGAAAGGTTACCTATATACAAGACATCTTTGTACTATGGGACTGACAAAAAATTTTGATACTTGCTATATATCAGTCAGTTCATTGCATCAGATTTAATTTATATCCATGTTTCTCAGACAGGATGCTGTCATCGATAATCGATAAATTTATCGAAACAATGGCATTATTGGAAAATACGATTTTCCCATCTAAATGCTTTTGCTCTTACAAAAACTGAATACTTTTTGATTCGAACATTGAGCTGTTATACATAATTTACAATTTTTAAAACAATATTTTTCACTGCATTAATTACAGGCATACACAAGATGCCAAATATGAAGCCTGTTCATCTAGTCATTTTGATATTTTACGTAAAAAACATTGTAATAAAAATTACTTCCAATACGCGACTTCTAAGGGTCTGAAAACATGATAACAGAGACCCATTTTCTCGCGTGAAAATGAATTTACTAATTATAATTCGTAGTTGAAATAAAAAAATAATTTGCCTGCATCAAAGATGTGCTATGAATAATGAAATATAGTTACATGAAAATTACAAACAAAATTTTATAATAAAATAAATCATCAGGACGTCATTTCGCAGTTATACTTTGTTCTCTTGGTAAATAGATAAGAAAGGGCAGGAGGAATTAAGGAAGATGCCACCTCTTAATATTTTCCTATATAAAATTAAAAAACAACGTAATATTATCATATATTACTCCATTACTATGAATATAATAAAAGCTTTGTACAAAAACTAGATTTACAATTAAAACATTTGGATATATGTAACCGTCTAGATTCTTACATGCTTTCCTTTTATCTTTCACTCGTAATTAGTTTTACTTTACCCACACTCATTTATTATCATTAAAATTGAACTATCTAACGACATAATAAAGTTTGCAAACAAAAGTTTACTCTTGTTTGCTACTTTTTTGCAGCATCATTTGATCAATTTTTTAATACTTTTTCAGTTCGTATATTTACTTACGATTTCAAATAAGATGAAAAGCTATCAACATTTACACACAAAAGTGAATATACGTTGATCAAAATAGATGCTCCAAACATGTTTTACTTGAGATAACAAGTATTCAAGCTTAAACGATTCATTGAAGTTGCCGTATATTAATCAATTCAATAATTAATACTAATTTATGATGATCAATGATTTTTCGTCACATTTTACATACGCACATGCATACACGCACACACACGATTGTTTATTAAACTATACTAATATTGCCTAAGAACACAAATGTAGTTTATAATTTTCATTCCTACAATGTTTAGCATTAGTTAGAAAAAGTGTAAAGGGAACTTGTGCTTAGATGTTCACTTTCGTCCTCGTTTTCGCCTAATATAGAATTCTCATTCATTATATATAATAAATTATCTATTTTTCAACTAAAAGGGAGGAACGAGGTGGGTCCCACTGCCGCTTATTCATGAGTATGTTAATGTTAATAACGTGTTTCTCCTTCATATCATTAATTATTATTATTATTATCATTATTATTAATATTTGTGAACGTCGTTATCACCAATCTAGATGAATACTTTGATTAACAGTTAGAACATTCTTGTACGTATAATTTCTATCAGTGGTATATCACTACATCAATGTTAACATAATACATGTCATAAAATTAAATCATGGGAAATTGTAAAATTATGAGCGAACGATTGAAGCTTTGTTTCTCTCGGACCTAAAAATAGATTATAAAAACTAAAAACTAATTTATCCCACTTATTGTATCGCAGCTCTTTAGTTCGTTCATTCAAAAGATAATCTTATAATTATAATTTTTTCCCTTATCACACAAAATTACATTAACGACCGATCGTTGAAAACGTAACTCAGTCGAGCTCAGTTCAAATTTCAGCAATAAGTCACAAATCACATTTAACTGCAACGCTCATCAGCTGGGAGTAACATGTACATGAGTTGACGACTGATAGAAATACGAACAAGAATGTGCAAAGCAGCGGCTTAGACAATAATCTCAAGGGTCGTGCGCAGTGTTAGCGTAGTGCCGACAACGGATGCACATTTGGTAGAAGAAAGTATCTGTTGCTCTGGCTGCTGTTGTACTAGTTGAGCACTTGTTTCGGAAGATGATAGTGGTGGTGTTGAAGACGGAGGAAGAGAAGCTGATGACAAATCGTCCCGTGGCGGGGGTCAGACGAGGGCTGCTGTCGCGTGATAAAGCTGCATCAGCGCTTGTATGTGTACTGGTAAACAGGACAGTCGGTCCTTTGTGTTTGCATCCACTGAGAGCCATGAAAGTGCATTGTAGCCTTCCAGTACATATCTTAAAATTGAAGTTTTACGGTCAAAAACTCGATTCACACCATTTGCATAAATCATAAAATCATCGAGTTTACCTCAACACATCGGTTGTAAAGTGAGAATCAAGACCGTGTACGGTGACAGATTGTTGTAGCAGCTCATCACTGTTCTGTTGAATTGCTGGACTGTGTAAATGTAATGCATTTTTAAGGAAAACTGGACAGACTCCTTCCAGATGCGGACAAGCAGCCCAAAACCAAGATGGCATACGTCCCGTTGGTGCCGTAGATACCAAATAACCCAAGGCTAAAGGTTGCTGTAAGAGTTGTCCAACCTCTTCGGATGTATCGTTTGTACCGGCCTATAACATTATAGTAAGCGTAGTCGTATATTTATTTATTCAAATTCATACTACTTTTAAGTATAGTGAAATTAAGTTAAACTGTATGACTCACCCTAGGTGTATTGCTGCCTGGGAACGGACTGCCGGATCCATCGTGATTACCTAGACCCGATCCTGCGCCTTCGCCACCTAAAGGAGAACCCTCAGGTCTACGAGGACTTGCACCGGGACTCGGTCCTCCTGCTGCCCCAGGATCTGGCCACACATTGAAAATGTCATTGAAATCAGTCATACCTTCCATGCCTTCAGGTAAATCATCGTGTAAAGCCGAGAATAATTCGTCATCGCCCAGCTCTGGATCGTTTATTTGTTGTTCGTTAAAAGTCGTTTGTGATGACTAAAATGACAATTTCAAAATTTAATCAACTTCTTTGTTGGAATTTTCATTTAAAAATGTTAAGTGACGTATAATGGTTAAGTGTGTCTTACCGTAGTAGTTGCTGAAGTAGGAAATACGAGTATATGAGTGCAAGTCACATCTTGAGGAGTTGAAAGTTGGCAATTAACCGACGCTTGACTAAAACGCTCATCAGGTGTGAATTGGTCGGCCATTATCCTAAGCGAACTGTCTGGTTCTAACGAAACAAGACAAGCACTCAAAACGCATGGCGATGCAGCTGGATACAGCAAATTGCATTGACCACAGATATCTTTTAAATGCTTCGATGCTTTAAGAAGAGATTTGCGCGACAAGAGCCAACTCCATCCTTTTAATTCACCGTGACCAATGCGTCCAACTCGGCCAACTACTAAACGCCATGGCAGAACCTGATGTAATGGTTTTAAAATTATTAACATTTAATCATTTTAAAAATTTTAATGTAAATCTAAAAAATACATAAATTGATAATATCACTTACGCCTTGTGACATAACACCAAGGATGAAATCCATAAGTTTCTGTAAACCAGCTCGTCGAGCCGATGCTCTTTTCCTACGTTTTCTATTAGGAATGTCAATATTGATGATAGTGGTCTCAAAGATTTCTCCTCGATCGTCCGTAGCTACCGCAAGCAACCAAGATTGATCCTCACTCAAGCAGTAGCTAAGATAAAGAACCGAACATTCTTCGGTACTACTTGTTCCGAATGATTCAGGGGCTTCACTTTTACAACGTAAGGGTGCCAAAACGTAGGCTGGAGCATAAAGTCTTGCCGCTGAACGATTGCGGTCCTAAATTGATTGTATATAAAAGTTAGAAATCGTAAATTATCATAAATTGTTATTAAAAAAATCTTATCATACGTCTTTATTTTTAAGAAACAGATCGGCGGCAGCAGCAGTTCCAAAACCTGTAAGACTTCGAACTGACGTATGATGTGAAAGCAATCGTCGACCTTGCAAAAACACGTTTAACGCCAACGCTCTCATTTCATCTTGAATCTTTCGCCTTTCTCGTACTCTACCCAACTCTATAATACTTTCTATGGATATTAACTACAGAAAAAAAAAAGTAAGTTTTTGTTGTTGAAACTCTTTTCAAAGTTGTACTTCAAGTGAACTAACTCACCTGTACATTAACATAGCCTCTGACATGCTCAGGCAAACTGGCGACCGCAGTAGCAAAGGCCCTTAACAAAGCTAATATTGCTAGTCTTCTTTTATCAGGACAGTCAGTAGCACCAAGGGAAAACGGTTCAACAATGTAAACAACAATCGAAGGTAACTCGTGTTCTTCCTCGTCTGGTCCAAATGCTGGAGCAGACTGTTGTGGCTGCGGCTGTGGCTGTGGTTGCTGTTGCGATTGCGACTGCGATTGGGTCTGAGATGGTTGTTGTGAACCAGAAATGTTAGTTTGTCCCGAACCAGCGGTAGACGATTGCATCGATGATGGATTTCCAGACGTAGAATTGGCGTTAGGCGTCGTATTTGATGGGGTTTCACTACGTGCATTTTCTCCCTCTACGCAATCAAAATAATAGATAATATAAATAGTATTCTTACAAAAATATCGTTCGCAGCTGACAAGTTTAAGAAAAAATCGCAAAATAAAATTCACAAAAAATACTCAAAAAAACCGAGTAAATAAAATGGGCAAAAATAATTCTACGACTTGGTCCTGAACATGCCAACTTACCAACAGACTCGGGCTTGCTAGTCGTACCATCAGGAGTGGGAGGCATAGTGTCAGATACATTAGTATTTGGCTGATTTGATTTGTGACTCGTATCACTGCAGTCGAATAGGCTTCGTTCCTGTATCATTTGAGTAAGATACGGAGCTAGCCGTTGATTGCAGGCCTGGGCGAACAACCTAAGACACTCGCCCATACGGTTATCTCCAAGAAGCTTAAACCAATCGTCTATGGGTGGACTTTTTCCATTCGTTGCATTGTTGTTTGGCGATTTCACATTAGACGATTTTCCTACTCTAATTATGCCATCTCTTACCGTCTTGGCAATCGGAACGTGCTTACCAAGTCGACAAATCTTTAAATGATTTATGTTGATTACAAATTAAGAAAAAATATAAAGTATGAAAACTACTTTAAAAACTCACTTCGTATGTAGTGGATAATTCTCTAAAAAATGTTTTAACTTTTCCAACGATGCAATCGTTATCAGGTGCTAGTACAACGTACGCTACGTCTCGTGGCCCAGCATAAGGTTCGAGTAAAAGCTTCTCCCAATAACTAAGAGCGTAAGGAGCCAGCGAAAGCCAATCGCGATCGTAACCAACAATCAATGCTGGTACGGGTTGTGGTTCACAGCGATCCTTCGTATCACGACCTGCTAATCGGTGGAAACCCCTCCAAGTCAAAATTCGTACCGTGTAAGGGGCATCCCACATACGTGTAGCTTTTTGCTGAATTGCTTCTTGAAGTAGAGGCTGTACCATTTTCATAATACGCACGATGTCTCCATTGCACTGAGGACCCTTAGCTCGTAGAAACATCCATCTATGAACCCCGCATACGCGTTGATTTCTATCTACAGGAGTACGATCTGTTGGTACGACGAAAGATATATTTTTATGAGATTAAGAAAAGATTGATTTGATTAATAGTTGATAATCGAATGTTTAACCGACCATCAAGTTTTCCTTGATCAATTGCAGCAAGACTGAGATCGTTGCCATCACCAAATTCGAGCGCGTTTACGCTCATAGAACTAGATGAAGCACGATTTGTAGCGTATAACCTTGCTGCTCGATATAAACTAGAAGCTGAACTTTGAACTATGAGACATTGTTCGCGGAGAAGTTCAAGCACTGAAATAGGCACCAAATCAATTTCGCTACTTTCGTTGGGTTTGACATCACTGCAACAAGCTATCGATGCTAACGATCCTTTCTTCTTTTCTGCTGGATCTTCAGCCATTCCAGTTATCTCCATTTCGTCCTCGTAAAACAAACCTGCTCTATGAGCAAGACGGCGATTCACCACTGCACTAAAACCGCAGCTGCAGCGTATGGGATCTTCGTCCTGGAAGACATTACTAGTAGCCCACGATCCAGTCAGATAGGTTCCAGCGTCCGCGCCTTTAATATTACCGACCACTTTTGGCCCGGCATTACATACACACAAACTACAGCTGTCGAAATTATGGTCTCTGAATATATTCAGGGCTGTATCGCCTAGAAGTATATTGACAACAAGGGCATTAGATTCAGGAGCACGTTGTGGACCAGGAGTCGCAGGCTCCATGCTATTGAGGTTCTTATTTAGATAAGATGATGTAGTTGAAGCGGGCGATGGTTGATCGTAAGGAGGTGGTGGAGGACGTACTCCTGGCATCGGACCACCCCTGTACGCAGGACTCGCTGGCAACAATGTCTGCTGAGATAAATGCGTTTGTGGCTGCGGTAAGAAATGCTGAGGCTGTTGTAGCTGAGTCTGAGATGGCAGTTGAGGAGTTTGTTGGGATTGTAATAACTGCTGCTGTTGTTGTTGCTGCTGCTGTTGTTGCTGTTGATGCTGCAGTTGTTGTTGTTGCATCACTGAATTTGGCCTCGTAGGTTGAGAAGGCTTTTCTTGGCTATTTGAAACAATGACTGTTATTTTACGAACCTTGAGCTAAAAAAATTTTTGAAGACTTACCTCTGATTGGCACTGGAACTATTACACTGCCATGATGTTTTATAAACACAGTGAGGTGGCAGAGTGATTGGAGGTAGGCTTTGGCTCGGTAGATTAGTAAGTGGCGCGTACTTTGACGAGCCTACCAATTTGTTCATAGTAACTGGTTTAAACACGTAAGACCAGTCGTCAATCACTTCTTCAGGCGGTGAACCCATGTTAGGATAGATATCAGGCAGATGTCTCTGGACTTGCCTCGGCCCCAGGCTCAAGTCAGTTTGCTCGAGGCTGGGGTCGCTCAATTGGCAAGGCGAGGCAACAGGATTGTGCTCCAGCGAGGGTGGCGTTGGGAACATTTTTGACAGCTCTTCCGGACGTAGAACACCGACATTGCGTCCGTAAGATGAATTCGAGTTCAACTTACTGTTACTGGTGTTTTGCGATATGGAATTCGACGTTGAATTAGAGCGATCCGAGCTCATATCTAGCCGATTATCCATATGGCAATTGATGTTGTTTTCCAGATTGTTGTTCGCTCCGCCAACGCACATGCCCGCTGCAGACTTGTTAGATCCCGGCGGTGTTTGCATCTGCAGTTGATTGAGATTCTGTAAAAATTTACATATGGTGTTAGACCTCATTGGGATTTAAAAAATTGAATGGAGAGAGAGAAAGAGAGAGAGAGAGAGACAGAACGAAGGCGGCAACTTTCGGATGTGGAGCGTGTGATAGAGAGGATCGGAACGTGGGTGATGATGGATGAACTTACAGTTTCGTCGCTGGAAGTATCGGGATCGGAATTGTCGAAAATTTGATCTAAGTCTTTATAAGACGCCTGGAGGCCTTCACTAGTGAACAGTGAGCTCGGCTTCGTGTCATCCCTTTGCCTTTTCAGGCCGTCGACGCCGGTCTCCTCACCGGTCGCGTCGAACTCGTAGGGATCGGGTCTGCTGCCCATGCAGTCGCCCTGCAAGAACGTGTTCTCTAGTTAACTGGAACCCCTTTTTGGGCAAATTCCAATGCCTCCACTCCAACGACAAAATTGCCTCTCTCTCGCATCATCATCATCATCATCATCATCGTCCTATTAGCGTTAAACTCTGTCGCCTCGAACGCGCGCGGAAAACATTTATTTCTTGATTGTTTCAAAGATACTTACAGTTGGCTGCCCAGGCTCCTGCTTGATTTCTATGGACATGGGTTGATTCTGGCCTTGTCCGCTACCGACTTCAACTCCGTTGTCTACGTTGGTCCAGGTCGGAGGATAAAGGCTCGTGTTTTTCGATGGAATCACTGGTCCTGTTGGGACCGTCTTTATCCGCTTGACCGGATGATTGAGCCAAGCTTCTTGCGTCGAATAGTCGTACAACCAAGGAAGATGTTGCTGTTCGTCCGCAAGTAGGTCTTCCTCATAATCACGCGAGCACAACAGCGGTCTCTTGAGCGAAGGCTGTGGCGGAGTGCTCGTCACTTGATGAGAAGCCGGTTGGCTACTCGTGGTCGTCGAGTAATTTTCTTGCGTAGCACCGGCCGATTTGGGGCCCTGCGACGGCGTCAAAGGTGGCTGAGCCGCACTGCTGGGCGGCTGACTGCTGCCGGCCATTTGAAGCTGCGGACTCATGCCAGACGCACCCGGAACGCTGCCCTGCTGTTGATTCACGTCGGTCGGAGGTACACTGCAGGGAGGCTCGGAGTGCGGCGTTGGCATGGGCGAGGGCACTGGCGAGCTCGGCGAGCCGACAGAGGTCACAGGGGCAAAGTCACCTCCGGTCGGTGGGCCCACAGGATAAGTCGAGCTGTTGTCAGGTGGCGTCTTCATACTGTCCACTCTACTGACCATTAATCTAAATTTAAAATCAAATCGTTAATGAAAATCCCATATCTACACTAAGATTAGTTGGTAGAGGTAGATGTTTGCCAAAATCTGATATGAAAGATATACTATACTGTCACTCCATTCAAACTTTCAACTTGTGTATGAAAATAGATAGAAAAATCTAGTACATGCAATAGTAAGTGTTAATACTTGCAAAGTAAATAAAATAAAACTTAAAGCACACGAGTGAAGATGAAAAATAATAAAAAAAAAGATTATTAATTACGTATTAATCTACAATTTAAGCCACTTGATGTTAGACACTCAAGCACGTACATGATCACAATGCCAAGAAGGTGAGCTTTCAACAATTATGTGACACCTTAATTACTAACTAAATTAATTAGTCATGATAGCGATGTCAGTGAACATAGGACAAATAATGTTTGATAGCATTTAGTGAATTTATACAGAATTTATTATTTTATCAAATAATATACATGCATTAGTTGTAAGTATTTTTATTAATGCCTAGTAAAGTGTAAAAATGTTATTTTTTCATTTATCACGAAATGAGTGGGTAGGCAGGTTTTATTATTACTAACTCGCTTATCCTGACGAAAAGTGAAAAAAGCTTTTTGCTATGATGAATACGTACACGTAGTACTCAATCATACAAGCACTGACAATGCGTTAATGAGTTTGGATGGAAAGCATATGTATTAATTGTGTTATCGACGCGCGGTTGCTGATGGATGAACTTCGTTCTCAGTGCGACCAAAAGGTGCTTCGTTTTCAACAAAGACATTTTTCGTGTATTTATATTTACAAATGCATCGAAAAAGAGCTATAAGTAACGATGATCGCTGAGCAATGAATCATAATGTGTGTATGTGAGAAAGGCACCATTATCAGCTGTTATATTAATACGAATTAGTGGCCCGTCGAGTTTGGAGGCTCGTTTTACCCACCTCGGGGTATTACTTGGATGATTCTGCTGATTTTGTGAGGTAGCAGTGGCGGCGGCAGCGGTGTTAGCCACGGCTTTCGAAGTCGATTTAGGATTTGCTTTAGCTTCCAGGTTGCTCGTGTGGTGTCTTCGGTGGAAGGGCACAGTGGGTCGCCGACTGGCACTTATTCGCTGTCCACCGGATGTTCTGCTGGTCGTGCACCTGTAAATCGAGTGGCCATACGCCGTTCGTTCGATGTTGTTGTCTTTATTGTTTTGCACCCGCGATTTTATTTCCAGCGTTAATACGCCACTCGATAACGCTTTTTGCGATTCTTTTCATACTAATCCGAGAATTCAATTTTTCCCGTACGATTATCAATGTGAGTTTATTTTTTACGAATTATACCTGAAGTGTGTTTATTCGATTGATTAATTTAATATAAGATCTATTTTTAGATCGACTTTCCATTCATGTCTTTCTTCTAACGCTATAGTGTGTTTTATGCGGTAAATTGTCAACTGTGATTCATGCAAAATTAATTTAGTTTTATTCACTATGTTCTTCACATGTACATCATTTTGATACAGAAGCGCATTACATGAATAAAATGATAATAATCAGTCATAATCAAGGCGCACTTGTTATGGCATCTAAAAGGACTACTGATATACATATATAGCATATCATGAACCTACTATTCGTGAAATTTTAAAATCGTTTTCAAAAGTAAGAAAAAACACAACAAAATAAACTTGATTATCAAGTTAAAGTTTTATCAAGAACCGTTGCATGCTACTATAGGTATTCGACTACACACAATAACTTTTACTTACAATATTTATTCATTCATAGAGCAACGAATAAACGAAAGGAAAAAAATTATGATAAAAGAATCGTTACTACTTTTCGAGAAGAAAGAGTTGTTTTTTAAAGGAACCGCTAAATCGAGTCGAGAGAGTCGTATTCACCGCATTGACTGAGGTGAATCTCTCGACCGATCTCGACCAAGCAAAAACGTAAACAAGAGTAAAATACATGATTTAGTTGTGAAAAATAATAAAACATGTATGCTCGTGTGAGAGCTCTATCTCCTAACGCTCGAGTGTACTGTTTGCGCGTCGAGCGTACGGGAAATGGTTCACGACGGAGGCGTCGAAAAACTTACTTGGAACAATTGCAGGAAGACTTGAGTGTCGGATCGACGAAGCTCCAGCTGGTCTGGTCGCCGTCGTCGAGCTTGGCACCGAGCACGCACTCGGCCCACACCCTCTCGGGCAAATTAGTCGCCGGGCCCAGATCCCTCTGTGTGCTAAGTGGATGCTCGTAACTGGCCGGGCTCGTAGGCGGCGACAGTGGCAGCCCGGCCAACTCCAGACTCGTCTCGTCCATGTCCGTGACGAGGACGTAACAAGACGGATAGCGCATACGCACACCGCCGACCAGCACTTCGACCAGGCTCGGCAGACCCGCCTCGAGGCAGGCACTGTTGATCGGATAGAAGTGCTTCCACTCGTCGAGCACTTGCGAATCGACTCGGCCCACTTGGCCGGTCATCGTTCCAGCCAATCCGTACGGCGCCAGTATCACTGCAATAGATCACGAGGGGGATGAGTACCGTCGAGTATACGCTATATTAGCAAAAGTAACATGTACCTTTGGCAGGCAATTGCGAGCTTTGGATGCGCTGCAAGAAAGCCCGCGTGAGATGCCGCACGGCTGGGTGCTGCCTAACGTCGACGCTGGCACATACCGTGCTCTCTCCGTGCACGAAAAAGGCGAACGAAAATGACAGGTGACTGCTGCAAGAGGACAAGAAATCGTTTACTTCGGTAATGTTCAACTATTTTGAAGCTTAACGTAGCGAATGCATAATGCGAAAACTTACCTCGAGCATCGATGCGATTCAAAACCGTCGTATGGTTGAACGAACCATTTGCCAAGTCGTACGAAATCTTTGGACAGCAGACAGCGCTCGATCAAATTGTGAAGGGCTTTGAAGAGGAGCGATCTGCATTCGTACGAAAGACCGCTCTCCCATGAGCCTTGTTCGCTTTCTGTAATGGACAGAGGAAAACATCATTGTTAAATCGGCCAACGAGCTTGCGCGCTCCTTAACGGAGCTTTCGAATGAATAGTATGAATTTCAAATGAACAACAAGTCGTCATGCACCCCGAGATGTATAGTTTACAATGTACGCATGATAAGTCAATTACATACGATCAAAAAATAACGCTGACTATATTCATTCTAATTTATGTCGGTAAAAGATAAGAGCTTTAAAAGCTCAAAATTCAGTAGGCGTGTTGAACAAATTTCAAATTTTAAAGGTCATGGATTGCTCGAAAAGATAAGTCGAGCGAGCAAATGGAGCATCATCCCATGGAAAACATCAGCAGCTCAACGAGACGCTTGTTAGCGGGGTCGGTTGATAAAGCGGCGTCTCCGCGATCATCGTTGAATGGAGGGTTAATCTCTGCCCTCGAGAGCGTATTATTACGCCATTAACGGCAGGGGGAGGGGGGTGCCGCACACGCCGGAGTGCGGGGGCGTATGTAAGCGGGGGATGCGCGCGTGTGGCCATGCTTGAAACAAAGGCTGGCTCAGGAGCGCAGGCGCCAACTTGAAACTTCACCGCTGGCTGAAGATCGAAGTTTGCCGTAGCCACGGCGAGCGGAACGAACGAAGCGCTTTTGCATGCTTGCCTGCTTCACGCGTGTGTGTGTGTGTGCGCTCAGCTCGTGTCCTGCGTGTGCATTGCGCGCCATATGAACGCCTCTTCTCTCACGTGTCGTTGTCGTTTCTCTCTCTCTCTTTCTAGCGCGTACGATATTGCCGATCGATACTGCATTCGGCACGCTGCTACGCCGCTTCGGCTGTTGGATTCTCGCACACAGCCATGCATAAACCGACACGATACGCCTAGTCGTGGCTGCCTCCGCTGCTTTAGCGACGACAACAATGACGATTTCGCAATGAATCGTTGAGGCGAGCGATGCCCCGCCTCCTCGAAAAATCCACAGCAAGGATGGCTCCAGCGCGAGTACGCGTGCACGGTGTATTGTACGAGTGCCGATTAAATTTTCACTCGTTTGACAATGACCTACTTACGGACCTCTCCGGCTCCCCGCTCACGTGCCCCTGCGAGTGCAGTGCGTGGCAAAATGCACGTTTTTACGCGCTCTCGCGTGCGCGATACATTGCAAGCGTACAATAAAACGCGCCTGTGTGTTCCGGTCGAACGATCAAGTCGAACGACAAGCCGGCGACCGATCGCTATACAAATCATTTCAAAATAACGAGAGATCGCGTCGCACCGCGAGCTTTCATAGCTAAACAAAAGTAGAGTTCAATATGCTGCTAGCCGCAGTCGAGAGTATCGATGAGCTCGTGAGTGCAGCGCAAAGGGGGGTCGGCCGAAAGAATACCGTCAACGCCAACACTCGAATGTATTTTTGCGGCTATATAATCGCGCCGTCTTTAAGCGATTGTAACGGAGGCATTAGCCGCGTAGCCATAGGTACCCGTGCACACGTACAATATACGTTTTGCGTCTCTATCCGGAGTATGCGCCTGCGCTTTTACACGCGGGGGGTTCGTTGGCACGCGCGTGCCGACACAATCTAGTTCCTGCGCGCGCGCGTGCTTGTATATAAACATATATAAACACACGGTAGAATAAACTCGAAGCTCGGATTTTCCACGACGAGAGGGTAGGTGTAAACACGTCGAACTGTATAGCAGAAGCTTTTTAGCGCGCGAGAAAAACGCGCGCGTCCAGCCACGCCGCATCATAGGCTGGCTATGCTTAATTGGTTGTCGCGCGCGCGCGCGCACAGGGAAGAGCTCCGGCGTGGGCGCAGCCGGCCTACAATACGAACGGAGCGACGTTATACGAGTATGGCTGCACGCTCGGTCGGCTTTGGCACCCTTCGCCGGCGGCGGCGCGTGCAAATACGCGTGACAAGAAGGGCGGTTCCGTCGAGCCGTCGAAATTCGAGGAGTCGAGAGACACGACCGCGTCGAGAGCGTTTAACGAGCCCGTCGTCGCACACTTGTACGCGCGGCTTTTCTCTCCTGGCAATTCTCTGTAAATACGTATTATACGTATGTATAACGTGCGGGGCGAGCAACGAGCAGAGGAGAGCCGTCATCGCGCCGCCGCTCGTGACGCCTTATGCAGAGAAGCAGCTCCGCTTATCGATCTCCGAGTGCGCGCACACGCGGTTCTCTCTCTTTCTCTCTCTCTCTCTCTCTCCCAAGGCCGTTTAGTCGCCTAATGCTTTACAACATTACCTATCACATATATGTATACGCTCGCCTTCGAAGCTGCTCGTGACGAGTCTGCTTCGGAATTCGCGAGCGGGGCCCGACACGGTGCGTCTTATAAGCCAATTAAGTTGTATGCGTTCAACGTTATAATCGGAATCGGACTGAAATACGATATATTTATTTATCTTACGTATTCGAACACGGGTTGCGAGATGCATCATTCGTGAAAATAGCAAAATCACTCCTGCGCGATTATTTCGGATTACAATGAGTACGCTTACACGACGCACACTTTAGCTCTAACGACAAACGTTCTGCGTGTGTTACAAACACGTCGAGTGTTACTTTATAGCGGTGCGTGTTTTGCGTAAGGACACCTACTTGTTTTTACTGCGAAGCGCATACCTATTTGCGCGCGCGCATATACCAAGGCCAAAGCTTCGTCTGTCTCCTTTAATAGGCATGTATACGCGTCAGCTGTGCCCATTGAATCGGCGACAGAAACCTAGCAAGAAAGACGACGGAGAAATGACTTTGGGTGCAAAGGGAGTCGACATCGAGTGACCGTAGCCGAGTACACATAAAAAGAGCAATATGCGCGAGAATGAATTTAGAATTTTCAAAATACTGACCACAAGCGATGAGTTCGGGCGACACGAGGCCGCTGAGATCGGGCTCCTCGCCGTACCAAAATATCCAGAGCTCCTTGGCCGCTTGGAGCGATAGCGGCGGCGGCGCCGGCGATGGCGCGATGGCGGCGTTCAGGTCGAAGAGATTCGTCGCTTGGTTCTGGGCTTGGGCAGAGGCCTGCGAGACGCGCCGCCAGACGCACAGTATGTCGCCGGCGAGGCAGCGCGAGAAGCTCGACAGCACCGGGTCCTCGAGTAGGGCGCCGCCGAAGCTCCCCGCAGACTCGCCCCACACCAGCTTCCTCCATTTTATGCCGCATAAGTCCGTCTGTGAAACGAAGAGAACAAGCATTTAGTATAAAGCGAATGATCAAAGACCGAATTATGCTCGGCTAAATACCGAGGGCTTATCGCGTTAACGAGCGATGATGCGTATTATACACATGACATACATAATTATCCAACTCGTCTATCTACCGTGGATTGATAGACTTTAATGAAAAGATTTTGCGTGCGCGCGCGCGAACGCATCGTGCAACAGGTTGCCGTTGATTCTACGTGAATAAGTTCAATTAATCTCAAAAAAAGATCAGATTTTCCCACACGTACATGGAGAAATTGCATTAAGAGTACTACTATGCGCACCAAGGCATAATTAATTAACGCCAGCGCACTCGTCATTGATTTTTTTCCATGCGGTTATGTGCGAGCACGCTGCAGGCGCTTAGTCAAACAGGCACTGCCCCCGACCTATCGATCCGCGTCATTGATCGGCAAAAATATATCGATGCATAATGAGCTGTCGCTGTCGCGCTGCAGGGGTGATCTCAATCGCGTCTATCTCTCGCTCGACGTGCTTTAAGTAAAGCAGCAGGACGCTCAGCTGCACGTCGCTTCGCGGATTACGATCAATCCCTGCCTGATAATAGTGCCACGGGCGCGCGGTAGCGATTCAACGCGCGACACAACCTTTGAGATGGTCTTACTCTCGCGCTATTTACCATAATAGATCCATAATGCATTCGCGAAACAGTGAATGACTAGGTGGGAATTGATTAATCGATCGGATTATCGCGTCGGGGCGGATAAGCTTATTAATACGCGTCCTCTACGAGGATTTATTAATAACGCTCAAGGGTATGCAAATGAACGAGCGACCGTGGCGACGGCGCACTTTTCCGTTCGAGTCCGCGAGAAACGAAGATTCGCCGAGTGCTGTCGGTGGTATCTGTCGGTGCTTATGAGCTTTGCGACTTGCACTGGCAAAATAAACATCGATTCGATGATCAGTCGCATCAAAAGATAACTGCGCGTACGTGCAAGTTAACGAAACTAGCACGCGTCTTTGACGCGCGTGTTGCGAAAAATAATCAATACGTATACGCGTGGTGCGGCTATACAAGGCGCTGAGCACAACCCTGTGCAACGATATATATTTACTCGCTGCGGATTCTTGACGCCACCGTCGTGCTTTCCTTCCTATTTTGTGCTTGCGCCTTGATCTTTTCGAGGCGAATAGAATGCAAAGAGGAAAATGAGGATGAAAACAGCTCCGCGCATTATCGTTTGAACGTGTCATGGACTTAATTTACACGTGAATCGAAAGCTCGATTTCTTACGTCGAAGACAGATTTTAGCGGATTACTTTTTGAATAAATTCGTTGGACTCTTTATTTTGCTTTTCAGTTCCATAGGAAGCAGATCGTACGAGAAATTAATCACCGAGCCATATGAATTATTCAAGGTAGTTAACAAATGTTGTTCCACCGCGTCGTCAAAGCAAATGTAATCAAACTTCGTCCGAGCCTCTACCCATTTGGCATCAAGGACGCTTGCGATGGCGACGAATTTACCTATAGAGTTTTCTATGTGCTCGACTTCGCGCATTATATCTATAGAGCAAGGATGCGTCGTTGCCACTGCCGCACCGCATCTGGTGCGCGCGCGATCGATGGTGTGTGCGTCCGCACTATTCGCATATGTGTGAGGGTATGCGAAGGTACAACGTAGTGCGCGCGTTGTGCCCTGCTGCTACTGCTGCTACCGTCTCTATAAGCCACCCCCGCCAACTGCCTGCTTGCCTATAGGTCTGATTTTCAGGGGGCCACGCGAGCGCGCGCACCGCGTCCGTATTTTATGCAGCCCAAGCTTTGAGGAAGCTTTTCTTCCTTCTGCCACGATTGTCGATTCATTGATTCCAATTGTAATGATCCAATTAGCACGAGCAAAGAAAGGGGGGCTAGGTACTCAGCGCTTGAGCAGAAAAATTGAAAAGCGCTAAAGCCCTATCGCTACCCTACACCTATACTAGGGTGTAATCGCAGCGAGATAATAGCCGGCACGCTCGGAATAATAGCGGCGCAATATCGCTGGCGTGGCCCGCTGACCTCACCGAATTCAACGCCCTTTACCCTTCCTAAAACGCCGACGCACCGTCGTCCTCTCTCTCCCTCGCTCTCAGAATACTCTCGCGCAATCTCGCACCCACTGGGCAGTTGCTGAATCCGCTGAGCAACGGTAGAAGCAGCAGCAGACGTCGATTGCGCTTGCGCGAGTGCTCAAATGAGGCGCCGGAAAAGGTCGTTGACACTCGCTGCTGCAGCTCATGACTCTTTCAACGTTTCTTTAACTATTGAAGGCAGCGCAACGATAAAGCCAAAGGTAACTAACCCAAGCGATCGTTTGAGCTTTCGCGTTATTACACATCAGCCGCAGCAGTTGCTCGAGTTATATGCCTATTGTTGCGTCATCGCGAATATGAAATGGGATTAAATTTACAACGGAATTGATGCGCAAGGGTAGATCTAAAAATTATCGCGATCATTTATCCCATCGTTTGGCGCAGTTTTTTCTTCTTATTTTTTTAAGTATTTTTTTTTTTTTTTACTCTCTCGAGGTCTTGGCATTGTATATAGGTCAGTGGGTCGACGTAATCATCGCTCGAGCGAACCCGACGTAAACAAAAAGAGAAGAATTCCCGAGGCGCCGGTTTGATGGCTTACTTCTGAAATAATCCCTCGTCAAAATTAGCGAGTGGGAGATTTTATCTGGCCGAACTGTGGCGCGAGGTTTGACATGAGCGCGCGAGCCGCTCGAGCGTCAAATTAGCGATAAGTTTGCAGGAAAACACAAGGAGCAGTCGTCTCGAGCTTCGAAGCCGACTCGAACGAGCTGCATATTTCTAGCGACGAGCAAATTTGCATCGACGGCAGCTGTTCGATTAGGTATAATCGACAGAGATTGGTTTGTAATTAAATCGATGATCACCGCAACCCTCGCAGGTTTCAGATATCAAAAAAATCATCCGGCTTTTCGTTGCAGACAAATTTTTCTCGGCGCTTTTCAAACCTGTTGAGAGAGCTGGGAGAAGCTCGGTAAGACAGGATGCAAAAAAGGCATCGAGGATTAAGTGCACCGCTCTGTAGTACATATAGGCACTGCACAGAGAAGAGAGAGCGTGAAGTACTCGCGCGTTAGTAGGGGGAGTGCTTGTACTATGTGCGCTCTTCGGCATTCCAGTACTATACCAGCGCGCTGCAGCAGTCGGCGCTACGGGTGGGAGGAGAGAAAAGGTGCACACGCGCGCACCGGGCGTCCTTTGCCCCTTAGGGCTGCATCGTCGTCGTCGTCGCGCTGCCGATGTTACATACAAATACGTACAGCCAGCGGAAAGTGCATGCTATGTGGAGAAATGCCCGAGTACAATGTAGGCTGCACACACATGGGTGTGTCTTGCGATTCTCCGTCAATAAACGCGCTCTCTGGTATTATTGTATGCAGGTAAAACGCGCGACTGTTTGCAAACGCGGCGCACCAGACGTATGCTTTTCGGCGCGTGGGACGTAGGCTGCGAACAACTCGTTTCTCTTGATCTCTCACTCGATCGTCTCGGCGTTCCGAGGATTAACCCAGACACGCGACTCTGGAATATGTACGATGCTGATATGTTCACGAGAAAATCGGAGCCTAAGCACTCGAGCGAGTAGCCATACATATAGACGTTAAGGGCCAGTGAGCCGCACGAATGTGAATCCGGCTTAAGTGTTCCCACAATATGTTCTCTCGAGAATCTCTTTGCACGTGAGCTAGTCGCCTATGCTATATGTATATTCTGTGTAATCTCTTTCTTTTTCTGCCTCCTTCCTCTCTTTCTTGTGCTTTTCCCAATCTGCGGCTGTTTGTAAGATTGACGACCGGCTATGTGCGGCGTACGTCGTGCAGCTTTCTCTCTTACACCTCATTATGAGCGTAAAGTTGTTTGTATTAAGTGTGTGTGCGTGCGCGGCGTGATTCTGGGGGGTTGATCTATATAGCCTATATAGTACCGAGAATAACTACCGTTTGGTTGCTTCTCAAAGTTCGATATATTCTATTTCATTCGTTCGGAACGAGCAAAGACCCGAGTATTTATCTCTATGCGTTTCTACAATCGTTCACTCTCGAGTCGAGCGAAACGTATGTAAGTCTGACTTTTAACGCCTGCGTTCTCTATTCGAAAAATTAGTCATGCTGGCTGCTTAGCTCTTCCATTGGCCACTTCCGTTGGGGAATATACAGCCACTATTACAGACAGCTCAGGTGTTTTACGCATAGTCGTTTATATTATTACGTGGGCCTATCGTAGCTGCTAGCGAAAGCAAAAACAATGGGAGATCGAGGCTGGGCGCTAGATTTTATGCAGCAAGAGTAGAATGAGGAGAGCCGAGTCAGCAACAAGTCGCCAAGCAAACACTTAGCGCGCGCTCCGCGCGGAATGTGTGCGAGAAATAAAACGAGCTCGCGTACGTTCGTTCGTTCGTATATTACATATATAATGTCCTGCTCAACGCGCAGAGTACAACACACTCATGTACATGAGGACGAGGAGAGTCAAGACGGAGAGCGTAAGAGAATATAAAAGGAGTCTCAACTTGGTCGTCGTAGCCTCCTTCCTTCCTTTCTCTCTTCTCTCCTATTGTGCACTGCCGAAGCAACTTATGCACATACAACCAGGCAGGATAAAGCTACGTTCACACTCGCGCCTGCAGCTCGACTCCATCTCTCCGTGTATAGTCGTATCTCTGCCGAGCGGCGGCTCTTTCTCGCTCTTTCTCTCTCTCTCTCTCTCTCTCTCTCGCGATTCTTTATATGTGTGTGCGTGTGCACGCCTCAGCGGGTTACTGACCCGCCAGTGTCTCTCTCTCGCTCGCTCTCTTGCACGCGCGCGATCTCCCTCTTTCCCGCCTCTTTCTTTCTCACTCGCACTCGCGCTGGCTCGTGCGCGCGCCGCACGGGAATGTGACTATCTGAATTCTGAGGCCTTTTTCGCGCAGCATGAGCGCGATAGAACACAAGCTCTGCGGCGGGAGTCACGCTTGTTTTTCGGAATTTCACTCGAACCCGATCTAACCACGTCGTCTCCGCGCCTCTCTTATTTTCCTCGCACGCGTATCCCCTTTTTGCTCGAGGAAGAGTAACTCTCGACGATTGAGATGCCAAGCTCTTGAAAATTCCGCACGTCTCGATTTGCTCTCTATAAGTGGGCTCTTTAAAGCGATACCGACTTTACTCCATTGGCGTAGAATTTGACTCTCCTTCAATGTACGAACTATCAAAACAATACGAGGAAATTTCTTCATCGATTGCACCGGAGAAGGATATTTAAAATTACGCGAAAAAGATAACAGTCGACGTTACATCACGTAAATCTCGACGCAAACAAGCAAAGAAGAAGCGAGAAAAAGTGCTGCGCGAATCAAGCATTCTTTCGATGCATCCGATTTCTTTTTTGGGCGCTTTCGCGATGCATTTATAAAAACAACCAAGTGCGGCTGCAACGTTTCGTAGGATATAGATAGTTTGCGCAAAAGTCGAGTATATAAAACACGAAAGTGGCGCAGACCGGTGGGGGCGCAAACTCAAGCAGAGGCAGCTTGAACACAGCAACAGCGTACCAGACTAGACACGCTCGAAGAAAAGGGAAATCGAGAGCGTGTGTAAGTATATAATACATGCGGCAACTGCGAGCGAGTTTATAAGGCGAGGAATAGGCATGCATAGGCGAATAAGAGAGAGGAGCCTGGCGATGTATTCGCAGTGTGTGTAGTCTGTACCTATATATGTATAAGACTACTCTACAACACACGCAATTTGGCCGCTGCTTTTGCCACTGACGTCTGCATGTGTACATAAATGGGGGAAGTGTCCTACTTCGAGACTCGAGGATCTTCTCCTCGCTTGGCAACCAAGAAATGCCGTTCACGCGAGAGGCTTTCTCGCGCGGGGGGGCCTTTGCGAGTCGCGGGCAATGCCGAATTATATTTTGCTTCTGTGCACGCACCTAAAAGTGATGTGCAAAAACATTCACGATGCGTGCGCGAGAACAAACCGTTGGAGGATTTATTTCCTATGTAACGACGTCCGGGTACAGTTGTGCGCACAACTTAACTGTTATCGCGGTAACCTTTTCGGATGTATACGCTGCCGATACTCCAACTTTAAACAATATTGTGGTTTTTGATTCAAAACTCTACCAACAATTAAACTCGCTATCTCTCGACAAACCAATACTGTCGAGGCCGTGCACATAATCAATGAAAAGTCGTGGGCACAAAGTGCACCGACCGCTAATGATATGAGCAGCACCCTGTATTACAGTGGACGTGTTGCAAGCCTTGGATTTTTCCGAAATTGCACTCAAGCGTGCCGACCCAGGCTTATTGCGACAACCAACGACGACAAATCGCTAAGTTTTTATACGATGACTGCTCACCCGGAGAAACAGATGAACCGAGTCATCTTGAGCAATACGATACCGAGGCGGACTGAAAAAGATATACCGTTAGATTCGAAAGGAAACTGATTCGTAGATACGAATTGATCGAACGATTAGATCTGAAAGTCTTAATTGCGCTTATACGATTGCAGTTTACGCCGATCGTGCCAAAGGCTAATTAAGTCGAGCATGATAGATGAGCGCAGTGTCAGCGTGCGGAGCGACGTTGCTAATCCACTCAGGAACGCGTCGACTTTAACCTCAAAATACTCTCTCCCTGTACGATACATGAATGACAGACAGCAAGAGAAAAAGAGAGAGTACGAGTGCACTCGGTGGCGGCTAGCTGCTCAAATTACGAAGTATACACAAAAAGACTGGAGTTGCTCCGAAAATGTGTTGGGCTAACGACGGGCGCAAGGGTGTCGAGCCGCCTAATCGAGTCTCCTCTGTCTCCCATACCAAGCTATACAACGTAACTAAAACATCAACATGTAGTCGCGAACGTCATCGCGATCGTAATATGCAACTAGTTTTGCAGCAAGATACGCTAACGTCACTGTAGTTATCGTTATCGTCGAAAAACAAGAAGCTGCATAGCGGCAACATTGTCAGTCAGTTAACATAAATAACAACAATAGCAGCTGCTCGCTGCAGCAAGAAATTGTAAATAAAAGTGTGCGCGTACGCGCGCGTATGTGTGTATATTTTGTATACATATATCGTTATACGAAAACATGGCCGCGTTAGTTTGTGAACTTGTATCTAACCATCCTTCTCTCTCATTCGCCGTTCCGCGTGTGTCTTTCTCGCTCTTTGCGGCTGTGTTTCTCCTGCTGGCGTGCTCCCCCCACTCGGGTTCTGGATACATATATACACACAGAGTCTCGGGGCCGAGGTAGCGACTCCAACTTCCAATTCCAAGGTGTACGAGTGTGTGCGGATGTGTGCGTATTTGTGTTTCAGTATGCGTGTGTACGTATAGATATAAGATAGGGTTGAATACGAATGCCGATTGAGCAAAGTAGCGAGCAAACCAGAGAGTAGGGTATATACTACTCACGACTACACGCCTGCTATATAATAAAGCTGCGTGTTTTTTTTCTTTCTCTTTTTTTTTACATCAAGCTTTCACTTCGACACGGGGACGACGGCAACCACGGCGACTGCTGCTGCGTCGGTAACGAGAGTTCGCGAAACCGAGTCCAAGGCGTTTTGTATACTATTTTATTATTTGTGTACGAGCAAACCGTGTGACATGGCATCGCTGAAAAGCAGAACTCTTGTAACGTATTACGTATAGAGTCTGTGCTGGCTTCGCCGTATAAACATCACGCGCGTATAAAATAAACGAACGTAAATGCGAAATAGACGGCGCACACACGACGAGTAACATAGGAATGTACCGATGCGTGTCGTTTTTTCTCTACACTAGAAATGATAATATTTGACTTACTAGAGCGAAGAAGTTGGTGTGGCAGTCCTCCAAGCTGGCGCCGTTGGTTTGATGGGAAGGGTGCGTCATGGTTCCAACCCCATCGTCATCGTCTTCAGTAGCGCCTCCTTCTGGACTTGGAGGCGCCGGTTACATACACAGGCACGCACTCGCGCAGAAACGCGGGCGACGACGAGGGACACTCGCGGAGTTACACTGCTGCGCGTCGAATCGTTGCACTTGACTGCTGCGATTTACACTTTGTCATAAGCTCTCTCTCTTTGATTCTCAGTCGAGATGCATATATGCGGCATCGATATCGATGATCACGGCTAGCACGCACGCACGCACTCACTCGACACGTACACAGAGAAACATCAAAAGAATAAAATAAGAAACAGATATGCCAACAGAAGAGAAGTATACACAGAGACACACACACACAGACACCAACAGAGACACTCGCGGCCGTCTCACGCGCGCACGGGCTGCTAATTGCACGAAGAGGTACTGCAGATTACGAGCACTGAACGACGACGAGAGAGAGATATCGGTGGCACACGGCAGTTAGAGCGGCACACACGCTCACTTACACATACACACAACACGCTGCGGCAGTGTAGTAGCACTTTTGATTAGCGGCCGAAACGACAGCTAGTCAGCCCAGGAGTCGTCGAGTTGCTCTCTCTCTCTCTCTCTTTTACACTCGTAGAGTATTGGCGCTCGCGTGACGGCGGCAGTCGCGGCTGTATATACCAACTAAACTATATACAAGCACACGTAGCCGCGCTCCTCTTCCGACTCCGAAAATTCCAAATTATAGTCAGACCGGGCGAGAGCGGTTGTTGAGCAACGCTCCGAGCCTCGCGCGAGTTTTATATATATAATAATCAAACGTTGTGCTGTGCTGTCAAAGTTCGGCGACTCTAGCCATACACACGATTGAACTTTCCTTATCTTTTTCTTCCTTTCAAACGCTTACGCTCAACGGACGGAGCCAGCGTTGTTATTATTATTATTATTGCAGTAGTAGTAGCAGCAGTATTAGTAGTAGCAGTGGTTGTTTGTTAACACTTGCAGCAGCGCGTATATATTGCCAACGCGTGCGTTAAATATATAGATATTCTGCGACGTGTCACTCGCGAACGGCATCGGCGACGAAGCGTCGTGCCCCGTCTTCGTCATCCGAGCGTAATCCGAGAGAAAAGCAGCAGAGAGCAGTTTTCGAACTATTCTGCGATGGCTGCGGCGAGCTGAGACGCGCGCGCGCTCGCTCTCTCTCTCTCTCTCGCTCGCTCCGTTCCGAATCTATATAATGTGCACACACTCGCTCGCTCGCAGACTCGGGGCCGCAGTAGTTTACAGATCAGGGTTGTTCTTACGGTATATAAGGTTATGTTCGGTGGGGGGCCGGCGGCTCGGCCTCAACGTTCTCTGTCTCTCTCTTTTTCTCTCTTTCGCGCACACACTGTGTGTCTCTTTTGCGAATATACAACACAACGCGCACTCACGGACGCAAGACAGCACACGGTATATAACAGGCGCTGTGTGGCTGCTGCTGCTACTGCTGCAGCCGTAAGTTATACGCTGCTGCTGCTGCTGCACGCCAGAGAGACCAAGTAGAGATCTGCAGCGGGGGCGGTTGGGGCATCGCTCGCCAACTGCGCGAATCCTTATGTCGACTCTATAATGAGTATAACAAAACGGAGCAGCGCTGCATCAACACATCGAGAGCGCGACCGTTTCGAGCATTTTCTCTTTCCTTGGCTAAATTATGTTATTGGTTTCGCCGCGCACACTGCTGTTCGTACGCCTCTTAAACTCCTAATATTGCAAACTGCAGCCGCTCTTTTCGCAACACTGTACGATACATAATAATATACTAAAAGTTGTATAAAAGCAACGGCTGCGAAGTCACGACTCGCGCTCACTTGCTGCTGCGGCTGAAAGAGAGCGAGCGAGCAAGCACCGTTGCACGCAGCTTTTACAATGTTGAAAAACGTAGCGCAGTTTTCGCAGGCGCGCTCCGCTACTATTCTTTCGCGTTGTGTGTATTATAATACACCTGCAGCGCGCACGGCGACACAGTTCGAGTATATGTACATATTATGAAGACAGTCGAGATAGTCTCTCACATAATCGCACACGCACAAACACAGTCGAAACTTTATGTATGATTGCGGCTGATATGGAGAAGACGACGCGTGCCAATGTATACCGCTGTTTATGTAGCAGTGTCGTAGTCGTCGTCGTTCAGAGGTTGAGAAATCGTTAGTCGCTCGTTGACGTTCGACTGTGAAGGCCCGCGCGTTGTTGCACTACGGGCCGACGACGACGATCGACAACAACACGGATGACGATGTATGTGCGACGACGGAGACGCAGACACAGACACGCGGACGGACGCACTAGTCGTCGTCGTCGCGCACTGCACAGTCGCGAAATCGGGCTGCAGAACGGAGCACTGGTATAATGTTGTAGTGCCTGAGCAACAACAGAGCAGAGAGCGTGTGCTGTGCAGTTTGAGTCTGGCCCCGCGTTCTCCTCCCTCTCTCTCTCTCTCTCGCTCGCTCACTTCGCGCACTCCGAAGTCTCTCGGCGTAACTTTCCTCTAATGTATCTCTCTCTCTCTCTCTCTTTACTAGCTGGCCAGAGAGGCACACACCGTATTCGCGGTACGTATCACCGTGCGTGTGTATATAATACAGAGAGAGAGAGAGTATGTGTCTGTCTGTCTGTGTGTGTGCGCGCACAGAGCCGCGACCGTCGCGTACTGTTATACTGTGCATGCACCGACGAGAGTACGTGCGATGCGAGCAGTTTTCTTTCTCGCTCTGTTCTTTTTGTCGCTCACAGCCGCGCTCCGCGAAATCTAATTCGCTGTTGCCGCACGTCGCGCACACGACGACAGAGCGACGAGAGCTGCCTGCTGCTGCTGCTGCGCTTGCGAGAGTTGGTATACGCGGCCCGTCAGCGCCAAGTACACCGCGCTCGATTGGCCTCTTTGGCGATGCTTCGAACTATCAGTCGTATGACTATGTGCACGCTTCTTGCTCTCTTATAAAACACACAGGCGCCGAGATTCGCCTTCTCGCCGCGGCTCTCGTCAAAGAGGTCAGCACTGCCTTGATCGCATCGTCGCCGCCGACGACACACACACACACACATTTATACAGTCGCGAGCATTATATAGCCTGCTAGTTGCTGTACGGTAGTACGGTATACGCCAACGCGAATGTTGCTCCTATTAGGTATAGGTATGTGGTCGGTACGGCACGTAGACGACAGACGACGACGACGATGCGTTTGTTCTCTGCGCGTGCGGCATGCCAGCCCACTCTGTCCATGTAAGCAGCCTGCGAGAGGGAAAGAGAGGGCGAAACTTTGAGTTGCCGAACACTGTGTAACTACATTAGACTGACTGCACCACGTTCTGTCGTTGGTATACACACATGCATAGGTCAGGCAATGGGCTCTCCGCGAGTCGCTATTCTTCTGTCGTCGTCGTGCAGCCGCTACAACGCCGCAATTTTGCATGCATCTATGGGCGCTGACTATGAAAGTTAGCACGTTTCAGCCCTCCTACGAAAACTACAATTTTATCAATTTTCGCGTGAAAAATAGTTTTTTTCGAAACTGACATTGAAAACTAGGCAATTTTTACGTGGAAAACTAACGCGCTTCAGTATACCTTGAAAAAACTCAAAATATTTCTCTATTTAAACATAAAGTGATACATGAACAGAAATATGATGTACTAGGGATGTTTGGATACTAATATTTTTAGCATCCTCGCGTTTTCTCTTGATTTTTTGGTATAATTTACCATTATGAGTACAAATTGTTACACATTACGAGTATTGTACAAATCGTTAAGTTTTATCGGCTACCTCGCATATAAATAACGACAGTGTATTAGCGAAGCAAAAAGCAACACTTTCAAGCTTACTACTTTTTTAATACATCTTCCGCCGTGCAAAATTTCGAATAAAATCGCCATTTTTTAAAATATGCTTTTTCTTGTGTAAAGGAATTGAAACGAGCTAGTTTTCATAAGCAGCGTCGCTATGCGCGCGGCAGTTACTACACAGTGTGCACCTACATAGCTATGATATTGGCTGTGTACAATGTGCTGTATAATGCGGCGCTATACATCCTATATTCAACTGCAAAATGGCCGAGTTTCGAATTCTGACAGATTCCTGAAAATAGATACAAGAGTCGCCAAGACTCCGATACAGAAACTGCAAAGCTTCCTGAAAATCCTCTTATCGCACGGACAAATTTGCTTCGAACTTCCAGGGGTCCTCTCTCCAAATGTTCATCGAATGCATTAAAAATCCCTCAAGGCCGGTCTTTGGCTATTACGAAAGATGATTTGCAACTGACAAAGTAATTCGCATGAGAGATAGATTCGCGCTACAGGCACGATTCTTATCTATTGACTTCATATACTTCCGTATTCTCTCTTGTAATTTACGAACATTAACGATTACGTACTCAATGTAATGGATAATCGTGCCGATACGAGAGCAATTGAAGCGCGCGAGCTTTTTTACAGAGCGAGGGCAGCACTTGTCAATCATCGTGCACCGATGAGTTGCTATCTAATAACGAATTCACTCCAGGTATAAAAGCTTACCGTTAAAAATAACTTTAAAAATAAATTTACCGTTAAAAATAAATTTAATAAATAGTGTGGATATATGAAAAAATACCGATAAACAAATAAATTGTTGAGTAGTTTTTTTAGTATTTGCACAAGTTTCTCGTAGGTGTTGGATCGACTTTCATTTCGATAAATCAGGTTTTTAGCTTTATTATTTATTTGAAAAAAGAATGACGCTTAAACTTTTATAGAGTCAAGAAGACATTTTTCATGTCTTACTATTTAAATAATAAACGTTTAATTTTTCAAATGAGCCATAATGAAACCTAAACTTTTGAAGGGATCAAAGATAGAACGTATAAAACGAAATGAATTTATAAATAAACTAGGACTAATTTACAATAAAAATTTTTGGAATCTTATAGTAAGCTCAAGTTGTCAAATCTGTTAAATCGTGCGCACCTCCGCAATTATCATTCAACGAAATACAGACACACAGACGCACAAGACGGAAGCCGGCTGCTAGTTTGCATGCTCCGGCCAGAGTCCACACCTTGAAGATAGTAAACATCATTAATAAAGACATGGCAGCGATCGCACGGCAAGTTTTTCAACTCGGCCTCGTCGCCAGGCCGACGACGATCCTGGCTCGTTGCACGGTTAGTTACATCAACATCCTCGTTGCACTGAATTTATCTGTCATGAATTACAAAAGTCTGAATGATGCACATAACCTCTTTGATTTGTTTTTATTTGCTACAGATGCAAATGGAATTCAGAAGAGGTAAAAAAAGTGACAGAAAACCGGCACAGAAACCTAAGCCCAAACCGACCCTTGCTTCTATTATGGATTCCATTCAGTCCAAGGGGTAAGTTGACAATGAGTAATTGATTCAGACCATGTAGCACTAATGTAGCTCTAATGTATTCATTTGCTTCAAAAGTTTTGAACTTATGTAAAGTGTATGATTTAATAGATAGATTTAAGAAATTTTAGATAGTTTTTTAATTTTTGTCACTTGTGTTTTTTGACTGATAAATTATTTATTCAATTAATTTATTATTTTGCTTTATAAGTTACATTTGAATGATTTAATTAATATAAATGCATTAGCGTTCTAATCTATAAAAACAATATCATGATTATATTAATTTGCAGATTTCTACGGTCTAATAAACCCTATAAACCACCTGCAGATGTAACCGAACGAATAAATCAAATACTAAAATCTAAAAATATTAAGACTTTTGATAACACAAAACTAAGCAAGGATCTGAATGAAAGATTTGAGTTGTTTAATCAGTGTGGCGAGGAATTCAACTATTTTATTCACAATTCTAAATTGTGTCACATTGTAACAGTTGGTAAAGTATAATCAGCTGCTGAAATTTTTCTATTTTTATTTATAATAATGTTGATTTGCATGATTAGGTGATTTAAAGGAATTTTACGAAACACCAGTATTTACAACAACACCCTTTGAAGCTCTTCAAAATATGGAAGTTCCACCAAATTTACACGTAGAGCAAAATTACCATCGCTTTAATCCAAGTAAGACTCATTTTTTTTGTTTTTGAATTATTACTCAATTTTGTCTTTTCTCACAGATGCGGATGATCTATTTGGTGGTAAAACTGCTTTTCCCCAAAGCGCAACACTTGTCACTGGATTGAAGTACAAAGACAAATATGAAGGACACACACCTGAAAAACCATGGCCAGAGAAAGTGCAATCAGTATTCAAGGATTAATCCACTCAGAAAAATGGCTTACTTTATAAATGTTGTTTAGATTTTTACCTACTATTCTAATGGAACTAGTGTTGAAAATAATTATGAAAAATGATGTACAGTTTTAAAAGTGGTACAGGACAATTAAATGATTAGTCTTGGACAAAAAATCGTTAAAAATATGTGTATTTTATTAAAAACGTCGATAGTAATAATATTTAGGACGCGATTTGATAGCTTGTTAGACTTACTTGAGCTAATTAACGTGTCATTTACTCAAATCGAAAACTCTTGTGACTGTTTGTTTTGGCGTTTGATTTCATTTGTACGATTTGGCAGACCTTGAATTTTGAAGTAGAAACAAAAGTTCCGAAGTATCGTGTTTTTAAAAATTGCTGCACACGTTCCTCTGCATCATTATTGGCGGCATCGATTAATCGCGCGAAATGTAGGTAATGCATATTTTTAACTCGCTTCAATCATTATAATAGCACGTCTCAATCCGAGATGATATGTGTACTACTTGAAAAAAGCTCGTGTAGACCCGCTCTCTCTCTCTCTTTCTCGACCCTCGATTTTGGGGAAAAAGTTTTCAACGAATAAACTAGATTAAAAGCACTCGAAGTGTGGCGCGTTCAGTGGATGGATAAGTTTTTTTTCGTTTTTTTTTCGTTGAACTCTCGCCAATCGTTTAAGCTCGCAAGAGTAGCAGCACGCCGCACTTTCATGATTAAACATCAAAACGTCAATCCGAATACTTTGCAACACAAAGAGCCTACATAGCTATCGCGTATCGAAACAAGCCCGCACATCGAGTTGAAACAGCAAATTAAAGCGCTCCCGTCTCGGCGGATGATAGACACTGATTCTGGCCCGGGCCACGCGCGAGCGAATTGTTGCTTTCTCGAATTTTTGACAAGGCCGCAGAGAAAAAAGTTTTTGTCGACCATTGGGCTAAAGAGGGAGGGAGAGAGAGCAAAGCTGCTACTGCATAGGTATGTGTGGGAGATCGGACGTCTCGGGTTGGCGCGGGCACGTGCGGATCGAACAATCGGTAGCCAAGGGCAACGCGGCAGACCTATACAAGGGAATGCGGCGCGACGCGTGCCCTTAAACTCACCGGGAGGTGGATAGGTATACACAACGCACGGTCGTAGTCGGAGATCATGCCTAGGACGGTCAGCAGCACTGGTCTGATCGCGGCGCGCACTCGACCGGTTCGACGACCCAAGCCCAAGGTATAACTGCCCCTACTATTATTACTATTTTTTTAAATTTTTAGCTCATTTTTCACATTCAATTAATTTACTCTATTCTTTTTACTCTGTCTCGGTGGCGAATAGAAAATCGAGCTTTTGGGCTACAGCGTGCCAGCCCCGTTCACTCTTCGGCCATTCGCCGGTCTCTACAATCCTTATCACTATGGCTGCTCGGTGCTGTGCAATCACCCGGCCGACGGCGAGGCTAAAGCCGTCGTTCGGAGGGCTAAAGACACTTTGGTGAGTCGCAGCTATTATGATTGTCAACGATTGATGGCAAATCATGAGCTATAAATAATTATCCATAAATGATACTTCCACACAACATCTGCAAACGAACAAAATAATTAAAAAAAAAGATATGTTTTTATCACGTAACAAACAAATGTGTATAACTTTCTTATAGCACTCTGATGCGGGACGGGTGTGGGTAATCGAGGTAGACACTGAAACATTTAATTGTTCGACTATAGTACATGTAATTAATGTTGGCAAAGACGTTGAGTAGTTCCAGCGTGATTATGTTAGATTAGAAATTAGCGGTTAAAAATGCTCAAATTCATCTGTGGTTCATTAAGCAAGTGTCAAAAAGTCGAAACTGGATCATCCACAAAAATCGTTAAATCGATATTGATACAATACATACTTGGCCAGTTCGTCTCGAGATTTAGTCGAGATTTCTTCAACCGTTCATCATCATGATTTTTAGATCACTTTGTTACTCGTTCGTACATAGTTTCATCCCGAAAAAACGTTGTCGACACTATGCATGTCACTGATTGCACATTCAATCGTTCTCGATGTTCAAACGAACCACGAGCTCGATCTATAACTACGGCTTATACCATGATATGCTACAGGTCTCTGTGTAAGCATTTACAAAATGACATCAAACGATTATTACGGTGTATAGATCGTGGTGCACCGGATATACCAGTCCAATTAGAATTGCGCATGCCATTTATAATATAAATACGTATCTATATACAGCTTGGAGCTGGATTATCATCACGCAAAGCAACGGGATGGCATAAAGCCTAGCTAACAATTTAATTGACACCGTCGATTGTCATAGCTGTACTATAGTATGCGCACTTACTACCACAAACATAATCACTATGCTGCTCATAGCTCACGCAGTGCGATTGTTTCGTATTACAAACCACGAGCGAATAAAAATAAATCGGCAAGTTCGACAACAGGCTAGGCAAATAATTTACATCGTGACGGGCTTATTTCATTATCGTAAACATATTAACGCTGGAATAAAAATTGACCGATAAAATTTAAATGAAATGTGTGTACGAAAACACGATAGAGATATAAAGTTTGATGGCTTATGTCGTTGGCGACGATTTTGCAAATGTACAATAATATATGAAACTACTCGCTCGTAGCTAAAAATACAATGGGTGCAAAAGAAAGTAGTAAAAATCTAACAGGATGTAAAATTAATATTGCGGTACAGTCGAGCGAAGGTCGAGGCATGCAGTTGTCGCTCGATCGCGAAGACGACTCTCACGATGATCCGGATTGCTGCATTCTGGCCTTGGCCGAAAGCCCAAACGTCTCGGCTCGCGAGTCCGCTTTGGACAGCTCGCTCGCCGAGACGCCGGATCGAGCAGCAGCAGCGGCAGCAGCCGCCGTCGCCGCAGCCAAGGAGAGAACCAGCCTCGTGCTCGATCTCAGGGCCACCAGCCACTTCCTGCAGGACAACGAGACGCTGAGCTGGCACGCGCTGACCCTCGAGCCGATCCCGAGCTCGCGTCGCAGCAGCGAGTTTGCCCTGTCCACGGGCAGATCGTCGTCCCTGCTCGGGCCTGCAGGCGGCAAAAAAACAGCAGCCAGCAGTTCGCTGCGACGTCAGAGACTCTGCCAGACGGCCGCCTCGTCGTCGCCGGTGCGCTCGGTGCCCATAATCGAGGTGAGCGACGCCGCGTCGACGCGCAGCGCCCCCACGAATCTCGGCCGCCGCCAGGACGACTTGGACGACGGAGACGACGGGGACGAGGACGAGGAGGAGGACAGCGCCCCGGACGAGGTCGGCGCCGGAGGACCCAGTGGCGCTCTGCAGCCCATGCGACGTCGCGGCAAGCTCAGACGGAAGAAGCGCAAGTGTCGCAGGGGCTCGATCTACGGCCAGCAGACCGAGGTGCGAGAGCTGCCGGACCCGCTCGAGACTCAGGTCTCGCAGTGCGACGACGAATCCAACAGACCTCCGTGAGTATCCTATTAGTAAGAGATTCCTGTACTGTACGGAGCTAGAATAATTTTGACGCGTTTCAATGGCCCGTGCACAATAGCGTCGCTTCGAAACTCGACGACTCGAAGCAGGGATCGATCGACAAAGACACCCGGCCGCCGGCGAAGCGCGAGCTGCCGCCCAGCTTCTTGCCGCCCGACGTTATCAAGGCACTCAGTCGAGAGCTCGACCAGGAGACGGTCGAGGGCGAATTCAACGCAAAGGTGAGACTTGTCCACGATGAGCTATCGAATCGTACGAATGAGAAATATACACGCGGGCGAACTTGCAGCGACGCTACGCCCTGGAGGAAACTCTGCGGGTCACCGGTGGCTACGAGGCTCGCGCCGCAGCCGCCGCCGCATCCTCCTCCTCGAGCCTCGCTGCCGCGGCGGCGGGGGTGGTGGGCGCTTGGCCACCGCGTCCCAATCCCATCCTGCAGAACACTCAGAACGTGGCTCGGCTCTTCTACCGGCAGAGCGCGAGATTCCAGCTGCTCGACAGTCGCTCCCTCGTGGGTCTGCGGCCCCTGGACTATCTCAGCGAGCACGTGCACATCTCGGACGCGCGCCGACTCTGCTACGGCAGGGCCTTCAACAAGCACAAGGACGAGACGCTGACGGGGCCGCGATACCTGCTGGCCTCGGTGCTGCCCGAGGCCCTGCACGACGTCCTCGGGCGCGAGATCAGCGCCTCCGAGCAGGCCTTCATCGAGCGGACCTGCCTCGAGCCGGACACGGAGCGCCTCGAGTTTCGCGTCTGGTGCGGCCTCTGCGCCTTCGCCGAGCGACTGCTGCCCCAGCTGCCTCCGAGGGATCAGGATCCGCCGGCCTGGCTCGAGAGGGCCGATTTCGAGATGCTCGAGAGGCGCATCGCCGCCGTAAAGCTCGATCCGAAGCTCGTCCAGCTGCTCAGGCTCATAAGAGATAGCTAGTGACAGCCTAATGAGTGAAAACAATTTTTATAAATGTATATTGCAATGTGAATGGGATGAAATTGATAACGATCGACATCAATCATTTTCACGTATCATCGTTTATATTCATATCGTTATTTATTACACTTTGTTTTTTCTTTGTAGTCAATAAATATTTTATTCAAATTAACACAATGTTATGTTATCATTTTACACAACACATACTTTTTTCTCTTTAAAGCTACGATATCGATGCGTGTGTGTTGCATGTATGTGTATGTGCCCATGAATGTTGACGTTTTCTTCGCGTTTTCATTGTAGTTCAATAATTTGATTGAAATTTCATAATTCAGTATAATTAACTATACGTCATACAAAACTTGTGCCGCTTTGAGTAAAAATTTTACGAGACAATAATTAAAAAATTAAAAAATCGATTTATTTTTCGTTTCTCTTGAGTTCTGAAATGAAATTCCTCTACGAATACTGGCATATTTAATTATTTTTCCTCCATTTAAGATTGAGCGCGTGTGTGTCAGTGTTCATTTTCATCTGTATAATTATTTATATATTTATATATAATGACGAATTGACGAATAACTTGTCGGAAATAATTTTGGTCATTAATTGCACCTCACTTATATAGAAAAAATATATCAAAACATTATACCTGATCTATCATTGTTGTATACAGTATCAATAAAATCAATATATACATTTGTTCTATATTTTTTTCATTTTTTCTTTTTTAACTTCTCCGACAGTGAAATTTTTTTTCGAAACAAAGTCTTTGCGTTTGACTTTCATACTTAAAACGTATCAAATTAGAAGTTATACTATACTGAACATTATGATTTTTTTCTCGGTTCTTAAACAATAAATGACTAACTGTTACGAGCTACTTACAAACATCTAGACGAAAGTATATTAAAAACAATACTACAAATAACATTCATCGGTCATTTATCGTAGTGCTTACGGAATAATGGCCGCGACGCTAAAAACAACAACATCAACGAAAGGGCTGCTTTCATAGACGCGCTTAAATTGTTTGTCCAGTTTTTAACGCTACTATTATTCGGAACCATGTGCTCATACTTTTTTCCTTACCACCTGGGCAAGCTTTTTTTCATTTACATATAACTTTTCCGCTCATTCACTTCTTATGGGTATATATAATTTATCTATATATATATTTATTTATGTATTAATATATATTTTTTCATGAAATCGCCTTTATCATTATTTATTGAAGATAATAATAATAACAATAATAAAGATGATCAAAAATTGAAACAAATGTATTGATAATTATGATAATCATGATAATATATCTCTTATATCTTCAATATAATTGAGCTCTCATTACGACTCTCTCACTATAGTTGTTTTATACTTTTTTGCGTATCTATATATAATTTAATATAATTTTGTGTATAATTTGCGCACAATGAATTCATTGCAATACTTCATTTTCCTTATGAACTGTCTTCTAGTTTTCAAAATCGTTCCATTCATGAGTATGTTTTCAGGTTTTGTATATTATATGCGCATATATCTTTTTGACGAGGATTCCGCACCTTGTAAATATATGTTCAATTTTTTTTTCGTCCGAAAGAAAGATTTCTTGTTTACGTGTTGTATAGAAGAGATATATAGCAAGAAACGAGACAATCAGTGATGGAGTACAAGAAAGATTTTAGCAAACGTTGCGTTACAAAAGTTTTGTTTTATATTTGTTCCTTTGATTTATACTTTATATAATTATAGTTTTTTAATTTTACGTATTTTTATAACACATAATACAATAAAGTTACGAGTCTTTTGCACATAAATATATGCCAAATTCACATGTATATATTGTATTATATACATATTCCCTTCGAACGAGTAAGAAAAGCTAATTTACCGACTTTAGCCAATATTACAACGTACGAAGACTTGTAGTTTGCCATTGGCTTTTAGGTATTTTTCTTTTCTATGTAATTGCTTCATTGACTATAAATAATGAAATTGCAATATTTGTGTTATTTCTCTTCTCTTTACTCGTGTTATCATTTTTCCCGCATGTTTATAACAAATGTATCGTACTTGTATTCGCCGCAGGAATATAAAAGGAGCAAAGATGAAATATAATGCAGAGTTTTTGAGTACTCAATTTGAATTTGTACGTAGAATGTATTTTTCAACGATCTGAGTAGTTTTTTACTTTTAAAGTATTCGAAAATTGAAAATACCACATTATGGACCCATAAAAAATATGCAATTGAAAAATTGCAACTGAATTTATAATTGTGGTACGCAAAATTTTCATAAGAGACTTCAGGATTTTATATTATTCAGTACAAGTAAATAGGTAATAGCTTAACTAAACTATAAATATATCACTTTTTATTTCATAGCTGTGAATACTCTAAAACATGACTATCGCTGAGACTCTATATGTTATATTCACGTGCATGTCTCTTGTTCCACGCGATTTCTCTTGTTTTTTTCCAGAAAACGAGTTTTACAGCAATAACGATAAATTACATTAAGTAATTCCAATCACTATGTTCATTCCTAAGGACTACTATGAATTTTGGCATCTTTTTATCTGCATCTTTTTTTGCAGGATGCTTGATTAGTATTCAATTTATCAAAAAATCAGATTGCATCTATATAGCATTTTTACATGCATCGTTCAAATCGTAAAGAAACGAGTATTAAATTGTCAAAATTGTGTAACAGTCACTGTAGCTTAAATAAAATTGGTTTCGCTATAATTGAACGTAGATCGCCGGAAAGGCCCGAAGTTAAATCGCGCAAAGAAAGCACTAAGTTGATCCTCCATCCCAGTGCAAAAGAAAACTTAATGCAAAACAAGCGCCATTTCGATCGGCTTTTTCCCAATCGCGGTTGAGAGGTACACGAGACGAAGAAAATCTTCTGACGAAGCGGAAAAATGAAGAGAGGGCATTGAGTATACAAATTCTCGTTTGAATATTAGTACATTTTATAGTTCGCTGAGTTTTCTACAGAGATGAATACGGATTTCCGAGTCCGTACATTACACGCGATTACATTTTTTTACTTTTATATATAATATAATTTTTCGCCTTAACAGCCATCTACCATAATAAAATGGTTTTACAGCTACACTATCGTAATGTAGATACTTTATAGAGTCGTTTTCCGTATATGTTATATAATTAAATATGACTTTTTTCTATATTTTTTTTTCATCGAGTTGTATAAAAAAAGGTGTAATAATTATAATGTAATATAATAATTTCGCTGCGTCGGTCGTGAGAAGCAGCGACGTTGACGGGGCAGTATGGGGCTTCATATATAATAATTATTATATCATGTCGAAAGAGCTCCAAGCACTATAGGAGCTCCGTGTCTACGTCATGTTTGTGTGTTTTTCGTGTTATTTTTCATGCATTACATATCGACACATTTAAAGGATGTACACAGTATTTATAGTATTTATAAGCCAGGGCGCCAAAGAGGCTGACGGGGCTAGTTGCCGTTGGTGGAGCGCTGACTGGCGGCTACGACGCTGTTGTCGCCCACAGTGCCGTAGATCTTGCCCGCCTTCTTGGCCATGTTGCCGAGCATCTCCATCGAGGCCTTGTGGGCAGCGCGCAGCGATATGGCCCACTCCTTCAGGCTGATCTCGTCCTGAGAAAGGGTGGTGAAGTGGTAATATGTATATCCGGTTTTTTTCGAGGGACTCAGTTTCAGAAAGCCACTTACGGGATTTGTCAGTACGGCTTTGGTGTCTTTCGTTCGAACGACTATGCACTGCTCGCCCTTGATGAGCTGCAAGTCGCTGCTCACTTCCTCGACCTGTGCAACAAAAACAAGATCAAAATACGATAAATATTAAACTCGATAGAGTTTGGTCGTAAGGTAGGTGCGTGCATCGAAGATCTTACCGTATCTAAAAAGATGAGCTCGGTTTTGGCGGGAGATGACTCGACGTGAAGTTCTAATCGATTCGGATAAAGTTTGGCGTAGCGAGTTTGCCACGCGCTCGCGAACGTACCTCCGAGCTTCTTTATGTAGCCGTGTAATATGCAGTCTGAACCTGCGGACGGGAAGAGAGGGAGAGAGAGAGAGGTAAATCGAATTATGTCAACAGTGAGAAACTCTCGCGCGCGCGTCGCTCCGTAATTTCATCAAGCCGAGAGGGTTTCCCGCATCCTACACTACACGTAACATATACAAGGCGTAGGCAGCAGTACTACAGCATAGCCATTCAATTTACCTTTTTCATCCGGTTCGAATCGGACTTTTTTCGCTTTCCTCTTGTTTTCCACCTGCAAAGAGAGCGAGAGAGAGATAGAGTGGGTGAGTGAGCAGCGAGTGAGTCAGCAAGCTAAAATTGGCCTACACGCCTTGGCATGCATGTAACGTATTAAAACTCGCTTCGATACCTTATCGGCCTCGTTATTGATGGTCTCGAAGACGGTCTCGGCCACCTCGGCCTGCCACCGCTCGGAAATGACGAGCGGGAAGTTCTTGTAGAGGTCTTGATCGGCGTCGGTGAGCTTGATCCCCTTGACGTCCTCCTCGTCAAACGAGCCGATGTCGAAGGCGTCGGCGGCGTTGACCTCGCCCCGCGGTGGTATCAGGGGCGGCGTGTACTTCTGTAGGTAGACCTGCTGCCAGTCGATGCCGGCGAAGAACGGGTGCTCCTTGAGCTCGTCGGCGCCAGCGCCGCGACAGCCGAGCCGATTGGCGATGTCTCGCTGGAGCAGCCCCTCGAGCAGCGAGCGCAGCTCCCGTGAAAACGACTCGGGCAGATCTACGTTCTGCTCGACGCAAAAACAGTCAAGGAGATTATTGGAGCTCGATGCAGATTAATGATGCCGGCGACGATCATTAGTCGCGACGACTCTTACCGTGGTCAAGGTCATCCGATCGATCTCGTGCTTGTCCTTGGTTTTATGCTGTCGGAAGGGGCTGTGTCCTTTGAGCAGCTTGAAGAGCATACAGCCGAAGGAGAACCAGTCGGCGCTCGAGTCATAAGCAGTGCCTTTGGACAGTACCTCTGGAGCCATGTAGCCGTGGGTGCCTCTGTAAAATCAAGCCAAGCGTCAATCGAGGAATGCGCTCGAGCAGGAAAGATGTCGTTACGGAGCAAAGGTCGCGTGTACTCACACACTGGCGTGTGGTTTCTTTTTGGAGAAGTCGCAGGCCAGGCCCAGATCGGATATCCGGACGTGGCCGTGCTCGTCGAGCAGTATGTTAGCGGGTTTGAGATCCCTGTAGACGATGTATCGGCGGTGCATGTGCTCTAGGCCGAGTATCACCTCGGCCGCGTAAAACTTCATCTCAGGCTCGTTGAAGACGCCGTGTTGACTTAGGTGATAGTGCAGATCGCCGCCGTTCATCAAGTCGAGAATGAAGCAGAGCTTGTCGGGCGTGTGGAAGGCGTAGGTCATGCAAACGATGAAGGGACAGTCGACGCCGGTGCTGACCAGCGACAACATTATCCTCTCGTTCAGGGCCAGGGTCTCGCCCTGCTTCATCTTGATGCGCTTCTTGTCGAGGCACTTCATCGCGTACATTTTGCCGGTGTCGGCTTTGCGACAGCCGTAGACCTCGCCGAAGCCGCCCCGCCCGATGATTCGATGCACGCTGAAGTCGTTCATCGTCAGCTGAAGCGCGACAAATACAATGTTAATCCATTATACGCCACTTTCTCTCGTTTTATTTCTTTTCTTGTTCATTTTTAATGCTCTTTCGTCGCGTCGCTTAAATAACTCACGAGCTCGGGCTTTCCGCGTTGCAGCATTTATGTATACGCGTGACATTGCCACGAGTGCGAGACGTATAGCAAAGCTCGATAAAAACCGAATAACTTTGTCGTTTAAAGAGTCCAACTGCGGATCGAACGAATGAGCGCGACGACGAGCGAATGTCCGTTTATTTCTATCACCAATTCATATAATCACGACCGCACGCGAACTGACCTACATGACGCTTAGGTTGCTTTCCAGCTTTTTTACGCGTTTTACACAAAACCCATCCGACCCTCTCATTTTTATTCGATCGAATAAAGGAATTTCGTCGCGATTATAAAAACGAAAAGGATTATAAACTTGCTGGTCGACTCGGTGTACTTACTTGGATATTCAGCTCCAGGTTTTTCCATTGGCAAAAGCGAGTGTATTTATCGCTGAAACATGAAGAATTTATAATAATGATAATAATGAACATAAAGCTCCATTTGTTGCGCATTTTCACGAGCAGCTTTGATGCGGGCAAAATTTCTATAATCTCTATAGCTCATACGACCGAAATATTATTATTCGATCCTCGAGAGTTGCGGATTTATGAAGGCAGAGCCAAAAAAGTTTTTCGAGATTTATACATAATACAGACGCTAAAAATTGCTCTCGAGTCATCGGAGAAAAGTTTTGTCTCGTGGGCGGCAAATTTCAAGAAAAAACTTACCTCTCTAGGAACTTTTTGAAAGGCTCGCCTCTTAAGTGATTGAAAATCTCCTCGATATAGGGCTGTAGAAATTTTTTTTTTTCATATTAAAAGTAAAGTCAAGTACTTAGAATGAATATCATCTCCAGCTACCACTCCAGTGCCTGACTAAATTTTGGGCTATTCTCCTTGTTAGCCCGTTCCGACCCAGAACGATCCAAACAACGCGACTCCCCTCGAGGATGTACAACTAAAGCGATTGACGTTTAAAAAAATACGAGACCTACATATTTTTTTAAAATAATTATAGCCTGTTTCGATGCGTTTCCAAGGTCGCTGATACATTTATAATTTAGTTTCAAAAGAGCGGCCATACAATTTTACAATGTTAACAGTATTTAAGCGGTATTGAAAATCATCATCGAAAGTAAAAGCTTTCGAACTTTGAAAACATGCAGAGGTCTGATATTTTATTAACGTCAATTGAGTTAGTTGTGCAGCCTCGAATACAGTCGTGTTGCTCGTGCCTTTGTGAGCCAAAACAGGTTAAGGAGTAAAAGAACAAAAGATTGCCACCAGCTCACCTCGAACAAGTTAACGGGATACTCGTTTTTTATGAGCTGATCCTGGACATGTGCGACCGTATCCTCGGAGTATGCCTGCGAACAAGGGACAATAAGGCGCAATTAGGGGTCACGTATCTGGTGCGAAACAAAAGCAATTATATATGGTTGTGCGAGACGTCTTGTGTATGACAAGTCTTACACGGTAAAATATAAAAGAATGAAGTGGTTTAATCAAGACAAGTGATTATGTGCAACTGTTTAGTTTGAAAAGAAAATTATAAGAAAATGTGGGAAAGAATGAAAGAGGGACAAGCGAGAGAAATTCGAACTTACGTGTGCGTGCGCCAGAAGTTCCTTCATAATGTAGTTGTCGTAAATTTCGCGAGAGAGCTTACGTCGCTCGTCCGGGCACTCGAGCTTTTCGTACGCCTTGATCTTTGCCAAGAAAAAAAAAGAAGGGCAGTTAATTTTTCTGCTCAAGTTGGTTTTTCGTTTTTCGTTATAAATCGCGGGCAAAAAAATTCTGCGCGATCTGTTATTCGATCAGCCGTAAAATGGCAATGAAAATTCAATGTTTATCGCGCTCACGTGGCGGGACTAATATATATGTCACTAGGACATGCAGGAAAACAAGGGGCCGCCGGTATTAAAAGTTACACGCGACAGCTCGCGCATAGGCTGTAAATAAGCTTTCACATTGATGCTTTTAAGTGTCGGACATAAATGCAATGGGGCTGCTGCCGCCAGCTAGCCAGCCTGCCACCATCGCCACGTGAGCTTTTATATTTACGAAGGGCTAGCGCAGACTGTGCGCTACTACATCGCGCGAGCTTGCAGCGAAATAGATATAGGTACGTACCTGCTCGTAAAAACTGAGCTGTGGTATAGGCTCGTCAGATGAATTCTCGCAGAAATCCTTAAAAAGAAGATATCCTGAAAAAAGCAAAGCAGAGGCGGAAAAAACATCGCCGTGAGTCAAGAGTCATATTATATTTGTATTATTAATTTTTCTCCGCGCGCAGATACATTATGTGACGCACGCGACTGGTGCACGTAATGTGGAACAGGCAGCAGGCGCATTTGCTTCGCGGACGACTGCAACGACTGCGCTGCGATAACAAAAGTGACCATTGGAACGAGCAGACACACGGTACGCGGCGGCAGCTGCAGCCTGTCGATCGCGCGCGGCAACTGCAGCGCGCATTATGGGACGCGGGTAAACTTGGGCGAGCTACTTTTGTTCTCGTCGCTGCCACGCGCCCTACATTATTACATATTTATGTATTTATTATGTATATAGGATGCACATTGCGAATGGCGGCGGTGCAAAGTTTAGCGACGTGGCAAGTTATCAATTTCAATAAACTTTAGCCTCGAGCCCTAATAAAAGCATCGAGTTACGCCTCGCAAGTGTCCCGATATATTTATATATGTATATTCTATCGTTTTTACGGCATACATTATACGGCTCGTGGAAGTATCAATCCTTTCAGGATTTTCATTTTGCTCGTCGCCTCGAAGAAAATATATATTATATAAAGTTTTACGATCGCGCGCCCCGTCTCTCCGTTAATACGCAGTTTCGTTATAATAAATTGACAGCGGCTGCTGCTGCTGCGACGCGCGCGCTCTGCCTTCCATCGAAGTGCACATTATGTGATATACATAAATAGGAGCTTTACTCACCTAACATTTGATTGAATATTTTGTCGAAGTTCACCTCGTTCTTCTTTTCAAGGTACTTGTGCATGACGCTCCTGACGCTGCGAACAGATAAAAAAAAGAGATTCTCGTTATCGCATTTGCTGGGATGATTCACGTGCTCATATGAATATTCGCATTTTATACCAATGGACGAACGGCCATATATATTGGTTGATATATAATATAAATTCTAGTGTTCCAGCACATTCGATGCCCGTCATTAAAACGTACATATATGTATAGGTGGGTGCGTGCACGTGTCAAACGTTCGCGATATATATGGAGGGCTTGACCATGGTATAGGCTACTTCTCTACTCTCGCGTCGATCAATCAAGTCCTTCCCTATGCGCGTGTACGTGCGTGTATTGGCTCGTTACGTGGCTCTGGGAAGCTCCCTCGAAGCTCGAGCCATTTTTATCCAGGCAAATCAGCGCCTTCTTTTTTACAAACGCTCTATAGTGTAAAAATATACACGCGCCCGCGTGTGCGAGATATGCGTCACGAGAGGGCTGCTGCTGCTGCTACAACTAGCCGCCGTTGCTTTTCGACGAAATTCAAATTGCTGCGGAATAGAGCGAGAAAAAAGAGGAAGCTCATTCTCGCCGTTAAAAGTAATCGCAGCAGCAGTAGTTCTCTTACAATTTAACTTCTCGACGAACTTGAAATGAAAAAAATACAAAAAAAAAGAAAAAAAAGAAAAAGGAAAAAAGGGCGAGAACGGAATGAAAATTAGCGATGAAAGTGCAAAAAAAACTTTTAATGAATTCACAACTTTGACAGTTACGTATTATAAACGAACTTAAGGAAGAAGAACGGATGTGCGCGCGCGTTAAAAGACAGATAAGAGTAAGATTTTTGCAATTAAAATCCAATTCAGTTTGCCACATGAAAAGTTTTTCGCCGAGAAATAGCACGGTTCTGGAGTCGACTCCAAAATTCCTTTGGGACGTAGGAGTAAAACTACAAAGGATTGGCCAACCGAGTTTGTTTAATTAAAAAAAAAAAAAAAAGAAAAGAAAAAAAAAGAACTGCACAAAGTTCTATTACATATAGTCCGAGAAATTGAGAAAAGCTCGAGCTGCAGCTTCATTCAAAAGTTTCCAGTCACCGATTCGAGAATCAGGTATTCATAAATTTGTTGCATTCCAATGGCCGCGAAGCTCACCACCATTGCCTCCACCCAAACTATGAGCTTAATAAATAATATCACTTCTCGCGACACGATAAAAGTTCGCGCGGATGCACACAGCTCGTAAAATCTTGGGGAAAAACTGCTTTCGAAGCAGTTTATATACGTATGCGTAAACCACTGCCGCTGCCTGTTTAGCCGAAGATAGGGTAAAGGGATCTATCGTGATGCGGCGTGCGAAAGAGAGAAAGAGAGAGATAGAGAAAGAACAGAGGCATGGCACAGTGCGGCTAGAGAAAACGCGGCTGCTGAAAGCCGCTAATGGAACGTTGAATATATTATCTATATGTATATAGGCGGTGCACGTGAGCCACTCGCGAGTGATGGATACAGAGGCTGCTAGAGCTTCTATGCCCGCGCGTATATATGCGAGAGAGTGTGTGTGTGTGTGTGTGTCGGTGAGTGCGAGTGCCAACCTACCCGATGTAAAGAGCTGCGCGCTGCACTCATTGTACCGCGTGCATTATACACCCCCGAGGGCTCGGGGCCACATAGCTATTCAGCCACCTTCCCTTTCTCCTCGCGTCGCCCTCAGCCAGCTGACTTATGACACTCGATTCTCATTATAATAAGTAGCTTTAGCCGAAAATTTCGCGTTTGGCACATATTTGTCGACGATTTTTCAAACGCATTCTCTCTAGCTAAACACGGCTGAATATCTTTCTCGATAGCGTATCCACCGATCGTTTCCAACTAACAGAACGCGTGGAAAGAATTCGCTTCAAGTGGCTTGGAGAAGAGAAATATTAAGTGTACGAGAATTCGAAAAACTTGTTTGAAGTTTTCTCCTTTTTCACGTGAGCTTTGGAATCCCTAGCTCTCTAGCGATTGCGTTTTGGAATTCATTATTCTTATGCCGAAGTAAATATTAAGAGAAATTGCTTTAATTTTCCTGAGAATTGCAATTACGTAGTGGGAAAAAATTCATCGTCATCTCCAATTAAGCAGTTTTATTTAATTAAGCCCCGCAGCTTCTCCGAATATTTTTCGCGGGTGCTCGCGCGTATGACCTAAAATGTTAGGGAAAAATTTCACGGGGCAAAGCTGCAGCCCTTAAACCAAGCTACAATACCGCAGGAATTTTGACAAGTACTACTGAAAGGAGAAGAGAGAGAGAGAGAGAGAAAATTGTCTTTCGCGTGTTTCGCCCACATAGCCTCCTCCTACTCATCTCAAGATTTCGCTCGCGTGCATACATAGTATAGCAGAAAATGCCTCGGCTGCGCAGCCTCCTCCGCGCTTGCGACTTTTCTGTTTTACCCTTTGATGTTGCCTTTCTGGGCTAGTTTCTCTCTCGCACTCCCTCTCTCTGTTTCCCACTTTTCTTGAATTTTCTCCCTCTCTCTCTCTCTACTTCGTCTCGAAATGCAAATATTTCGGTGAAACTCTTTTCAGCCGCGTATTATACAGAGAAGCAGCGACGGCGGCGGCTTATTGCTATTTACTTTGAGAGAAAAGCTCGAATGAATGTTCGATCGCTTGGAATTCGGCATAATATACATAGATGCTATATGGAACGCTACTCGACCCGCTCGCTGAACTAAAATTATTGACATTTCGACTGTATGATGGTAATTCAGGCCGGAAAAGATCGCTTCTTCCTCCTCCTCGCTCGCATAAGCAATAGCTCCTGTACAACGTATAGATATTCAACGTTTATCGTTTGAGTATACTCCTGGCATTGTGCATTAGCTCGAGCGGAGATGAAGCACATTGCGCGGTATAAATTGCCACACACAGTTTATGCTTGAAGCTGTAAAAGGCTCCCTTCTCGGCGACGTATTTTGCGAGCGCTATATATACAAATAATAATACTGCACGGATCATTCGCAATGTACTATTTCGCTATCGCAGAGCTCCTCGCAGAATACAATGCCAAAGAGCTGGTGTTTAAGGCCAAATGGTATACGTAATAATATGATATAATATAGCTGCTACACTGAATTAAAGCTCACTCGAGTTTACTCAAAGTGTGAATTTGTCGTGCGCATTGTCTGTCACAAAGTCCGCCAAGATCCGCCTCGTGACGCTGATAACAGCTTGAATATTTCATTGCTCGTCCCGCAGCTCGCGATTAATATTGATGCTCGTCGCGAATCGTACTTGTAAACTTTCTCGTATTAGAATGGGGATGTGGTGCAAAAAAATCAAATTGAACTCTCTTAATTGAATTGTAAATAAAACATATATCTTAGGGTTTTCAAATAAATCGCACGAGTAAATCACTCAAAGCGAGAAATACAGTAAAGTATTTGACTTTATGCATTTATAAACTTAAAGTTAATATAGTCATTGAGCAAGTACAGTAAGAAATATGATATCTCAGAAATAACTTTCCAACTCGACGAATAGTTAACTACGATACGATACGATGCGTGGAGAAAAGATAATGTTGACGTTTGCTTTGCTTATTTTTTCAATTTAGCTTGATTAATCGGATGCCATGCTGTAGGTGTCTAGGTGGCTTGAAATCACTAAACGGCACAGAAGAAATAAATTGCGCGTCTTTGAAGGTTCTATCGGGTACGTTTAATTTATGCATATTCGGCTCTTTCGTATTTTCTCCAAAGGACCAATTCTCTCGCTTACAATTACATTCTGCGAACCTCCCACATTCGTTATCGATCAGCAAAATTTGTGGTTATTACTTCCAAAGTAACTTGTGCGCGGACAAGAGAGCCGGAATCGTAATTGCTATCAAAGAAAATAAAATGTAGCATTCTCTAAGTAGCATAATACAAAATTTATAATACTACTATAGGAAAAGGGCTCAAAATGGATCTAATAAAGCATCTTACGTGCAATTCTGCAACTACTTAACCGTTCATTATATTTGATACTGCCTTAATCGGGATGATTGAGCGGGTAGAAAATGATAATAGCCGTGACTGATGTGGTGAGCTTTCGCATGGATGTATTCGAGCAATATAGACTTTTGCGCATGTGCAAATAAATTAAAAAAAAAAAAAAAAACCCGAGCTTTTCATTCGCGTTTATTGTTATAAAATGCTTTCCCCAATCAATCTGGTCAAAAATGTTCGAATTTCGCCGGTTATATTCGCACACTCTTTCTCTCTCTCTCTCGTCTATGATATTGGTGAAATTTGATAAAAGCAATTTGCCGAAGCGGCTTTAGTAATAGACTTTTTTTTCGAAACTTTTCTCTCGCCCAAATGAAAATTGCTCGATCGCCAATAGCTCGACGAGGCGAATTAACATTAAACAAATAACGAGCCGCGAAGCTCGGTCAAAGTAGGTTAATCCTAATGACGATGTAGCTCAGCAGTACTGATTATATGACTGCATCGAGCTGCAGCAGCAGCAAGCACATGTGTATCCTTCGGTAATTCAATAGCCAAACAATCGATCATCAATCGCGCGGATGCTACACGTTTATATGTATATTGAAGACTGATGCGAAAAGCTATGCGAGTTACATTGAATAGGCGAGTCACGCGGCGCGCGCGCCAACACTTGTCGCGTTTTCCGAAAATCGTCCCGATACTCTCTCCAAACTGTGTGGCGTTTGTGCTACAACACTCACGATATATGTACATTCATAGTTGTTACAAGATCGCGACATCGCGCTGCAAAAGTGTCAAATTTTTTAATTTGCCCATACGATCTCTCGCGATGGTTCGAATATCGAACTCGAGTTTAAATTAATCCCGATATCCGCGCTCTCACGTTCAGATTCAAGGATGAAGAATCGAATAGCTTATCATGATTTTTCATCTCATCCTGCGTCCATATTAAATGTTACAATTTCATTCACGAATGAAAAAAAATTCAATATCTGAGATGTTGATAAGCGCAAAAGCTAAATATAATCCAAAAGAGCTTCAATTTCGGTATGATGCTCGAGCATG